AGGAAAATCCTCTTAAAACCGAAGGAACAACTACTCGGACTACTTTAGGATCACTGATAGAAAACCAAGTCAGACAAAGATGAAAGTGTGAGACATCACGCTGGAAGTGACATTGTCTTTTGTGGACGTGACTATTGGCTGCAAGGGCACTGCACAACCGAACGCCTCCTTGCAAAGTGATCCTTTGCTCTCAGGTGGAAATGCTGTGAGATTCACAGATGCACAGACACACGCACAGTTTCCGATCCCCCAGGACAGAACTGAGCACACCGCCGCCTGACATGTGGGAGCCCAGCAGGGCTCTCTGGTGCTGATTCATCCTCTGGGGGGAAGTTGATTTCTTCTGTGATTCCTGAACACTCACTTTTACTGATGGAATGAGAGAAAAAGTGAAGCCAGGGTCACGGGTTTTGATTTGCCAATAGCATCTCTTTATCATGGGTACACTTCCTTTGGGCCTCCTGGAAATCTGATGAGTGGCTTGTCCTTCACAGAAAACTGTAGTGCTCACTAGAGTACAAGCTAAACACTGCCAGTCACTCCTGAACTTGAGTAACACTCCACGAAAGCAGCACAGAGCTCACTGATCTTACAGAATATTTCTTCAGCGCCTTCTATGTGTGCCTTCAGCGTCAGCCAGTTCCGTGAAGGGGAAAGGTTCGGCATGTATTACTTCTCACAGAAGTACAAAATGTAAAGATGGTGAAGATTTAAGCAAAACCGAGAGATAACACACAGTGGAACCATATCGAATTGTTTTTTAAAAGTGGCAATCGGGTTTATGATTAGATCAAGAAAAGGGACAACAGTGTGTCAGTGCCTTCGACTGAACTTATTTACAGCTAGGTCTTTTGAAGTCCTAGTGATAGAATTACATTCCAATCACTGGTATCAGCCTTCAGCCGTTTATCAAGGCAATTGATTTAATTGCAACTTGACATACTAAAGGAAAGGTTTCCTAACGTAAGGAGCTGTTGCTTTTAAAACAGGGGCAAATACGAAGCTGTGAAAGAGGAATATGTAAATTTCAGAAAAAACTTCAACTATCTGTACATAAAGCATTGAGGCATTTATTCAACCGAGTTTTAAAAAGGTATCTTAAAAATCCTTTCGCTTGGGGCTCCTCTCTGTAGCAGGTCTCCTCAAACTGGACATGTTTGAAGCTTTTTAAAGAGCCCAGACATGACAAATGACAGCACCCCACAATTGCACCTTCAACTGACCTCTGGGTGAAAATGGGGCCTGTAAATTTGGATGCATGTCAATGGCTTGAGAGATCTGGCTGCCTGATTGCATTTTAAACAAGACAGAGATCTGACAAGAGGTAAATCAAGTTGCATTTACATGCATGACAGCAACGGGGGTGGGGACAGTCTCCCCAAGAACTCCTTTCCTCAGCAGCGCAGAAAGGTGCTGAGCTCTTTCTTGGCATTAATCAATTTTTTGGTTTTAGTTCGGCAAACAATTCGACTACAGTTTTTTGGAATGACATTTTTAGGAACGCTGTTTAAAAAAATTAAGGACATTTAAAGAACAACAAGCGCCAAAAGGCACAATCTTTAGAATACACCTCATGTTGGGAGAACAAACTGCAAACCTGTGTTTCTTCTTTGGGTTGTTCTTATTAAGGGCACGGAACTACTCATTTTGGCCTATCACTGCACTGAACACAGGGAATAAGCATGTACCGATAACGCCTGAATTCCTCAGCTACAGAAATTTCAAAACCACAAACATGCAGCGTTATGAAGCCATCCAGTAATTAATAAGTACAGTTTATGTTGGCTGCAGGGCAGAACAAGCTGTAATGGTACAGTATGTAAAAAACAGCCCTTCCCCCATTTGTGCTCTGTGGAAGAATGTGCATGATATTATTAGCCAAGGTAATGCTATTCTATCACGCGAATTCGGGACTCTTCTGCCATATGATAATTACAGCATAGCAACATCGCCAGTCACTCACAGTGCTCTTGAACTTCTAAAGAAGAGTCATTCTTCAATACTGAACCCAATGACTGGTAACTCCTAAAAAAATCAGGTTTATTTGATGCATGGTAAATTATTAAGCCTTGCAAGTAAATTCTGCTGTATCATAAAGGTAGGTTATTGCATAGTGTATTAATGGGTGTTAAAACTGAGAAATGATCAAAACCATCCACCCATAAGGTTTCACAAGAGTCCAGAAATATTAGCTGACAAAGGAAGTGTTACTATGATTAGTTTCCACGTTTTCTCACTTTTTCTTTCACTTTCCCATGCCTTTTATATGACGGAATGCCAAGACATGGCAGGTTTGTCTAATATTAGGGGACGCCCTATTGTTCTAGAAAACGCCAGGCTCCTCACAAAAAGCTGTTTGATGACTGCAGGTCCACAGAGGGGGGGAGAAAACGTTGTAAGACGACAGACAAGAGAGGAGTTGACGTGCACGATGAAGATGGAGAGAGGCCCACTTGAGCAAACTTTACTGCAACAAGAACCAGTGTTAGTATTAAAGAAGAGCACGTATTCCGGGTTATATTCGAAACAAACAGAGCTGACTGGTCTCCACTGTTAAGACTCTCGTTTTCCACTTGTCACGGTAGGTCACACCCAAACGCCTCACAGCTGACCCTGGTGTTACTGTCCTGAAGGAGTACAACAAACAGCACCCCAGCGATTGTGAAACATCGTCTATACTCTTTGAATTGTGGAAGCAAAGAGGTAAACGCACGGTCAGACATGTGTCAGGGTGGGGGTTATCTTCAATGAAAAACCCAACTTTTAATGCTGTTACATGCATTCTTTATAAAAAAAAATTGTATAGAAAACGGTTTTCACAAACCACAGGGTAGTTAACATATTTCTGCACGTTTGAGAAATCATTATTTTGCTAGACAAAATTCACATTGCCATAACAATATGCACCTTGCAAATCAGACATTTAACTAAACATAGACCACTTTATCTCTATTTTATACAAACCCAATTACACAGTGAAACAGTATAACTGTTAGACTAATATTTGCAGAAAAAAACAACCGTTTAATTCAAGAGCACGAGCTCCATTGACACCCTTCCCGGTTGTATATTTAAAAACTAACGTTAATTGGAAGCAGCTTAGTCTCACAAGATCAATCAAATGCAACTGAAAGGGACGGGGGTGTCTAAAAAAAACAAAACTCCCCGCTTAACACCGAGTAAAGAGACACCACTAATGCTTCTCTCAACCTGTGTCCGAGAGTTTCGAAACACATTACGGATTTCTCGGGATACCGTGAAGTGTGATAAGGCGTCCATCGCCAAGTAATGAGGCTTATCTCCATGATTACAATTAGGCTGGTGTTCTGCGCGTACCCCTCTACCGAAACTGCCTCTATGAGCCTGATACCACCGAGAGTCCTACCTCTCTCGGACAAAGCAATTACCTAAGCCTACCCCCAGTTCAGACCCGTTATTAGCACCTGAATGAGGCTGCAAAATAGTGTTAAATACTTTAATAGCACAGCGTTTGAAGAGACCTGAAAAGGGTTCGCAGCTACCTGGCGCCTGGTGGCCCGGCTGGGGGACATTTTGAAATTCCTGCTGCGACGACTGAATGGCCTTTTCTCAATAATGATGCGCAAATCAGTCGCGGTTTAATAGAGCTGCGAGTTTCGACAGGTGTTGTAGCCCATCGCTCAATTGAAAGCAATTACGTCAAAATAGATTAGCCCTGCGCCCGTGCTTCGGTCTTTTTTTGTGCAGTTGTACTTCACGTCAGGTTTTGTCCAAGAATAAACGCTCTCTGGAGTCAATGAAAAAATAAAACTCATGAGAAGGCCAAAGGAAATTTCGGCAACACTACTAGTTCTATATAGAGATGTAACCATTATTCTGTAATATTTAGCTTATAAAACAGACAGGGAATAACACATGAGGTGTGTAGAGAAACCTGGGTTATTTTTGCAAAAACATATTCTTAGAATGTAAAAGACTATAATATTCAACGTTGGCTTTTTATTTAAAATGCGGTCTCGGGTTAGTAACCAGTGTTTTGTACCAAAACAATACTCTTCCCTTTTAAAATCCCAACCTCTTTGACGTCAGGGAAACTTTTCTTGGTCTGTTGCCAAATGTTGCTACTCGCTGGGAAATGCAGTTCTAGGAGATTATGAATAAACTTCTGTAAACATCAGAAACACGAGCTGCACGGCTTTTCTTTGTTTGAAAAGATGAAGGCGAGCATTAAGTGTTTGTACCTCAACACGGGCTAAACTGAGGTCTCCCCCCTAAACCCAAGAATTACAGCAAGCGAGACGCTTGCAAATAACACTTTGCGACACTATAATTGTAAATAGTATATTATTTCTGTATGGTATTCTTTAGCTCTCCTGTAACCTGGTCTGAAAGGTTCTCAGTGTAGCTTTGATGGGAAACCCAGCTTTTGTTTCAACACAGGCAGATGAATAGTCTTAGGTTTTTCAGTGTATTTCGATACAAGCGCCTATGCGTGCACGCAAGCTACTGTACCAGGGGGAAACGCGACCAGCACGCACTTGTTCTCGAGCCGAAGCGGCGTTTTAGGCTACGAAAAGTGTGCGAACACGTGTAAAACGTTCAAAAGCCGTCTTTTGATAAACGTGTCAAGAGTACTCTCTCGGACATTTAGTCGGCGGCATTTCGTCTTGCGCTAAAATAAACGCTTTCAAGGCTTAATAAAACAAAACCATAAAAAATGCGGCGTCCTGGCTGTGTATTTTTAGGATTTCTGAAACAGAAACTCGTGCGACACGAAGAGATTATCGTCGTCTTCTAAATTGCAGTTTATCATGTCTGCGCATACTTTATAAAAGAATGCCCCTTTAAGCTTTCTCTACTCATGTTATGGTATTTACAGTAGTGTACTTTTATTGCTTGCCAAAGTGCATTTTTTTTTAAAAGAAGGGGCCGGTCCGATGCGTCATTGTTAGACTTGTTAAACTCGTTTCTATGGCTTCAGCCTAGAGGGCGGTACCAAAGCTTTAAGAAGCTCTGCAGAGTAGAGGGGAGCAGAGAGTTTAAGCCGTCAGTGAGAAGCAGCTTTATATACTGGGGCTAAATTTAGGACGAGTTACCTCCATCCTGAACGTATTTCCTCCGCTTCGTACAATTGGTTCAGCTTTTCAGCTACAATATTTATAAGGTAGGATCTCCTACCAATCAAACTTGCACATGACTTTGAAACACTACTTCATATAAGCAGAAGAGAACTATTTGCTTTACTATTTTAGCAAGTTTCTCAAGAGGAGTAAAGTGGACCAACTCATACATATAGACAGAAAGAAAGTTTTTTTAAAAAAAAGAAACGTTTCTTTGCCGCAACAACACATGGAAATGGCCTTAAGTGGGACCATTTTACCTTCAATTTCAACTTTTGCGAATCCCAGGGAAAAAAGTTGGGAAAACGTGAGTATGACTTTTTTTTCTGAGAAAATCACAGTTTTAACAGTTTTGATATTGTTTTGCTGGGAGATTATATATTACAGAAAATATATGTATACGTTGCATAGTTAATTTAAATGCATTTCATGTTTTTTTTCATAATCGGCATTTTAAAGAATATTTATGGGTGGGTTTTATTGGATAGTATTATTAAGCAGCGTGTTCGCTTTAACCTGCTAGGTGCACATCTTCTAACGAGCCGTTTCCATTTTTTTCCCCCCGCAGAGGTGGAAAAGTGATATTTTGCCGAACATGGACAACTGCCTAACAAGAAAAGACGACGAGGATCTCAGCAATTATCTGGATCTGGAGTTTATTCTCGCCAACACCACCGGCTCGGAAAACATAAACGCGCTCGGGGCAGTCGGGGAGTACCCAATGGTATCTGTTGAACCGGGCACCCTCTACCAAACAGGGAACACCCCAGCCGCCTACACAGTGCCTGAACACAGCAGTCCTCCTCCTTCGTACAACTCCAGTCTCATGGCGGAGCTCCTGAGGTCTGAAATCGACAACAATTACTGTCTTTCCAACAACGTGCCTAACAACATCCAGGGGAGGTTCCTGGTCACCTCGGCTTTCCCCAGCCAGGACTTTGCAGATGGCATCAAAGTGGAACCCGCTATGGACGGTTACGGACCCGTTATGGGCATGGTCCCCCAGTCCTGCTCCAAGATCAAGCAGGAGGGGAACGTGTCCTGCATGATGTCCTTCGAACAGCCCAGGCTGGCCAATTCCCCGCAGGCGGCGGGCAACATGACCCCGCCGCTGAGCCCCAACGACCTCATGACGGCCGACTGCCAGCCCCCGCTGTGTCATTCCCTGACTTTCCCCCAGAACTTCCACGCCGCGCCGAGCTTCACGCATCCCCACCCGCCGCCGCCGCCGCCGCAGATGCAGCTCCCCTTCCAGAGCGCGCACCAGTACGGCATGTACGACGAGGGGCTCAGCCTGCCGCCCTCCACGCAGAGGGTGCTGCTCACGCCGCCGTCCTCGCCCCTGGAGCTGCTGGACTCCAAGCCCAAGAGGGGCCGCCGGTCCTGGCCGCGGAAGCGAACGGCCACGCACACCTGCACGTTCGCCGGCTGCGGCAAGACCTACACCAAGAGCTCGCACTTGAAGGCGCATCACCGGACACACACAGGTGAGCCACTGCCTCTCCTCTACGCGCTTTCGTGCGTTTTTAAAAAAAAATAAATAAATGCACGTCTGAAACTTTGAGAACATATCCAGATCGCGCTTGGTACTGTTACGCTTCGACGTTTCGTGCGCTTTCGTTCGCGAAGGCAGCGTTCTCTTTCCAGGTGTCATTATTAAATCTTTTTTTTTTCCCCACCCTCTTTTGCCAATGCAGGTGAGAAACCTTACCACTGTAGCTGGGAAGGATGTGGGTGGAAGTTCGCCCGCTCCGACGAGCTGACCCGTCACTTCCGCAAGCACACCGGGCACCGTCCCTTCCAGTGTCACCTGTGCGAGCGCGCCTTCTCCAGGTCCGATCACCTGGCGCTGCACATGAAGAGACACATGTAGAGCCGGCGCCGGCACACGGCTATGGACTATGCAAAAACACAACCAAAACAACAAATCTGGATTTTTTTTTTAAAATATATATATATAACTGTATGATCATTTCTATTTAATGGTTATTGAGAAAAGGAAAAAAAAAAACATGGAGCGACTGTACAAATTTTATATAATTTTTGTTTTTGGAAAAAAAATGTAGCTGGTACTACTTGGTAAGACAAAGAATTTTCAAATTCTTTTTTTTTTTTGCAGAGCATTATAAAATGTTTGTTTTGAGCAAACATCTTGATCTGCCAGGCTGGCCCTTTGCCCACTTCTGACTCAACTGGAACTAGACATTGACATTTAATGAATTATAATAGTGATATATTTTATTAACCATGAATAGTGCCTTTCTATGCCAAGTCTATTTTTTAAAAATGCCAAACTGTCTGTGGGGTAAAAGTGACATTTATATTTGATATAACTGTAAACTGCACATGAAATAAGCTTTAAAAAGACAATGTTTTGCTCTTAAAACTGCCTTCTGCCCTAAGTGGCTTGAATTGAATGTTTTAATGTTTTTGCATATATATATTATCTTGAATGCCATATGAAGTCAGGGTCTTTAAGTATATGAAAAGAAGTTTTCTATTCAAACCTATTGTGTCTTGAAGGTGCAATAATATTGTCTGTTCCAGCTCCACGTTACACTATTGATGCAGGGCTAGATGTCTTGTAAATAAACTATTTTTTTTTCCGACTGAAAATTCTATAAAGAATGTAAATATTTTGTATAATGTAAATATTGTATTTTAATGTAAATATTAAACTAACTGAATTGAACAGTTCTGACTCCTGTTTCTTCATGTTGGGGTTTTCTTTTGATTAACTGTTCAAAAGAACAGGACTGGTTTTGTCTCTCCACCCAAAAAACAAAAGTCAGAATTGGCTTTCTGATTAAGACTTGAAAAGTCTGCTCTATATTGTAAGTCTAGAGAACTCTTGAACGTGATACCAGTCTAATATATAGGAGACCTTCTCCATCAGCAGACCTGTTGTTAATGCAGGGGCACAAGATGCTATATTAAACCCAGATCAGGCTCGGAGTAAGTATTACGATTTAGACAGTAATGTTTTCCAGCTGCTGCAATGCCTCTGCCAGTAGCCTGTGGCTTCTGCCTATAAATATAAACATTAAATTTACATAATTATAGAGACTCAATTTAGATACGTCTGGACACAAGGGTATACCACACTTCAGCAAACGAGCCCAGCTTTCATTTGAAAAGACTGAAAAAAAGTGATGAAAATGAAGTTTAATTGCGGAGGGGGGGGCGGGGGGAGAGAATAAAAGCTTCTAGAAAATGCTTAAAATTCAACTTTTGCCAAATGCTTCATGACAGACCCTGAAAAGAGTCAATATTTTAAGTCTGACTTAAATTTAAATGAACCTCCTGATAAAAAAAAAAGCAGAGTTCACCGTGGAAAGCACACAATGGTGTCAAATATTTAGAAACTAACCAGTAAAACTAAAATTAAATAGAAGACCGAGAATGATTCAACAGAAGATTCAGTTCTGTGGAACACACTATGACTTTCCAGCTATTCAAAAACATGAAAAAATAGTCATGAAAACAAAACAATTTAATCCATCCACAATTTGTAGTCAGTCCTTTATAGCATACCCCTCTGTTTCAGAAATGTTGCCCACATTTTATGTAGCAAGTGGATTACATTAATCAGCTGAAAAGAAAAACAACTTAAGATTTAAACTGATAAGGTACCACGGTGATAAGAGAGATTTCTGGTGTAATCAATTCATAGAAAACGGAGAACATGTCAAACTTGTGTAATTTTAAAAAGACAAAACACTATCATTGTTGTGCTTACTGCTCCATCATGGGCATAAGATTGAGACGCATCAAAATGTTATACTGAGATAATCATATTTCAGAAGACAACTCCCTTACGGTAAATTCTGTGGCTAATAACCTTTCTTAGCTCCATGTGTCAAAACCAGCACTAGAATACAAGATCCATTTAAATAGCAAATTGCATATTAAGAGTCTGTTTGATCTTTACACTAAAGTCACAGTTACTCAAGCAAATACTGCTATTAATAGAAAAGCCACTGAAGTGAAAAATCCTACTCTCTCATTTCACTTTTTTCTGCTTAAAATTACAACGTTTACTACAAAGTGCACAGAACGTGAACCCGAACATGCCCAGATAATGTGACATGTGCTAGGGTTATTTTTAACTTTACTGTAAGCAGTGGCATCGTCTTGGAGAGGTCTTTTTAAGAAAATCAAACAACAGATTTTAACAAAACGCGAAGATGCTTTCAGCAGAAATTAAACCATAAACTTCTGTTTGCTGAAAGCAGAAAACTCAACGATTGCTTTCAGATGTGGATTTTCAAATAAGCAGGAATGCATGTTCAACCCCATAATCTATTACTAATGAAACATGTTTGAGGAAACTCAAACAGTCAGGTTTCTTTTTTCATTATCATGTTTTATTTTTGATCAAGTAGCAAGCTTTTTTTTTCCACATCCTAAAACGTCTCCACCTATTTTCAACCGCTGAACGACTGTCAACAAGATTTTAATTTACGCTAAACCCTTAATTTGCCGTTAGCCCTCGTTTTAAAATGCAATGACTGCAATGCATTTATCAAGGTGTAAAATTACTTGAATTCTTTTCTGATAAAATGATGCATAGGATTTTTCTCGTTACATTTGCCCCCGTAACACTATAAAACACATTTTCAGCTTTTGGAACAGGGCCAAATCATCTTTGAAAAAGATAAAAAGCCGAAGTCTATTTTTAGGCGTTTGAAGCACGAAAGTTTTCTCACTTGCAGAAATTACTGCAAGTCAGAAGAGGTAAGACACGTCAGATTTGTAAAGTGCATTCTTCCCTCAACTTGAAAATCAATTCCGCTCACTTTTGCGCTTAGTCAAAGCACACGCTTCATTTTTAAACCTCTTCACCTACGGTTCAAACAGCTCCTCATCATGTGAAACATTAAAACACAAAAGCCTGAACTCTGCAAAAATATGCTGACCTCACCGAGACATTAATTGGCATTTTTAATTCACTTAACTTCTCTGACAAGAGGACTTTTTTGTTTCTTTGTTCCAGAATGTTCTGTTACATTTTTTCACACATAAAAGAGAGAAGCTGATAAACTGTAATCAGATATTGCTTCCAAAGTTTGCATTGGCCAGAGTAAACCCAGTATTTGGCAAAAAAAAAAAAACAAGTTTAATAACATGTTTTATTAAATAAAAATAAGTGCTTTTTGACAGTTACTGAAAACAAGCCTGCTGTATGTATTACACAACTCACTTCTCAAGGAATATATTAGTTATGTATTAATCTGAACCAGACACACCCACTCCTATGGTATTATGGTACTAAGTGTTGTCATAATACTCCTCCACTTGGAAAAAATCCACATGCAAGTCCATTTTGAAACCCCCCCAAAAAGCAGAGGGACAGCTTCCAGGATGGCATTAACAGATGCGTTATAGAGGTCTTTGATAATGAACATAATGACTGAGGCATTCCATTGAAACGAAACAAGCGATAAGGATTTGCAGGAATACTTCTATATATTTTTTCTAGCTTTGGAGTGCACCCAGAAGAACAGCACGGAAGTTCTATGAGAACCTGTAGTGAGGTTGAGGGCAAACCATAATACTGTGGTATCAATGAAGAGGGCGAGTTCAAAAGGTCTCTATGTGCTGTGAGGGCACAGATAGCTGGTTCAAAAAACGCAATAAAAGGTTGGAATCTCTCTCTCTCCCCCCTTACCTGGGAGAGGGAGGGGGTATCTCACCTTTTCATGACCGATCTCTTCTCCAGCTCTAAATAGGAAACATCACATCTCCCCTTTTCAGCTCACAAGGTGTGGTCTATTTCTAGACAAGCATGTGTACAAAAAGTACTAGTATATATATTAAATATAACACCGGATGTGCTAAGAAAGATCACTTACTAAAATATTTCTATCCGTATTTCCTTAGCATTATAGTCAGACATGCATTTACAGGAATTGATGGTTCATTTTTTTCTACAGAAACATGCTCATGATTATCACATTGCTCGACACACTTCAATCTTATTGATTTCTAAACTCTGTAACACTGGGGGAGAGGTACAAAAGCACATGAGAGTGTGCTAGCAAAGAGAGGCCCTGGATCTCCCTCTCTGCAAACTGGGAATCACATGGAATAAGGATGCCACCTGCTGGAATAAACCAGGAATCTCCTACTTCCAGGAAAGAGGCATACAGTACATTAAGAATAAGAACTCGTTGTTTTTTTATCCCCCCCGTCACTGTGTCATTTGTGATAAAAGTGTCCGGACTGATTCACACAGAAATGTACTCCAGTTTTGACTTGGAAATTACCTGCATCAAACTGTGTGTGTGACTGAATGTTTGTCTAATGCAAAGCAGGACTTCATCAAATTGCAGAACTTCCAGTCTCCAGTCTTGCAACCCCAGCCCAGTGAAACCAGCACCTTCACCATTATGCTGGTCCAGCTAATTCGTAAAGAACAGGGAGAGGTGGTTAGACAAAGCTCAGTAAGGAAGGCTGCAGTTCAAAAAGAGCACAACTTACAGGAAATGTACTATGTACTTACAGCCTCCACCAAGACCGACTTCACTAGGAGTCCCACATGGTTATTGAAATCACTTTCTCCAGAAACAAGTGGAGGTTATTTGAAACATATATATAAAATATATATAATCAGACGTGTTTATTTGTATCAATGCCAAGACCTGGTTTTTCAGGTCTTCCTGGTGACAGCTCAGCATCTTGCATACTGCAAAGAAACGTACACAACATGCGATGCTACCTAATTGTTCATATGAACTGCTTTTTAGTTGGACACTTTTCAAGTGCTTCCTGTTTCATCATGATGCTCATGTCAGTGGAGGAGTGTACCAGTGTTGTGTTGCTTGAAAACCCCATTACTTTAAAAGCGCCTCCCCCCCACAGCAGTCCCTCTCCTATTCATGTCTGCAGTACCTCCCTCCCCCTTTGTGGTATAAAGTGTCAGTCCCGTGGACAATCATTTCAGGATATGCTTGATGATCAAGGGCAAACTCTCCAGCTAGAGAGGTGTCAGGGGACCCGTTTCTGCACTTGATGCTTTTTTTGCAATTGCATCATCCCTATGGCAGGCTGCGCATGTATTAGCCCCGTAAATCATCAAGAAAGAAACACGCAAAGCACAAACAGTGACAAACAGCTTAATTAAGATAACGATCAGGGTGTGAAGGAAGAAACACCAGAGCTCTTTTATACTTTATCTTTCTAACTCATTTGAAGCTATTATTAAAAAAAAAACAACATTTGCTGAAGTGGTCTATTAAGATAATCCTATAACTAATGGAAAATTTTATTTGTGTCACTACAGGAGAGAGACCATCTGGATTATTTTAGCCCCAAATTCCTCCCTTACAGTCCAATTGGAAAACACAAGATTTTTCCTATGTACCACAATATCCCAGGGGTACTATTATTCAGCATATAGTTACACTCCCTCACACAGCTGATTAAATACACAGAGCTAAACTTGCCATTTTGCACTGTTATTCAGGCCTAGATTGATGACATTAAATGTAGAATACTGGTTACAGAGAAGTTTTTTTTTTCTACATTACAAAATTATTTTTGTAACTATTTCAATCAATATTTTTAGAAAGAACAATTTTTGGAATGCAGCCGAGATTATTTTTCTTACACGGAGCCGGGCTATGGTATCACAGAGGGAATCTGGGGCTGCATGCCAAGAGATCAGATTTGGTCTGGGAAAACACAAACCTGGGCTATGAAGAAAGCCTTGGCTCATGAGAGAAAGTACTTGAAGACTACACTGGGGGAAACTGTGTTCTGTGCCACATTGAGAAATGAGCTTGCCTCATATCTTCAGAAATTACCTGTCAGAGAGCAGAGTTTGGTGACCACATGGCCTACTAGACATATGTGATGTGGCGACGATGTGGCTTCTTGGTGAAAGGGCTTTAAATGAGCTGAAAAAAACTAAAACAAAACAATGTCTAGCCTTCAGTGTCGTCATATGTCTGAATGCTGAATCCACCGAAGAGCACACTTCGAACGTTTTTGCTACGGAGGTTTGCAAGCTTTAATTTCATCGAACCCAAAACGCTCGAGTTGGACACAGGATAATTCACCTCACTGCATCGGAGAGGACGGTAACGGACTCTCTCGCGCGTCACAGATGTCACACGTGATATGAGTGGAGCCGAACTGACAAATGCCCAAAGCCCCTGCAGTGACACACAGCTGCCGGAGGCACAGGGGACACTGGCGAAGGAAGGTGCAGCTCATCGGAAAGAAAGACGAGAGGAGTCCGTGAAGAATTCAAAGGCTTGATTTTCTTCCCCCTCTAACCTCAAGGAAAAAACTGCACAGCTCCTGAAGAGGAAGAAACCCACATTACATTTCAACGGACCCATTTCACTCCAGGCCAGAGTTTAATTTGCATCACAAACCTAAAATCATACCAGTTCACCAGGTTAGTCAACATACATACGACAACTTCATCCTCATTTCCTACCATAAACATTTGGCAATGTGACCTATAAGCAGTATGTACATTTTAATGAATCTCATTTTAGGCAGCATTAAAGCAGCCCGAATTATAAAGCAGTCATGCAGGAATGCCTTCAGAATGTATTTTCCTTCTTTGCAGCAATACCCATTTCATTTCACCACTTCCATTAACATAAACATAAAGTAAATAAAAACTTACCTTGGAATTTCCTGTTATTTCAGACGGGCATAATTAACATACCAAATTCAGGACTGCTTTGGTTTTTCGGCATGCGAAGAGATGACTTTTCTGTTGACACAACATTATTCTTGCACTTGCAGCTGTATCCTCCAAGCACAGAAATACTGTAATTTCTAGTGTATTTTATGGTCTAGTTTTGGCTGCCTGCGCAAACTGCAGATTATCTAGGAGGACCTTGTATAAACATTATCCAATGTATTTATAGGTATTTAGGACAGTTTTTACAATACTTCAAGAGTCAGCGTGAACTTATATTTACCTCTTCACCTGAGGGTTATTTCTTATTTTAAGAATATGCGTATACACAAGACAGTGCCACCTGCAATTCAAAAAACATTCGGTATTATGGCCATGTTTTAATGGGAGTATGCACTGTTAATGTGATGCTCTGACACAAGGTAGTGTTAAATGTTTTCCAGGTGTTCCTTTTGTTAAGGGAAGCTACTGCATCCCACAGCACTTCAAACAGGTTAATGGACACAACCCAAAGGTTTTACCTACAAAGATTAGGCTTGGTGATGGTTTAGTACCGTCGAGTCGGTATTGATTCACGGCGACCCTATGGACAGCTCCACCATCACTATCCATAGAGATACGGCTTTTATTCCACGCAGACACTGCCAACACCGCCCCTCCATACTGCTGCTGCCCAATATGGATGATTAGAGTACCTTGCGTCTGACCTGGGACATGAACCCACTACCCTGAGATTATGAGTCTCATGGTCTACCAACTGAGCCAATCAGGGCTCAAATTAGGCTTGCTCATTGCTATATACTCTTCCCAGGTCCTATTATTTGAGCTGCATTGCAACTTTGAGCTTCTCTTTATTTCAGATCAATGCTATTTGCAATATTTTATAGGAAAGAATCAGAAGCTCAGCAGTATCTGTTTGGCCCATAAAACATGGGACATGCAATTCTTTTACAAATTCAGTGGGAAGTAGGAAGAGTGAAAATAATTACTGCACAACACAAGATGCAGTGCATGGGACAGGCAGTCCTGCTGTGCAAAACTGTCATACTGCATTTCCCCATTGCTAATCCAGACTGAACCGCAAGCTCCGACACAAAGTACATAGGTTACAATAGGAAAGCACTTTGGAGCAGAAATGGGAAGTAGTATTACAGTACAAAAAAAGTTAAAAGGGGAAAAAAGTGCAGCTAGTACTTCCAATAAAAAAAAAAAGATGTGTAACTTCCTTTCCACTACACAACAAAGCAAACCATCAAGCCTAAGGGTTGTGATTACCACCTGTGCCAACCTAAATCAATAAACAACACATTACCCAGAATGTTATCTTACTTTTATTATATTAAACAATAACCATATACAGAGGATTAAAATTCCAAAGAAATTCCAGCCTTTCCATCTCAATCTTAAATGTTTTTAAGTTACACATTTTTTAGAACAAAAATAACAGACATAAATGTACATAATTTGCATACACCTTAATGCATTTCAGTATTACATCTTGGCTTCTCCATTTGTTCTGGTCTATTGAGGAAATCAAGTGTAAGGCAGGTGAACAGAAAAGCAGGAATGCTTTTGGCTTTAGATTTCAAGTTGTGGTCAACCCCTCCCTCCCCTGACAGCATAATATTGAAGAAATGAAGAACGATATTAATTTGTTTGACAGCTAGAACCATTTATCTGGTTCAGTTAATGCATCTAACTCAAAAAGATAGAGACGAAAGACTACAGGGAAGGGGGAAAAAAATTGAAATTAAAAGTAAAAAACACTGAACACTATCGCCACAACCGTTCAAGGAGCAGCGGTGGGGTTGGAGGGTTTACGACAACTGAAATCCAACCCACTTCAGGGAGTGTTATGGATCGGAAACCAAACACACTGAAACAACACACCAGTGGGGAAGGCCAGCATCACCAACACGACGCTGATGTCTAGCTCATGCCATGTGGTCTACTGCAGGCTGGCCGGGTAGCTACAGCTCATAACCGCAGGGCTGCTTGCTGTGAAAAGGGGGAGTGTGATGGCATTTGTACGTATCTCCCTGTGATTAAAACATCACAAAGATGAAGAAGAAACAGGTCAGAGGGAAGAACAGAGAGCACAGTAATGAGAAGTCAACTACGTACAGCAGCCTGAACCAAAGTACCTGTTTTGCAAAGTGAGCGATCAAAGCGAACTGATATGTTAACCAAACAGCGTAAAAAGATTGTCTGATACAACACTGGTGTCGAGGTGCGAAAAACACTGTACTACTTGCTTATTCAACACCAACAACGCCAAATGACCCTGTAAACAAACAATAACAAAAGAGGAAAATAAATCTAATATTCACAGGCGTACAGTAAGATTCACAATATTTTTATTGTCGTCTTGCAAACGCAGAGCGAGGATGGACAAAAATGGATGGGCAACTTGAAGGGGAACTGTTTCATTCCTATATAAAAGGGACATGGTGAGGAAAACAAAATGAAAAGACAACCTTGCTACAGCTGGGCAGACACGGCTAGATCCTAAAACAGCATTTTAATTAAAACCAACAATCAAAAGTGCATTCCTGTGACCAGCAAAAAAAAAAAGGGCAAAATTCCTCACCTGTTAACGTTTAACATTTTGAGACTGGATTTCTTTGCAGAAATACACAATGGTCACAGCATGACTTTTTAGCTGTCCCAACTTGAGCTACATGATAAACCCAGCGTCCTGCTAAAACTTTGCTCTAGACTTGAACAATCTGGCCTCCCTAAACTTCGGCCTGAATTCAATCTGAAGAAATTTCTCACCTGATCTGCTCTGTAGTGGGGCTGCTTCTCACTTGAAGTGGGTCCAATTATACATGCAAAACGCTTTGGGATCCTTTGGGATAAATTAATCTACAGAAATTCAATTAACTCATTTCTATAACCAACTGTGACCAACAGAGCCATGGATCACTTGGTTCTATTCCTTCACAAGCTCACATGCCACACGCATCATGAAGGCAGACGATTTTAAAGTGAACCCGTCCCGTGAGCTAAGCATTGCAGCATTGCTTGCGAGCTCTTCCTTCCCTCATTTGGAAAATACATATAACATTCCAATGCATACAGTTTAATCCTAATATCTTTTTAACATGATCTTCAATAGCTAGAGAAAACTGGTGTTCACTGCCTAATACCTGCACTTGCAGACAACGCGATACAAAAAGAAAAACAAGAACCTGTTGGAGATTTGTGCCTTAGTGTTGCCCTGTCATCCACCCCTTATCAAAGTAAAATTTAACCTCGATTTCTTTAGGTATTAATTTGTAAGGAACTCATGTATCCAGGTTCTAATTATTTCAAAAAGGCATAATCCAATTCCTGAAAGGAGTCGCACCAAACTGTTTTGCAACAAACTAATGTACGTCACTACTTATTTGCTGCTCAAATTTCTTCTAGGTTGTTTTTTTTTTCTGTAACACTTTGCTTTGCACCAAACGTGCAGCACACTGCCCACTGCACTTCACTATATATATATCTGATCTCTCCAAATACGCAGTCTCATTCCAACACGGCTTGGTCACATAGCATCTCTGCAAAATGACTGCACCATGTTTATATCAGCAGAGAAAATCAAACCTATCAACTATCAGGAAAACAAATCATGAGCTTCTACACCCAGTGATTCCATAAGGTTTCATCGATAAAAAAAAACTGCAAATACTTTGCGAAACAGTAGCAGAGCTCTAAGCTTTTATCACCCTCAGCTAATCTGAATTTGTTCTACGACGTTTCTTGAAGGATTACTGTCGTTGTTCCGTGATGTTCAGCCAAGCTGACAAAGTGTTTCTCACAGCTGGAAAAGACCAGCCTTCAGTGCAGAAGGCTCATTTGGGGTACATAGAAATGTGACAACGGAAGGGAAAAAAAAAAAAGTTTTGACAAACACTTAAAACATTTTATATTGCAATGGCAGCTTTGTCCTTTCTATGCACAGTGCACCAGTATCCCCACCCTGACCTTAGTGCAACTTCTGATCTGCTGTGCGAGGTACTCCCATCCCCTGAGCTGAACCCCGGTTGGCGAAGCATGAGTTTCTTTTTTAAATTAATTGGCCTTCGACGTCCGCAACTATGGTACAGTTTTATACAGTGCATTTACAGTGCATCACTCCATTCACAAGCCACAGACGACCCCACCCCCCCCCCTTCCTCCCCCATACAGAATAAAAACGGACCAACTTCAGGACAGTTTCGTGTTTTTGTGACTGCAGGTCGACGAGGAACAGGCTGCTGCCATCCCGCTAAACTCATGACGTTTACAGACAGTCCCGTGGCTCTTGAATGACGGTTTGAGAGAGGGCGCTGCTGGCCCTGCTCACGCGTTGGACATCTCTGCTTTGCTGAGGGCGATGGCGAGCTCCAGGTCCTCCTGCTCCTGCCGCCGCAGCCGTTCCAGCCGGTCCCTCTCCGCCCGCTCGCTCTCCCGCTTCGCCCACTCCAGCTGCTGAGCCTCATTTCCAAACTGGGAGAGGGGAGAAACTGCCGCTTTAACAACCGAGCACCCCCCCCCGCCCCTCCGCCATCCCCCCCAGAGACACGGACGAGCCTCGGCGGCAAGGCGACGGACAGGGTGCGGCGCCGAACCCCTGGGGACCGGCGGCACATCTGGCCAGCTGCTCCACGCTTAAACGCGCACGAAAGACCAGGACGACCCAAAAATGAACACCAGTGACACTGCTCATAACGCTTGGACGCTTATGCAGGGAAAAGCACAAATTAAGAATCGCACATCTTCAAATTAAGAGGGATCCTGCTTCTTTCAAAAACGTGCAAGGTTTGCCCCTCCCCTTATAAGGATGATACAAAACGTGAAGCCAGCAAGTCGCATTCTAAGAAGAGGTGACTATAATTCTACGGTTAGTGTTGTATTTGGAAAAGCACGGTTAGGCACTCGGTATAGAACATCTGGCTCAACCTAAAAGTCTTGCCTGGATGTGTCATCAGAAACGGCCCATTGGAAAAATACAATCTTGTTATTGTTTCTGATTACACCAGGCGATGCCCATCTGCATTGTTAAGTGCTGGATGTAAAGTGAGCCTGGCAGGTTTCAGCTACAATTATATGCTGCTTTGCGGTCTGATGTAACTGGATGTGAAAGGAAGAGGCAGACATTCATCCCAATGCATAGAGAAGGTGTAATTAAAATGCCAGAAATACATTTTAACAAAAACGTTTTGAAAAAGACAGTATAAGCAAATTCAGGAATCACAGCATTAAGAACCATCTCTAAAACTATTGGATATATTTTCTATTCAGATTTATATGTACCAGTTCAACCAAGCGAAAATGACCTGCTCAACCAGCAGATACTTGAGGGTACAAGGTGAGGACACTTAAAATTTGAATACAGCTCTTGTGAAAACTGTGCCACTAAGAAAAATGAAACAATGCTACAAAAAAGAGGAAGTGTGTAAAATTTCTAAAAATAAATCCAAGTCCCTTTGACTTTGCAAATAACAAAACCACTAAAAGGAGAATCGCATCTTGGTGTTTTATGCATAGTTTGTCTCGTGAATTATGATAATTCAAACCACCAAAAATTGAGAACATATCTATATGTACAGTATGTCTATAAAGACACACAATGCAAGAAAACCTCTGTAGTTTTGGCAGCATGGAAACTGTAACAGGGCTTTAGAGAAAAGAAACTAGTGAGACCCAAGGTACTGTGCAAAAAGCACCATGTAGCTGCACTTCAAATTGAAAGGACTGACCAAGAAACAAAGCCTTGTAGCTTTGTACATCCAGTCTTGCCAATGCTTGCAAAGTATCACATATACACAATATTTCAGTATCTAGACCCATTTTCTGAACAATACCTCTATGGGAAACCTGCAAAACCACGTAAGCTTCTCTGCACAACTCTGTGTGGTTTGTACTGGGTGTTACACACTGATTTTCTTCTGCTTCAATGCATCCAAACATACTGCACTTCTCTTCACCTGTTAATTAAGATGTAACCAGCAGCCACAAAGCACCTCACCACCTAAAGCAATTTTACACAAGTGCTACAGGGTACAGATGTGGATAAATGGCTTACTCGCAGAAGGAAATGTTTTAATGCAGTTTTTTGTCATTTGTATTTTGCTTGTGGGGTCTGTGGATCTGAACAAATTCTTAAACTTTATGTTTAAATGTGCTCTCAATGCAAGGGGCACAGGGACACATGTTAAGGAGGCGAGATGCCAACAGCTCGAATAGCCTCAACAACCATGTCTGCACCCAGGACCTTCATGCTAGAACAACCAGGCACAAAGGTAAAAGGAATCAAATCTTCTCTGGAACACCTTGAAATCTTACCTTACGACCATCAGTTCCTGAAAAACAACCAAGAACTACAATTTCCACACATTGTCCACTGCACATAGAACGTAACAGGAAACAAAACACTATGTAGAAATACAAAACACAACGTTGATTTTTTTGCATGGCAAAAAAAAAAAAGACGAGACAAAAAAGAAATGATGGCATGCAGCAGAACACAACATCACTGCCACATGAGAAGTCCCCATGTGTGGTCTACACAAGCTTCTACGCAAACATACAACTACACACAGCACATGCTTGTAACCATGCATGCTGGGCACTGATGCCAATTCTGAATGAGCTGCTTAATCATCCTGGACTACCTACACTGCTTTCGAGCTGCGGAGCTGCTCGGTTTAAGTGTTGTATTGCGAGTTGTTTTATCTGACCATTTTCTGATTCCATTCCACCCTGCATACTGTAGCACTGACTTAACTGTATTAATGATGCATCAGAAGCAAAGGCTTTAAAATCATAACTTTATATTGGGGTATAGCTTTATTGCCTCTGTTGTGCAATAACATTAAAAGTTAAAACAGGGAGCTAATGGAATAATAATAATTGTTGATCAATAATAACAGTATCTTTAGTGAAAAAACATTTCTTTTAATGGCATGATCGCGGTTTTACAACCCCCACCCCATCTCACATCAAATTTCATTTGAAGCAATTAAAAAAAACAGGATACTAATGAGCAGGACTAGACTCTTAGCTCATTCTTACTAGATGCTGGTTCTTCACTAAATGGGAATATGAATTATGTTATGCAAAAACAAGATTGCAATAATCATAAAGCTGTTTCAATTGTATGACCCCTTAATTTGTCTAGCAGTTATGGTTCCAATTATTGATCGCATTCTGGAAATGCTCTCTCCTTCCTGACCTATATTAAAGCACAAAGTCAGAAAGTCAGCGCCAAACCACCAAAGCCATGCAATGAGTACGCTAAGTAGACAGGGGGGGGGGAGGAGAGAGGCAGGACCACAGATACGGAAACACAAGACGAAATGGGTCTGTTTTTGATGGTACTGGAATGCACACCAATAACATGCTCTGTAAACTCAGAACTGGGAGCTGAGTAGTGATACTGCTGCTACCAATGTAAACAAATCCCAGGGCTCTGCACTCTGGACTGCTCTCAAAACCCCACAGAAGTTATTCAAATCCTGGAGTAAACCGATGCATGAGGCAGTCATTCCCCCTCCCTAGTTCACTGCATGAATGGGGAACTCCATTCTTCAATAACCCTCAAGCAAGAGTTTTATACCTGGACTTATCCCAGCAATACGCTGGCAGAGCAGGCCTCAAGCATTAAAGAAGTGAGGGAGCAGCCTTCTCGAAAGGCACAATACAAATTTGGCCTGTGGAACTGCAAGCCTGCTAATGCCAAACAATCCCTTCAGTCTTGGCTTACTTCCACTAGGTTTGCAAGAACAGTTTCAGAATTTTTTCTACTCTGCTGGGATTCTTTTTGCGATTTTATAACGTTTTTGTGATTCATGAATCGCCACTATTGTGAGAGGAAATGGAATACTTTTTTTTTTTTACACATTCCAACTCTGTATTTCAGAAGACCACTTGGTAAGCTGAAGAAAAATGAACTGTTCCTAGTAACTCAACGAAAACCCCCCCAAAAAACCAATGAATCTCGATTTTGTAACTCACAAGAAACACAAAAAGTAACGACCAACCCAAAAAGCTCAGGAGAACATATTGGGGTCTTTGATTTAGTTAACTGAACTCGGAAATAAAAAGACAGAGATGACCAAATTTAACAGCAAAAAGACTGCCAATGGAGAAAAATAAACTTGTATTAAAAGAACTGGCATCCCCACTTGCTGTTAGTCTATCAAGTCCAGAAATCATTAGAATTAGCTCTGACATGGGTCTGACTCGAGACAGGGGTGTGGGGATGATGACTGCTGAGGTGAGGGGAACTTAACTGCATCATGTGAGGTGTCCATCAGTGATTTGAATGAGAAAACAGAGTGATATAGCGTGAGACCCTCCTGCTTGGTTTTGAAAAGATAGTCCTTAAGCCCAGCCCATTTGTTTAACACTGTCCTTTAAGCACCCATGGTTAGAAATGGTTTAAGGATAATGATAATCCCACCATTACAACTTCAGTAACGCAGGTCATTTTCCATTTCTGTTCAGAAAATTTTGATTTCCACCCAAGTAAAAGGTGCCAAATGTGCGATTTAAAAGGCCAGACAAACTTTCAGCCTAGGAGCGGACCAAACGGCAGTTTTAAAATTCAGTGTTGCTGCATTCAAAGCACTGCAAATACCATATGGATCAACATGCTTTCCTGGGTTTACATTATAAACAAGCCTCTCACCCATGTTTCACCCACTAATAATGTATTTGTTACATTCCAAGATCACTGTCCCAAAACAAGCATACAAAAGTACTAGCAGCTGCCTTTTTTACGAAAAATACAAATGTTTAGTTGTTTCAAACTATGTTATTAATACATAGTTATTAGCATTGTAAGCAGCAAGCATGTAGATCATGGTATCCTTGCTGTACCAATACATATTAGATTTCCAAAGTTAAGCAGTGCTTGCAACACAGCTAACCAAGCCTCATTCATGAGGGGTTCATAAGGACAAGACGTCCTTAGTCTCAACACTAAGTGTCTTTGTCACATATGCCATTGGGGTCCCTCTGGGCTGACGTTCCTGATTCGAGAGGATTTGAGGCGAGTTAACGTTATTGAGAGGAATAGGTTATTCACTAACAGCAATGTCTGTAGCATGAAGGTGGCCAAAATGAAACGCAGCAAAGAAATACAGAAGCTGGTGGTGCATTCTGCTATAGATTTCTCAGTTAAGTCATGATCACTATAAGCAGAAAGCAAGAGGGCGGACTGGACAGAGAGAGTATCACTGAACTCAACTTACAGAGCTGAAGTCTGCAAAACCCAAGGCAGAGTCTTTAGAAGCTTTACTTGAGGAGGAAGGAGCAAAGGGATCTTTGCCACTAAATGGATCTCCAAACCCCTTTTTACTTTGAAATGGGTCACTGGCATCAGCGCCAAAGGGCTGGAAAGGATCACTTGACTTGGACGAGTCTCCAGACCCTGGCAGGTTTACCGGGGTACTTTGACCTAAAAGGTTTAGAAAGAAAAAAGATTACTCTCCCCCACCCGAAATGCGGTGTGGCTTTTAACAGATTTATCGGTTTCATTTCAGACTAAGCTAAGTGGCGGAACGCAAACAGCAAGATATTCGAGTTTGATTAACCACAAAATGTAAATTAATCAAAAATGAGAAACCACCTTTGAAACAGCCCAGATTTATTCATCCTGTCTTTGACCAGAAGTGGAGATAAACCTTCAACTTGCAACAGCTCAAGCGCTCAAGAAAGCATTACTGGTGCTGGAGGGCCGCTCACGTTGGGAAACGGCAAGCAGGACTGTTCTGAAACCTAAAGACTCCAGGACCCATACAGCAGCTAATAAAACAGAGATGTGAGTGCGGACGTTTACCCAATCTCTTGCCCAGTTCTTTTAGGGATTCTAAATTTTCAGCACTTTCTCTTGGCTCAGTTAAAGATACGATTTCTGACTGTGAAGTTTGAAGACTTACAAGTGCATTTAGCAGAAAAGTGCGCTGTTGCAATCTAACCTGCATTATTTTTTAAGCCCAAGCAATGCAGTAGCCGAAGTGCCCCACACACAGCACACATTATGTGTCAGATTATCACTTTTCATTAGTCTGGTTGTGTATCCAGCCTTGTAAGACTATGACCCAGTCCCTCTGCCCTTGAGACTTCCCCGACGTCTGTGGGAGACTGCTTACTTAAGAGGGAGCTCTGAATTAGAACCTCCGGCAGTCAGACAAGACTCAGATGGCAGAAGATCTCAGGCAGCGCCATTCTGCAGCCCTTGCATGGCATCATACTTACTTTCATGAGTGACGATCATCTGATATCAGGTTTCAGAACGTGAAAACATACACAGGATCGAAATTTAAAATCATTCAAACTAATGTTTCTTGAAGACAGGCCCATCAGGACAATTTAAAGCTAATCAACCATGGTTCCTCACCAAGACGCGCCAAGTTGGAGGTCACTGCGCACTTGACTTAAATTCATGTAGGATTATTTAAAGTGTTTTCACTCTTTGCAAACACGTGAGAGAGATACCAGTTTTTAGCTAAGTGTTTCTGACATGCTCGTTCTTCCTTTAAAACCACATCAGTTTCAGCACCAGTGGCGCACCAAAACCACACAGCAAATTTGAACTTCGGCAAAAACAAAATTTCAAACCTTCACCACATGAAGAACAACTGACAAGAAAACACCAGCGGTGTACGTGATCTACATAAAAAAACACTTATGTATTGTTTCAGAAGGAGATTTCTGATTCAACAGCCATAGAAGAACATAATTCAGATGCACACCAACTTGAGCAAATTAACAGTAACTGATCGCACAGCGGCATGGGGATTATCACCTCTGACGCAAAAGCCGGAATCAGATCCAGGAGCTTTGCTCGTTTCCTCTGTGGTGTTTGTCTGGTTGTGCTAGTGTCCTTCCACCTCCCTAATACAGAATTACCTGTCCATGTTTCTACTCTATGATGTTACTATTTATCCCCCAAACGCGTTCTGCGATGGATTTGGTTCCCACATAGTCTGCAGTCGATTTCTGAGGATCATCTTTCTACTAAAAGACTAAAAGCTGTCATGGCCTCAACCAACAGACTGCCTCTAGTTTATAGAGCAAATATATAGGAACTCAAGAATGGTGACCAACAAGAGGACACCACTCAGGTCAGGTCAGTGACCCGAGCACCTCATCTAGCCGTTAACCTAAGAGAATCCCGGATATCACTTTCGACAACTTGGCTGGGTGCTTTATTGTAGACCTACAAACTCTCTAGTGCCTCTAGTTCTCTTGTTTAAACGCACTTACTGTTAGCTTTTTCTTGCATCCTCTAGTCAGTGGTTCACTGGTGACTGATCTTTATCCATTAGGTTGACTGCAATGCCTTTGCTTTATTCGATACTAAATGATTTTAAATCAGGTGCCCTCATTGGTTCTACATTCAGGGCCAAGAAGAAACCTGACTCCCCAGAAATCACCGATTTTAAATCAGGGCTACGTTATTAGCCAAGAACACCTGGGACTCCCCAAGCACTGGAGCACAACTGGCTCGAGAGCCTCTGGGGTAGGTGGGTGGGTTTGTTGGCCTGTTTCCACAGCTTGCCATGCTACAGTGAGCCCAGTGGCTTTCCAAACACCTGTGGGCGTTCAATGAGATCGGTGAAAGCTGTGCATTTCACCCAGCGTTTCCATTAACTGCTAACATCTAAACACCCATCAGCACCAGTTTCAAAAGCTAATTAAATAAGACTGGATATGCCAACCTGTCTTGCAGGCAAAAACAACACTGTTATGAAGGATTGTGATTACTGTAACATGAGCAAAAAGTAATACTAAATGTTCTTAAATATTAAGTGACAAAGATCAGAAATCAAGAAAGTTTCTCACTAAGCCCACGTGTTCTTGCTACCTTTGAAGCTTTGTGGTGAAGGCAACAAGCAATTTCTTTTGACATCTCTCAGAAAGTCACACTCTTACTACAGGATAGGACTTATTGTTTCTATACGCAGCTGAGTGACCAAGCTCTGTGTGGTGAGAGTGAAGGAATGAAGAAACATCAAGCGCAGCTCCTTCTTGGAATTTGATTTTCATGACGGCTTGCAAGGTCAGGCTCGCAAGTTTTTACACCCTCCAGTCTTTTCAAAACGCAATATTGAGTACTGTTCTCTGGTACGAGGAGTGCTAGTTGCACAGAACAATGGAATTAAATATGGTAACTGAGCTCTTGTGGTACCCAGAACAGCAACAACAGAAGCAGAAAAAAGACCAGAGTTGTGTAACAGCAGAGCTCCAACAATCCCCCACATCCTGCCCCTGTACCGCAGGTTTAAGTTACGAGTCCCAAATAAAATTGCTGATAACGTGAAAAAAACTATGACAAATCTGTTTTCTTTTATCGTTACTAAATGAAAAAAAGAAACAGTAGAACTTTATGCATTCTATTAGTTTTTCCACTAACGAATGGAACGTTTCCACTCTGTGCTCTGCAAAAAAAAAACACAGAGCAGTCCGTCACTGTGAGGGACTGCGGTTTTTCCTAGTGGAAACTCTGGTCCTCCATCTGGTGCTCAGTTCTGCTGTGTGATCCGTGAGGAAGGAAGCATACAAGGGATGTGACCATGCATTGCACAGAACCATCACATCTCCAGCTGGCACCAGCGCTCCAGCTACCCGCCAAGTTCAGCAACTTCTCATTATGAAATAGGACGGTGTGGGGGGGATACTATAGCACCATTTGAAAATCTTGAAAAAAAATATTTAACTGAATGCTGGACTAAGAAGCTTCTAATCATCTGTCTAAAAGAAGCAACACATTAGGCTCAACACACTAAGGTTTCACTAGAGTATTCCCTAGGGGGGTTTATTATTGAAGTTTCGTAGAAGTTTTTTTTCCCCCAACACCAAATAAAAACTCAGGTCATACGTTTATCTTAAGTTTATCAAGCGATCTTTTCCACTGTGAGAGGTTTAACCTTATGCCTAGTGAATACAGGGCACTAGAAAGACTTTGAACCTGATGGACCCCACCCTTTCGCACTTGAGCGCAGATCAATGCATCTGTTATTTGTCTTCTCTAGAGCAGCTACTCGAAATATCACTGCATGTGTAAAACGGTGAGAAGAAATAAAGGAGGCTGGCACTGAAATGAAGGCGTGGGAAAGTAACATTGGTCTTCGCTTATCTAAAAACGTGTTAACCACTCCGCCAATCAAGCTCTTATTTATACAAGTGTAATCATAGAATAGATTTGCATTTCACAGCAGAACTAATCAGGCAGGCAATCAGTTTCTCTCTTTCGGGCAAGTGCAAAGACGACAACCTCAGGATTTTTTTTTAACTACAAATTCTATGGTTGTCAGATATGTGGATGATATGGGAAATATTGACTTCAAAACCCTCATGTTCACCTTTAAGGCTCCACCTGGCTTGGAACATCATTATCGGTCTGACTTGTTATCTTTTCTACTCCACACCTCGCGATTTTCATTTGTCTGATTCCGATCTCATCTCCCAAGCCTACTTGCACCCTATGGGTGACAGGACCTTCTCCCACTGCGCCCCAAAGCTCTGGAATTCTGTCCCCAAGGATACCACAGTGTCACTTACCCTAATCTACACTCAAAACCTTCAGAAGGGCTTTTATGCAATCAGTGTTTGTTTCTGCTCCTTCTATTGTCTACTAACATTTCCAATCATTAATACTACATTTCTTTGTGCTCATCTTTTCTTCTCCTATTTTGGCTACTTTTTAACTGTGTTTTTTTGCTTTTCATGTAAAGCACATTCAGCAGAAACTTTAAGGTACGACTAAATAATAATAATAATAATAATAATAATAATAATAATAATAATAATAAAGGTAGCCGTCTAAACCGCTTCACCACGATTGATTTCTCTTCAACAAGGTAGCAAAGGAAAAGCACAGAATGTCTCAGCATTCAAAAACATGGAAAGATTTAGTAAAATAAAAAAGGACACTCCCAGCCTTTAATCAAACACTAAGAGATCACACCTTAAAAGGCTTAAACACAGATTCAGGACAAAAGACAAAACGGAAACAACATAGAAGCATAACATACAAATCCTCTGGACAGCATCCACAGCAGAAATAAAGGGGACTAATGTATCATTGCAAGAAAACATCATTCAGCAAGTGCAAATGCAAGTTTGTGCTATGTGATTGCACCTCTCTCTGCAGTTACTCTCTAAATAACATAAGCTTATCTACGGTATATATAAACGAGAGCTCTCCGACAACTTCTAAGGTAAGAAAAATAACTAGCTGCCAAAGAGCATGTTTAGTTCATGTTTCCTTTTTCAATAATGCACTACCTCCATGGCATCGCAGAAGACCATAGTTCAGCAGGCAGCAAAAGAGGCACAATGGTGGAATGTTCCCAGCTTGTTCCCCATTAGATGAAGTACTGAGGATTAGGGTAACCAATCACAAACTTTCCTGTGCCCCCCCCAAAAAACTCGAGATCTTGAGCTCTAGGCACTAAAAGTTTGGTTAATGCTGGGCAATCATAGTCTTGATATATTCAGTGTGAACTGCTTTGAAAAGCAGTGAAATGTGGTGCACAAATAAAATGCATAAAGGGTCACAACTTCTTGTGCAATAAAACTGAATGGTGAACAGCTTCTGGCAATTACACACCATGACCACAGACACAACTGGAACATGTGTACAAGACACTTGTGTATGTTATTTATTTGTTCCTTTGTGTAGCTATCATTATGTGGTTGTTAGAATAAACCAGCTATGTCTGTGAGCAACGCTACCACCTTGAAGCCTGACTCTTGCCAGAGCAAGATTGGGCCTGGTCAGTACCAGGATGAGACACTTCCAAGGAAAACCAGTTTGCTGCTGTTCATGTTTGTGGACTGTTGGGTTACTCGGTTTCCTGTAGATCACAGGTAGCGCAGTACAATGGCATGGAAGTTAGTGCTGAAAGGCAGTGTGAATTCTGGGCTAGAACATCCTACTGTGTGACTGCACAGAATCATCATTCTGATTGCATATTCGCTTCATATTTACAGGGGTTTTGCTTTCTGGTTGATTGGGTCTAAACTGACCCTCATTTTAGTGTTTCAGCAATGAACTGGCATCCCATCAAGAGTGTAACTCAGCCCTGTGCCGGCCCATGATTCTGGGATAGGCCCTGGGTGGCCTTAGCCCTTACTGGGAATAACCAGCTTTCTGATAATGATGGGTTGAAAGATACAAGTCCCAGAAAGGAAATTTTGCTGTAGGAGATGCTGTTTTCAGACGAGACCATCACCATGGTTGATAAAGAACCCACAGCACTGTTCTTAAGAGTGATTGGGTCTGTAAAATCTGGCCTCCCTAATGAATCTTCCTAGTTGAATTGGAAACAATTTCTTACTGTACGTCTCCACATGAGCTGCTGTGCAGAAATAATCTATCCAATTCATTCTTGAGGGCTAGAAAACTACCCAATTTTTATTTTTACCCCAACAATGTACTTCATCATCCAAGTAAAAACACTACAGCTTATGATAATTACCTTAATTTACCCTAGTTCAGCAGTTAATAAGGCAGACCACATATAGAAACTATCACTGAGAAACAGTGTAGTCTCCCACTATAACCTCACACAACACTATGAGGATAGCTTCTTCCATTGGTCTTTAAAGAGCACACATCTTCATAATGGTGATAAATAGCTACAAAATTGCATGGCAACATTTCACAAACCCGATGTGTGTAAATCGAAGGATGGGTGTACTCACTCCACATTCTAAAGATTTCGAATGCTCTTGCTAATGACTGTAAAAGACAAACGTATTATACTTTTGGTAACATCTTTGTGAGGGCGGAGAAGTGTCGCTTTCAAAAATGAACACACTGGAAAAAAAAAAATGCTGCCTTGCTTATAATAGCGCAGTACTTGACTGTTTTTCTGCCGAGAGGTTAAAAGGTGAAAAATGCACCACACTGGCACAGGTAACCAGAAGAGTTGAAAAGGTTGTGCCCTGATCTTGACCACACCATATTTGCCAAATTCAACTGATAGTGGTGCTGAGAAAGCCACAGTGCAGAACAAAATGCACAGCACTCAGAGGAAGTGGGTAAGGGTGGAGAAAACGCAATGCATCCCAATATTAGCGCACACGAAACACCAACTCGACACCCACATGACTTCTGAAACCGAATAATCATTACCCTCAGAAACGCTGCCCATCTTCAGTTCAAAAGTTCTTGTTTTCTCAGGGGGACAGCAACAGAAAAACAATTTAGCTGGCGAGAAGCCGAGCCCTTGTTTATTCAAGAGTGCTATTAACTTAAGACATCGTGAGAGTCTCATCAGAGCTTCCTGAGCTGAAACACCTCAGCTGAGAAAAAACAAAATGCAGCGCTGTGCTGTCAGGTTTCACAAGCAACAAAAGAGACAAGGTTCTTCCCAGAAATTCAGTTTGCATGGCAACAAACACTTCACTATTTTTGCCACTGCAACCTCCCAATAAAATCTGCTATCATTTTAAAGCAGAGTTAACCCCACTGCCTGAGGCTTCACTTGGAAGAATCAAGACAAATGCATGATCTTTTATAATATAGGGGCACATGTTACTGTCTGAATTAGGATTTACATTAGACCCCATGTTTGGACTAGGCTCCTGCAATACAGGAGCTCTTTTTATCTTTTTTAAAACAGAAATTTGAGCAATGCACTCAACGGATGAGAAACCCACAGTGTGGAAATGGCAGTGGTGGAATCTTTCGAGATTAAGCCTGATGCAGAAACGCAATTGCAAGCACACAGCTCTGTTGGGCTGAATGGGCAGCCGAAATTTCAGATGAATTTATTTATTTGCACAAGGGTGCAATGGGCAGCGTGTCTCACCTAGATTCGAACCCGCAACCTTCCCATTACGAGTCCAGAATCTGACCACTACACCACACTGCTGCCCATAGCTCTCCTCATTGAGGGTTCTTACAGTATTTTCATGTGTTAAATGCTGACTGACGGCTGATTCTATTTTTAGATTACAAACCAGTTCATTTGATTTCCTACTCCTTCATACTCTTACAAATGAAAGGCTGAGCCAGTTACAAAGTCTGCTTCGGAGATTGTTTTTTCCTAGACTAAGTGGTACCGCTGTTTAGCAATCGTTGGTTTCGTATAACATTTTGGCATCCGCCAACCTATTCATTTCGTGCAAGAAGTTCAAATTACATTGTCCGCTGGCAAGACAGGCCTCGACCATATTGTCATTTCTCCATCTAGTTTACATGTTAAAAGCGATAAGCACAACACAGCACATCAGGAAACACTAACAATTCAGCAAATACTTGCTGGGATAGTCAGACAAACATTAACATGTTCAATTATAGGTGGAATAATTCTCATGTGTGTTTATGAAGGTCCCCAAGTTAACACAAGCGAAAGCCAGGTGTTAATGGGCAGGTACCGCACTTTCAGAGTCCTAAGAGCCAGCAGATGCAATGCAGGCAGAAGAGTTAATATAGCTAACAAGTGTGATTAGTATAGCTAGTGAAGCTAAACCAGAGTCTTCATTCTCTTGTCAGTGCAATGCAAAGTACTTACTCTGGACCACTCTGTAAGCAACTACAACAAACACAAGAATTAAGGAATTTAGAAATCAAACATGGAAAGTTTTTTTTTAACAAATACCAAGATACCATTGGAGGCCAGGGACTCATTTTAGCTTGCAGATCAAACAGATCTGAGACAGCTGGTGCACATCCCTGCAATATTTTGCAACACACACATAGTAAAAAAAGAACATCAGAAATCAAATACAGGATATGTATACTAGCCTGAGAAAGAGATGAAAGGTGCAGAAACAGCATAAAATGAAAAGCAACCGCAAGTCTCATGTCTGAAGATTTGAGCCAAACCCTTCCTTTGTGTCCCCTGACTGGAGTGCTTGGTGAAGTTCTCACTATACAGTCTACAAGGTGAAAAAGATGCTACACGCTAAATCAACGTGGCTTCCCACGAAACGAGGGGAATTCACAATAGGTTTCAAGTAAATGTCACATAAAAAACAAGATGCCCAATTTGTAAGACACTCACCCTTCTCACCCCCACCCCCCCCCAAAAACAGGGGATTACAAGTACCAAATCATGATCTCATTAGACACCGATAATTTTCTAGAAGGAAAGCTAAAAAGTGCTTTTATTTTCCGACTTCATGAGTTTAAGGAAACTAAATTAACAGTTTTTATAACCTTTAAGCATTTAGAGATGCACACAAATTGTGAAAATTACAGACATCCCAAAACAAACCGATCCATTTAAAGGGTAAAAAAGTGCAGAAATGCTGATTATATATTACAATAGTATGCACGCTGGGGACGAACAGATTCAATTTCTATCCATGTGTGGGCAGAGTGACCTTTCCTCTGATTGGACATGCTGGTGTGGTGTTTACTTACCACTACAAGTAAAACTTACCGCTGGGTGGCTTAGGTCTCGGGGGTACATTCTTCTTGGGTGGCAGTGCTGGGGTATCCTGCTTTCCTCTGAAGGGATCATCGGAGAACCCCTGTGCCAACCCCCCCCAAGAAATAAATACATTTTCATGCGAGATGTCTAACTGAGAAGGCAACAAAACTAATTACTGCACAGTCAGACCCTCAAAACGGCTCTCCGTGCAAACACAGACGTGCTTCTCGCATTCAGAAACTGTATCGTCACGTCTTACTGGAGATAAAAGAGGAGTGATCCAAATTCAAAACTCAGAAGTAAAAAGCCCCACCCGAAGAAGCCGAAAAACAAACCACCATTCATTTCTAAAATAGAACACTGCTTGTTAAACACTAGATTTCCACCCTTCGACTTTATCTTAGTGAGGGTTACCACTGGGGTTCGAATGAAAACACCAGATTGCAGGTGTGGTCCTCCTCCATTGCAGTTCGAAACCTCTGTGTGCAGCTAAGGCCAATATCACTTGCTCATGTGCGATTCTCTCAAAACCATGTAGTCTCATTAAAATCCAACTGCTACAACTGAATCATCAGACCACGTCTCACCCCATTAAAGCACATTTTGTTTACTCGTAAAGGATTTGCCTGAGGAGTCCTTTGAGCAGTACACAGGTGACTTTGAGGGCTACAGCTTATCTAGTAGAAAATGCATTGCCCACTTTTGTTGGTCTATTGAAAGATATAAAAAAAATACTCCCCACTGATACAAAAATGTCAGTAGTAACCCAGATTTCAAAACCTGGATCAAGGTATCACAAAGAGCACAAACTCTGCGAAACTGTGAAAACAGCAGCAATAAAGTGACAGTTCTGCATAGAAAAAGATTATTGAAGAAGCTGATCTTGATAATCAGATGAGCAAACAGAGAAAGCAATATCTTCAATAAGAAAATCTGGTTATGTGTAGAGATCAGCACTCAGTTTGTTGATGCCTGTATTCGATTGAGATATTTTTCTAAATGGCTATTATAATAGTTTCTTTTTTCACTTATAAACTCACAAGCTCATGTTTTAGGATGCAGTTTAGGCCCTAGAGTAACAGCAAGAGTTTTTCACCTCTGAAATGAGAGGCGCACTCTTGCATTTAAGAAATGGTCATTTTGAATCAATTTGGTGGATCTTGACTAGGTACCATTTAACACTCCTGCAGAAAGTTGTCAAAAATGTTTTTGGATGTTGTCCAAAATGTTACGGCATAGTCAGAGATTTATTTACATAAGCATGAATGGGACATCTGTGAATGTGAATCTCCACATAAAGCTGAGTATAAGTTTTCCAAAACCACAAACAGTGACATACGATTATGATTTGCATCTTGGGGGGGGGGAGGGCAAAAACTGGCTTTTCTGGGAGAATGTTCATGCGATATCTTTGTGGCATGACCGTTCTAGAGATACGCAAGGGCAACTTGCCTTGGACATTTGGCTGAAGTCTGCAAACCCACCACTGCTTCCAAAAGAGCTGCTTCCAAAAGGGTCTAGTGTTCCAAAGAGATCTGTAGGGAAAAAAATAAACAACATAAAACAAGAACAAAAGACTTCCAACTAGAAAGTAAGTGTGGCTCCTTTTCTTTTTGATGACGACAGAGACCATCAGAAGTTACATTCATTTTTGGTTCTTAAGTGTCTGTTACTGCACAGAATAAGCACTTCAGCACAACCCTTAGAACTTATACAGGCAGGCAACTGGAGAAAGCGTGCCAAACCTTAATAAACTTGAAATAAACTGTCTATACAGTCTTGTACGTAGGCACCAGCAATCACAGTCTGTGGTGTTTTTGTTTCTCTGACGTCTGCAGCTGTGATTGACAAGTCAAAAGGGGTTAAAAGTTAGCAATTTCAAACAGTGTAATGGCACAAGCAGCCGTTTTCTATGAAATGTTTGTACAACTATATGGGAAAAAAAGGCATTTATTGTAACACAGTCCATTTGTAAGAAAGAGAATGGGTGCCTGAAAAACTACACAAAAAAGTATAAAGTGACTTCTTTTGGTGTTATTTATGAAAGGGGAACGTAAACAAGACTTTAGAACGCTGGCTAACCCACAGTCACAGGGAACACAGCTGGTCTTGTGTTCTAACTAGGTATGAAATTTCAGTGTTGCATGAAGCAATGTGTTTCCTATGAACTAAAGTAATTTCCTGGAAAATAAAACTATCCCAGCTCAGCAAGAGTGAATAAACACTAGATTGAGAATAGCTTTTACACTAAGTGATTCTACTGCTCAAGTTACATTTCTGCTGCCAGGTCCACAGTTAAACATCATTTTCTATATTTGGCCACAATGTCCTGCTTGTTTTTACCACAGCTGTTTGTAGACAAAGATATTTTCATGGCATAGACCTGCTTATTCATACATATAATTCATATATACTAGGAACATGTCCACAAGAATACAGGAAAAAAAAAATCGCAATCCCCCACCGAACGTGAAGTAAATTAACAACTCGGTCAGGCATGCAACTCTGAGCGAGGAATGCAAGTGAAGTTGTAAATCCTCCTGGATAAGGAACAGTCCTTTTTGACTCTCTGCTCATAAAACTAAGCATTCGGAATTATTTCTGCTCCGAGGTTTGAACATGGGAAAACCCAGCACGAATGAAGAACAAAACTTAATCTAAAATTATGTGACCTGTTTCCTTTTAGCAGCTCAATCACATAATACACTCATGCTGTTGTCACAGAAAAAAACCTTCTATGAAGTTCCACCAGAATGTCTGATCGCTATTTGCATCGCAATGAAAAACGTGCGGGATTTTAGAACAGTGTACCTTCTATAACAGTATCTTATCACTTGGCGTTCACACACCCACCCTTCACCACGAAAGATTGCTTAACCCACAGATTCCATATAGCTCTTGGTGTAGTGTGAGAATGCTTATATTGACTACATTGTGAGATTCACACTGTATGACAATGAGACCACAAGCAGGCTATAAATGATAGAGGCACAATCGAACAATGAAAAGAAAAGCACAAAAACAGTCAGCTTGGAAATACCATGCCTTCCGGAAAGCATCTCAACATCACACAAAAGACAATGCCTCATACGACAAGGCAGAAGCAGCCACCTTAATTTGTATCCACCCAGCATCTCACAACTAAAGCTAAGCAGATGTGAGCCTGGCCAGTACCTAGATGGGAGATCTCCTGGGGAAAGCTAAAGTCGCTGTTGGAAGAGGCATTAGTGGGGCTAACAGGGGGCGCTTTCCCTGCGGTCTGTGACAGGGACACACCTTAAAAAAAAACTATACCTTAAAAAAAGATGTCATCCTTGGGATGAGATGTAAAACTGAGGTCCCAACTCTCTGCGGTCATTAAAAAAATCTCAGGGCCTTTCTTGAAAAGAGTAGGGGTGTAACCCCAATGTCCTGGTCAAACTTTCCCATTGGCCTTTACCAGTCATGGCCCAATAATCCCCATTACTTCATCACTCGGCTCTCCTCCCCACTGATAGCTGATGCGAGGCGAGAGCACTGGAGCACTCTGGCTGCTGTCGCATCATCCAGGTGGGGGCTACACACTGGCAGTGGTGGAGGGGAGTCCCCGTGGGTTGTAAATTGCTTTGAGTGGAGTGTCCAGAAAAGCGCTACATACGGATATAATTATAAGATAAAAGCAGCCACAGAGCCTGATGATTTTTACCTGATCCTTTTGGCTTTGGGCTTGTAGAAGCAAAAGGGTCACCGCTGGCAAAAAGGCCGGGCTAGAAAGTAAAAAACAGACATTTCAACACCTTGGAAACTATCTGCCATGTTTACTGCTTCGAAGTACAATTGGATCACAGTATTTTATGGTTAACAGCCTCATAGATGCAATTAAATACAACTTATCCAGTGTGGAGGATGGGGTTAGAGTCTTAAAGATTTAACTGAGTGTCACAGCCGTGAAGAGAAGAGATGACTTCCTGAAAAGAGGCTGGTGAACACCCCCCGTTAGACCACCAAAAAATTAGGGAGATCTCTCGTTACCTTTGAAGGAAGTGTAGCACTTTTACTGAAAGGGTCGGAGGTCGTGAAAGGGTCCGACTTGGCGGTTTTCTTGAAGAAATCATCAGATGACGTACTCTTGAAGGGGTCGCTCTCTTTGAAAGGGTCTCCCCCAAAAGGATCTGGGCAGAAAGCAGCAATTTATTGGCACCAGCAGCAATTTTTATCTTTAAGACGGAAAACACCACCTATTCCAGAGTAGAAGGGGGATCAACACTAAGGTTGTAGCCAATAGAAGGGCTTTCTTGTTCAGCATTGAGGACACACAATTGACCTGATCATGAAGATGTCTTTCATGGTTAACATTTTTTTAAAAATGCTGCTTGTCAAAACAGTCAATCAGTGAAAATCTTGATCAACTTATTAATCTTGACACCCAAAGCTTCCTGTCAAAGGTGCAATACAGCAGTTCCTGTAAAAGAGGCATCCTATTGTGTGTCTGTCTTCATATGCTGAGTCAATTTTTAATAACATATCAAATTCTAAGGGTCATCTGAAGACTTTTTTTTTTGCTTTTAAACATGGATGCTTTCTAGACCCCTTTAAGTAAATGGTAAACACACTGACTTGCTGGTCTACCTATCACTTGTGCAGACAAAACCCCCTTGGTTAATATAGGCACAATTTAAGAATACGTGGCTTGTAGAGAAACCCAACAACACAGAGGGAGCATCTGATTTTACAGTGTACAGACAGTCTTTATTGAGCAAGTGGAGAATAGTGCTGGGACACACTGGAAATGCTTAAGATCCAATTTAGAAAGCCAGTCGATTTTGCAACAGCAATTAGCTAATGATCTTGGATCTCACGAACTGTACAGCTCCCTGGCGGGGAACTGAATAACAAACTAATGTCCCTCTTAAGTCCCCACTATTTTAATGAAGTCTTACTGCAGTAAGTATTCGTATTTGTTATCTTTTTAAAAATATTAACTCTCAATACCTGTGGCAACAGGCGGCTGCTTTGCAAAGGGATCGTTTAGGAAGGGGTCACCTAACGAAGAAAAGCGAAGTCGGGGGGGAGGGGGAAATATCAGTTACTTTTTCAGGCCAGCTGGATCTTGGGATGGGATGGGAGTGCCAGACATTGCACTATAAATGAATTAAAGCATGCTTCAATGTGAAAAGTTCAAGATCTCATTCCAGTAGGTTAGCTAACCTAAAGCTTAAAAAAGCTTAAAGCTTAAAAACACATTCTGTAATGTAAAAGCTAACATAAAAATAAATAGTACAGTAGATGGAAAAATTGAACAGATCTTCAGAAAAAGTCCTAGGGCACATTTGACTGTATATCTGAAGCAAACTGGGAAGAGCACGGAAGAGAGAGGGATGCTACTTTATTGGGAACTGGGCTGTAATGCTTTCATCCACCTCAACCCAACTGCTAGGCACAGCGCTGCCACAGCAGCAACCTGCCTCCGAGCGGCCCAGAGGAGTCCGGCAGCGATTAAAAAGCCCGCTGGGCCGAGCCGGTTTCACGGAACGGCCCGTTTCGTGCAAGCGGGTGAAAGCACACAAGGGGTCGCCGAGGTCCGGAGCTTAGGGAAAAAATGGAAAACACTGGAGTGTGCGCAAGACTGAGGAGGGAGGCGAGGTGCAACTCAGCAGGCCAGGAGAGCAGCAGCAGCAGCCAGGACTGGAGTGAGCAATGACATCAAGGGACATCAGAGTGAGGGGGGAGGGCAGGAAACTCAGGGAGAAGGCAGGAGGGGGACAGCTTGAAAACAAACAAACAAAAAAAAAAGAGGATGACGACCTGTAAGCGAGTGGGAGGCCGGGCAGGACGTTGGAAAGTCTCCCCCTGGAGGGCACGGAGGATCCCTGCAGCTGCTGTGGTTATTAAAGCGTACTTACTGCCTTTAAAAGGATCTGCACCTTTAAAAGGGTCTGTTTTGAAAGGGTCCTCCGATTGGAAGGGGTCAGCCTGCAGCTCCTGGGCATTGCTGTTGAACGCCGACGTCTTCGCTTTAAAAGGATCCTCCTGCAAAACAAAGGGTTTTCATCTGAGTCCCGTCTTCATTGCGTTTACCCAGCAGATAAATTAAAAATAAGTCTTTGGTGACGTCTTTGGTGGAAAAAATAGTATTTTACATCAACCTTGACTCATCTGAATTAGATCAAAGCTAAAAAGAAGCTTGTGACCAAATGTTGGATTTCCTTCCTTCTATGTTTGCAACCTGCATTCTGTTATTTTTACAAAATGTAGGAAGCCTTCACAATCTTCCACTATGTTCTTTGATCTCTGTGGGCAGAAGCAATGAGATTGCAGTAGGAACAACCCAAAAGGGAAAGGCTGCAAAATGAAAAAGACTCATGATTAATGTCGGAAATGGTAGCTCGCCCTTGCAATAAGAGCAAGTGCTCTTTCACAAGCAATTCTCTTCTACTTAAAGTTCAAATCATCCTCGGCAGATTTTGCAAGGTACTGGACACCAAACTCTTTAACTAGCCAAGCAGTAAACCCCCCTTGTTACAGTTCACCCTGTCACTTGAGTGGAAAACCCTAAACTACCCCTTCAGACTTCTGTCTTCAGATTCCGTGCCGAGTGAAGTGGGTTAAAAAGACGGCAGGACAGTTTTACTAGAAAAGAAAAAGACAACAGCTGCTGCATCCGCGCCATAACGCAACATAAACCAAACACGAAGAGGATTGGGCTGCGGTGATGACAACAGGGGATGTTACCAAACACGTTTTTAACACTGCCTTCGGCACGAATACGCCGGACAAAAAGGGACTTGCGCCCGCACTGTATATTATATATTATACTGTATATTATCCTGTGAACACTGCTGTGTAAGTGTCCGGCGGGCCGGGACGAAAGTTACTTCCGTCTGCAATGCAAGTCCAACCCACAGGATGACACAGAACACGGCCGTGTAAATGTCCCGCTCCGCCCCACCAGACGGTACAGACTCGCGCTCACCATGGCCCCGAAGCCTCCGTTCTCCTTCTCCGGGAAACCCTCGCTCATGTCCGCCAGGTTCGTCATGCTCCCGCCGTGGGTCCCGTTAAGGGCGTTGTTGTACTGCTCGATACTCTTCGCCATCTCCTGCTGGCTGTCCTGGATCTGGGACAGCTTACTCCGGGCCTAAGACACGGCAACAGTGGGGGAACGTTTCAGGGTACAAGCCAAGACGGGGAGCGGTGCCAACGGCGGAACGAGAGATTTCTGGGAAAACGACGCCGATTCCAAAAGGAGGAAACTCTGAAGACTGGGGTAGCAAGGTGTCGGCGAGGACGGTATTCGAGCAGTTCCCAGCAGTGTGCTCACTACTCCATAACTTGAGCTGGTTTAAAACGAACTTGACTTGAATTACTGTATTTTTACTCTATATAGAGATTGCAGGTGTGCGCAATTAAAACTTCAAATTTAAAATCTCAAGCCCAGAGGTGGCCAGCCACGAGCCAGGAGACCTGTAATCCAGCATGTTTTAGTCACCCTTTAGTCTTGTAGTTGGAATGGGTATTCATTTATAAACACTTGACCAAGTTATAGGTTTCATAAGAAAGGGGATTTCTCAGCCTCTCCCCGTGACTCATAACCACACACTGACACTGATTTTCTCCCTCTTAGCCTTGTCCCTTAGCGGTCACTCAGCGGCCATGGGACACTCTTGGCCACAGGACAGCAAATGCCTCTATACCTTCCACTTTTAAATGCATCCCTTGACCTCTGACCTTAACTACAGTGGGAGGTGATGGAGGGGGGAACTGTGGGAGCTGTAGTTTTTCCCCACCCTGACTCAAGACACACCTCTGTCCCTCACGCCTTCAGAAAGAGAATGAAACCTCACTTGGGCAGGACTAAAATTTATCAACATGTATATCTTTTTCCCTTGTCATAGCATTGGGGCTCTTCATTTAGCTTGCAAAGCTTCCGACACAGGCTTTCCTAGCACCGTACAGAAAAATAACCGCAGAAAAATGTCATTGCACTGGTGTGCAGCAGAAGCGGAAAGCTTAAAAAATGTGCTGAACAGCACAGACTAGATGCTTTCCTTCAGCTTGTAATCTCTTACCCAGCTTTGGTCACAGCAATGTGAGCTTCTGCAATGCAACATACACCTTGGCATTCCACAGCTCAGTCTGCTGCCCCTGCTCGGCATGCTTTGTGTGGGGCCCAGCTTCTAAACTAAGTTTACCGGCATGGATGGATCAGATCCAAGCGCTGATTTGGCTGCACAGAAGGGCTTAAAATTAATCAGGAGGTCGCTGGGCCTGATGAGAAACGCGGAGGTTGTGCTGTGAAATCTCTCAAAGGAAACTGACACACCCTGCCCACCGCGAGAGAAGCAAACCAGGGGTTAACTGCGATGCCGAGAATGTCATCTCATCATGCTGGGGGGGGGAGCTGATCTGCAGAAAGGTGACTGTACTACTGTAATCGGTTATTATTCTTTTAATTAAATGTTGTTGTTTTTTACTGCCACTACTAGTTTTGGACTATATCACAGAACTGGCTTTATCACAAAACCCTTACATGTTTTCCAATGCCATTCCGTTTTGATATTTAGATCAAATCCGTTACTGGAAAAAAAAAAACCTTAGAAATGCTATTCAAATTCACAAAATGTACAACAAGTCCAAGCCACAGAGAGAGGAGCACATGCTGGACAGTGATGAGCCATTTTTCATTTCACAGCTGTTCTTCTTCACATCCTTGAAGAAGGAAGCGAAACCTGTGATGCAAACAGCACACAATGTGTACACCAGTTTTCTCTGCACTTTTTTTTAAGTTAGGTTGCCCTCTAAAGACAGTTTGTGCTATTACAAAACCATTCTTTTTAAGTTAGGTTGCCCTCTAAAGACAGTTTGTGCTATTACAAAACCATTCTTTTTATGTTAGGTTGCCCTCTGAAGACAGCTAGTGTTACTACAAAATCATTCCAAGAGAAGATGTAAAGATGTATCTTTTTTCTAAAAGAGAAACCAGTATTTATTAAATTTAGACAAAAACACTACTTAATTCAAAATGTAGTATGGGCCAGCTCTTTATATTTATTGGCATTTTCAGTAAATTAAACCTGAACTTCTTTTATTTAAAAAATGTCATGCAATGTCAGAAACAGATGCAATAGTTTTTTCCCCCTATGTTGAATAAAAGTGTCTGTTCTGGAGTTAAGGCTACAGAGCCACACCTGTTGATTATGTGAAACGTTAAGTTGCATGGTGCTGGGATGTTTGCAATGTTCTGGGATCTGATCTAAGGAACCACAATTATCAAAGGCACCGACAAAGATAAACTGTTACTGTCTAGTAACTGAACCTGGACCAGCTTAAAAAAAAAGGGCAGAGTGGTGGCACTGTGGCTAAGAATCTGCGCCTGTGACCGGAAGGTTGCCGGTACAAATCCCACAGCCGGCAGAGGAATCCTACTCCATTGGGCCCCTGAGCAAGGCCCTTAACCCCAACTGCTCCAGGGGCACTGTATAAATGCCTGACCCTGCACTCTGACCCAAAGCTTCTCTCCCTCACTGTGTCTCATGGAGAGCAAGCTGGGGTATGCGAGAAGACAAGATCCTAATGCAAGAAATTGTATATGGCCAATAAAGTGATCTTAAGTAAGAAAAATTACAAATGAGAGGAGGTACTTTAAAAACGGAGTAAACAAGTTTGTCCAAAGCGGACCAAAGGGTTTTTCTACAAGCAACCGACACTTAAGGTGAGTACAAGGTGAGTAATAATGTCAGTTCCTAGTGAGCTTCCTAGAACACATTTTTGAGTTTCACTAACACAGCACAATCAACCTCAAGACCAGAAAACAAGTTCAGCTCTTTCAAAGGTCTTTTCATGCTTTCTATAGCACATGAGGGCTGCACCGATTTGCTTTCTTGACTCTTCATAAACATCTCTCTTCTTGTTTTTTTAAATCTTATCTTGATTTCAGGGCATCCTGTGTTAGTGAGGCTGCATACCTGGTATTCATTATACAAAACCACGCTGCTCACACTTCTATTGTAGCTTGGGGTGGGGTTCATCTGTGAACCACAAACGGTAATGACCTTTTCTAAACCCAAGAAGAGAATCTGAACTGATTTGGGGCATTAATGCTTGTTATGGCTGCAAAATATTTGAACAAAACCATGCATGTCAGCTGCAAACCTGTGCAACATTCCTATATTTCAGACAATTAAGAATCTCCACCAAGTTAGGCAGGAAACATATTGCTGACACATTTTTTAAAAAAGTGTCTTCAAGCAACAGCCTGATATACACATCAAAGTGGAAGCTTATTGCATCCTCTTCTTTCAGAAGCATGCATGTGAACACAAACAGAGTGCAAGGAAATGAAATTTCAATTAAACTTGTTCCCATGTCCTGCAATGGAAAAGAAAAGCTACAGGCTCAGAGCAAAACAGAAGAGAACCAGGAATATGGATGTACAGGATCAAAGTTGGAAGTACACCTTCAGTCTAGGAAATTCTTGCAGCGTACAATGCGGAATCATCAGTGCAATACTGATTACTGCAGCCTTACCCTGAATACCTCAAATCCTTATCAGCACACACAAACACAAACACAAAAGCAGGGAAGAACCCATGACCAGCCATGTTGCAGAATAAGTCTCATTATCCTGGCAGTCTGTGGCTGGCCTGTCTGCACTGATTTACCTGGTTGATCTCCTCTTGTGTGGACTTGAGTGATTTGATGATGGTCTCCAGCTGGACCTTCCCAGCCTGGATACTCTGCTCCAGCTGCGTCTCCTCTTGCTGCAGCCGGTTCAGGTCTGTCTTGGCCCGGCTCAGCTCCTCCTCCTGGCTCTTCAAGTCGGATTCCTGGGAGTGGATCTGCGTTTGCAACGAGGAAATCTAGAGCACAATAACGCGAGAAAGGTTACAACAAAAGGAGGCTGTGCAGTCCATCACACTTGCGAGCAGATTACAGATCTGGGACCTTGTCCCGCCATTCCTTGAAGGATCCTAAGACTCAGGCATTTACAGTCCCAAACACACCTCCTCTCAAAAAGTGGGTAAAGGACCAACATGAAAGGATAAGCAAAGTGCAGGTAATGATGTGAAACAAGAGCACTATTCACACTAAGTCAGAACTACTCAATAGGTCCATTTAGAAGCCTATAAGCCTGCAATAACTTCAGCTCTTCATTTACGCTTTGTAGTTGCATTATGTTAAATCATTTAATTTACACCTTTTCATTAACTTTAATTGAATGTTTATAATACACATTTATTCAAATATAGATATCATAAAAGCAAATTAGTAGAACTAATACTGTCAAGAGTCTAACTGGTCTATTGCAGCTCTCACCATCTGGGTCTCTTCCTGGCACTTTTGCCTGACGTCGTTCAGCATGTCCTCCAGCTTGGCTTTCTGTTGGTCCATTTCCTCCAGCCGGTCCTGGGCATCCTGCTTCTGAGATTCAAGTTTCTGCAAACTGCAGGTCTCCCGGTCCAGATCGTTCTGCATTTCCTGAAAAGACCAAATGAAAATACCGTACCCCTAAGAGTGCATGGGTTTTTTTTCCCCACTTCAACTGATCACAGTTGCTGAGAATAATGTGCTAACTGTAAACTTCAAACAAGCATATAAAGAAAAGCTTACATTAACACTTAATGTAGTAATAACAGGTGCTTCGTAGCCCATGTATAGATTAATGATTCATAATAAAAGTCGGTAATTTGCAGAGACATAAGGGCAGGTCCCCCCTAAGTCCAACTCATCAAGGTAACAGACCAGCATGCTGTGCAGGCCTTAAATCCCAAACAGCAGAACGAAGGAGGAAGAGGATATTAAGGCTTAACTGGACATCTCCCCCACTACCCTATTATTGGGGGGGGGGGGGGGGAGATGAAACGGATGAATTAGATGAAACAGTCAGAGAACAGATGGACCAATTCAACCCTGCAGATGATTCACAATGATTTACCAACAAAGCTTTCTTGACTGTTGCCCTTCGGAGAGGGAATGCTGTGCTATGGGCACCAATCCCTGCAGGGGTGTGCATGTTTCTATTACAGGGGAGGGGAATTTCAGTTAGCTGGCTCTTTAAAAGAAAGATTTACCAATAAGCAGTAAATATTCCTGATGCATAACCTCAGTAAAATTGTCAGTTTTATAAAAGCTTGCTCATCTCAGTCTTGCAAAGCTACTGATTTAATTTTGTCATCTTACAGAAGGACAAAGTTTACAATGAGAGGCGGCCATGCGGCCCATTGTCAGCGAACAGCTTACTGAGGCAAAGATCTCCTTCAGCCGTTTCTGGAAGGAAGCCAGGGTTTGGGTTTGGTCCTGCCGATTCCAATTGATTCCCATTGACCATTGTAGAAAAAATAGGGATGTCTGTCTCCATATACTCAATGGGAAATACTCTACCCTGAACAATTCTGCTTGTGCATTTTTATTCTTGGCTCCCTGTGAATTTTGAAGTGAATCAGACGGTGTAGCTGCAATCCCTGGGAAGAAGCAATAAAAACAAAAAGGAACTTCAACCATTTTCCTCACCTGGACCTCATTCGTTTTCTGTCTGATAGCGTCCTCTTTGTCCCTGATGTCTTGTTCCAGCACATACTTCTCCCTGCATTTAACAAATGAACAAAATTAAGTCAGAAATGACATACACTACCTTCTACCCCACCCCAAAAAACCTTTCCCTAATTTAAACAAGAACAGCATTTACATTTTTAGATCGACGATCATACTGTGACAACCCGGAGGAGGCATTACCTGAGAGTATTCCAGTGTGTAAAAGCAAGTGCGCTATGGCAGCACAGAGAGAAAGTGATGAAAACAAGAGACAGGTTGATAAAATACACACGGAAAAGGAAAGGGAAATGTTTTATTGTCATTTCAGCAGAAGACAACCATTAGACTTAGAAATCAATATAGAGAGCAGTGTGTCCATATGATATTTAAAACCAGAAAAATTCACTTGTACCCTTTTCTCCCTTTGAAGTGTGCATTTTATGACCAATATGTTCCCACAATATGCAATCTACTACCCTACTGTAAGATGGCCTTAGCAATTGTACCAACTGCACTGCACCACAGTGACACCTACTGACTGTCTCGCTAATGACAGCACGAATGGAGGCCAAATCATCTGAAATCTGCCAATCTGCTTAAAATTGTTTAACAGAGAAAACATTACCAAAACACACAAAAAAAGAGACCGAAGGGCACTGATCAATCTTCAGTTCAGTCTTACGAGGGAGCTAAACTGGAACTGGAGAAAAAACTGCGTTTCTGCAGTCACTCTACATAAATAAGAGCAACATTTTTTGTGTAGGTACATTTTTCATCCAGTCCGAGATGCTATGCTGAACAGCTGCTTCTTTCACTGAGTATCAGGCAGTCTGAATTCATTTGAGCTCATTGTCAAGTGCATTAAGAACCTGATTTAAAGCTGATAAACTGCAGATCAAACCTTGTAGAGGGAAAACGCCAATGTGTTTTTCTCTAATATCTTGTAAAATGCATTTCCATTTCACTCTTTCACGTCTTTGTGTTTAAAATCATTCTCATAATAAAGGCTACAATGAATTTTTCATTCAAGGAAAATGCCCCATGTGAATTGATGTTTTCTCCCTTACAAACTGTATTTTGAAAGTACAATTACAGAATAAGATTAAGCGATGACTGTGCCTATTTTTAACAGGAATGTTACTTTTAAGAGTGGCTGTACAAAGACCTCTTAACCAAACCTGAAAAAATGACAAAATGAAAAACTCCCTTAAGTCTTCCAAACTTTTAATTAGTTGAAGATCAAACTTATAATTAGTTCCTCTTTAAGTGTTCAATAAGTGTTGAATTGGGTAGAAATATTAGGAGTCTTAATATTGCAATACAGCTGTAATTTTGCAATATTTTCTCCGTAACATTCTAGAGAAAATGATAGGCCCGCAGAATTTTTCAAGCACAAGAAAATGTTAACATATTACAACATAAAGACTACTGGTATTTCAGACAGATAAAAAAGCTTGTTCTTCCATGATTGGAAAGGCTAGACTTTCAACATAAAACTGATGAAAAGCTAAGCTATTTCTATTGACAATGAAAACTATGGCCCTACAGTATATATTTGTTTTGAAATTGCAGTTTAATCATTACTTTTTCTAAGACATTTTTTAATAACTTCCAAAGGAAAATTACAAACTCAGCATCATACAAAGAACTACGACCGAGCCGTTTATCCATTCCGGCATTCCGACAGTATGATCTCTCTAGAAAAAACAAATCTGTAGTGGAACCACAGTATGTACTTGTCTTATTCTTGACAATTGTCTGGCCAAGAGCAGAGAATTACTCTGCATAACCAACATGCTCCCAGAAATAAGCATTCCACACATGTCAACAGGCCAAGCCTTATTGTACTGTACAAGTCTTCACATATAATTATAGCGTCTTGTCCACAGCAGGCCACAGATGTTTTAAGTGATGTGTTTAGCAAAAAACAGCAAGTGTATTCTAATTTAATTTAAAAATATAGCCCACACTCACAGATTCACATTTCTACAATTGCACAGAATTTGATATGTTTGGCATTCACATTATTAATTCAACATAAATCTTTTCTACTCTCTAGGATAAACGTGTTTTCAGTATGCAAGTTAAGTCAACAGAAACCAGAGACCAAATACACAAACACCTATAGCTGCAGTTGAACATGCAGACATTCATATTGAGGGATAAGCTCCTATGCATCTCAAGATTAACCTCAAAAGACCACTCAGCGGCCTATGATATCCAACGATTACATTTCTCCAATCTCACAAAGGCAGCACGAGCTGTACTACAAACATTACACTGCAATCCATCCCACCTCAAGCATGAACTTCCCTGGAAAGGAACAGTTTAGGGGGAGCCAATCAAACCTCATGTACATGTTATACCGGAGATGGGATGAAACCAGAGCCAACACAGAAATAAAAATGTATGCAAACTTCACACAGACAGCTGCCCCCAACTGGAATTGAATCCAGGACAGAAGAGCTAACCATCCCTGCCACTGTTCCAATCCAAAATGAGGGTGCTGAGCAATAGGAGACTATTGTCTCTGCCTCTTTTGTGGGGAAATCTATACTCTGAACATCTACCATACCCCCCGAAAATTATTAGGTATAGTACAGAAAAAAACACAAGTTACTGCAGTCAAACATCTTCCCCCAACACGTACCAATTCCCAAAGAAATGACACAAAACCTGCAAAAGAGAGATCTGGTGAAAGAATGGAAACGTCTCATCTTATTTCACAAGTTTGTCAGGGGAGTAAATGAAAGAAATCCGCCTGTGTGAAATCTCATGACATTCTCATTCCAGCTTCGGAAAGATGAAGGGGCAAGCATCCTGACCCTAACCTAAGACATACTGCGCTACTGGGAGACAAGGCTTGCTCTTGAATGGAAGACCTCTTCCGTTCGAAATTACCTCTGCAGCTGTGCGATTTCTTGACTGATATCGTCCAGTTCTTTAATTCCAGTGAATTCCCCAGAGCCGACAGAGCTCGTGCTGTCCTGTGAAAAGACGAGAGGGGTTCGCAGTCAGCGGGTCAGCGCACTGCAGGAGTCCGTCACACACCGCCCGGAGCAGCACAGCACAGAGCAGGCGCAGTACCACACACTGACACTCCAACACAGGGAACAGGAAGAGCAGGCCAAGAGGAGGGGGAGTAATGCCACAGCACCAGCGTTCTCTCTCACTGTTTTTAATTTCACCTCACGGGAGAAAAAAAAAAGGAACACCAAAGCACCGTTCACAGCATCGAGTGTTTTACAAATGCTTTTCCACCTCCGAGACTTACAACACGTGTCTTTTTTGCAAACCATCAAAAGCATTTGTGCACAATAATTACATACCCAGAACTCGAACATTATTGCCTGTTTAACAGAGGTTTGCAATAGCAACATCAGCAGCATTAAAAATAAAATAAAATGAAAAAAGAAATGTGATTCTTAGTGCATACACTTTCAACTTACACACTGCCTTTAAATGCATTGCTCACTGCAGCTCTGTGTATTGGTTTGTCATTCTATTGCTACGCTCAAGAAAACACTGAAGGACCTTTAACGAGACTGTACAGGAGCAGCAGCTACCACCACAAGATATTCCATATGGATGTTGCAAAGAAATCCATTTACAATCTGTGCTGTGATTGAAGCTTAACACAAAAAGCACTATAACCACTATATTGAATTTAAACTGCCAACAGGTGGCACTATATGCCCAAAAGATTGCAGTTTATTCAAATATCCTTAATTCCTGAATTGTGAAAATAAGCAATAATATTATGTTTAAGATTACGAAATGCATTGGAAAAATACATCCATATGAATCCTGTACTTCATCAAATATATTATTTGAATCGTAAGTTGAAAAATGGACTTGAATAAGGTGGTGCTACATAGTTCTGATTTTTGAATCACCATTGCTTGCCCTCACATGAAGAGTTTTCACTGCTACTTTCTGTAACCTAAGAGGGCGAGTTCTTGTTTAGAAATAGCTCTGACACGAATAAAACTAACAATTCCTATAAGAAAAATAATAATCATTGCTTTAAGAAGGAACAGGAATGCTTAGAAGGAACAATCCTCCACACACACAATGCAAACATCCAGAAGAAAAACATCACAGACAATTACAGCAGACAGACTTAAACAGGGACCCCGCGTGGAAGAAGTGAGATCTCTCTCTCTCTCTCTCTCTCTCTCTCTCTCTCTCTGGCACTCAAAGATAATTGTATACAATCCTGTTAACACTGCACAAGCCTACAACCAAAAGCCACCTTCATAACACTTCCAAGAATCTTCCAATTATGAGCCCATCAGTCTGAAAACTACTCTAAACGTCAACTAAAATTACTCACAAATTTAATGGACATCCAACAACCTACAGGTCCAGCAATTTGTGAACCTGCATTGAGTGCTGGTTGAAATTACACAAAATGCTCAGTATGCCATTAAGTAATCATCAACAAACATGAACCAGCTGCAGATCAGCTGAGAAACAGAACAAGAGCTCTTACTCTCTACCTGTGCTTGAATAGGCCGAAGTGTTAACACGAGCATGAACATTGCTTCTCGTAGGTATAAAAACAGAGTAATCAAGAAAAAAAGGTGAAGGGAACTGCTTAAGGGCCTGCTTTTAATCATGCAAAAATTTACCTGCAGACTGCTTAGGAATAGAGACAAATACAGACATGCTTTCATTAGGAGAAATTAAGCGGGAACTCAAGGCAGTGCTTCAGCAAAAGCAGTTTGTACTCTTTCACAATGGGTCAGCCTTAAAATGTCGAGGATATTTTGTTTGGATATACACAAAGAGAAAACAAAAAGATTCAACAAGACAGTGATATGAACGGGAGGTGGAGAGGACGTGTGGGTTACAGGTCAAGGAAATGAGTTACGAGTGGTTACTCACACGGCGCATGTCAGTTAGTGCAGTCATTTCAGATCCAACAGGAGTTATATACCCTGAAAGACTCTACAAAGAAAGGTGATACAGAACAAGCATTGAAAAGAAGCATTAAGGCAGGAAAACTCTGATACGAAAGAACAGGCAGCAACATTTTGTTCCACCACACTCTTCCTATAATCTGAACAAGATGTATGTGTTGCAGCACAGAAGTTGTAGTGAACAGAAAAATCCTTCCCATAAATTAGTTCCTTTCATTTGAAACTTTTCAAATGAAAAGGCTTGCGCTCTGGCTCTTGAGTTCTATAAACGCTTCAAAAGAATACAGTCCAGAAACGTTCGCAGAAGCACCATGATTCATCAAAACACCATACAAGAAGACTTCATAAAGCTTTCGGCTTCAGTGCACTTCTCCAAGTAAAAAAACAACCAGACCATGTCTCAAACAACACCTTATTTTGTCATCTCTCTGAGCTAGAAATCTTATGCTCCACTACAAACTTCTGCAGTGCTTTTCTTTTTTTAAAGCATATTCTGAAACTCAAGCTTTGTGAGCAGGTCTCACAAAGACCGTGTGGCAGCCCGGGCCGGAGAAGTCAGGAGGAGATGCCGAGGGTGAAACTCACGGACACGGGGGTCCCCCTCTCGGAGGGAGGGATCATGTCTGGGGTCAGGACCTGCGGGGGCTCGATCCCCTTGCTGACTTTCTGCTGGATGAAGTGCATGGCCAGGGAAAACTGCTCTCTCGTCAGCTTCCCCATCTGCCTTGTGTCCGCCAGGGCCCTGGTGTGGAAAAAAGAAAAAAAAGCAATGACTCCAGGTCACTTCCAGGTCTGCGTCAGTGCGTATTTGTTACTGCTTTAACTACTGCAGATTTTTATATACCATTTTAAGAAGCACCAACTAGACACCAAGTGAATGGCAGAGATGCAACAGAACTGCTCCTGACAGAACATAGTACTGAGGTAGGAGTACAGAGATCCCTTTAACTTCAAGTTAACTTGCAAGTATCCTGTTTGCCTTTGGAAAGTGGGAGGAAATTAGGGGTCCATGGAAAAACCCATAAACAAGAGCAAGGTCCATGCAGACAGGCAACCAAAGCCAGAATCGAACCCAGGACCCTGGATCAGTATTAACCACACCTCCCAATAACTAGTTAAAAAAAAGACAATTAACAGCATCAGCATTCAGAAATTGAACAGAAAAGAGAGCTGCTTTAAAAGACTAATGTAGCAGACAACATATTCCTCATCCACAGGTGTTAAAGGCTTCTGTTTTAGGGCATGTGATTCCAGGATTTATGCATCAGTCTCACCACAAGTAATAATAATAATAATAATAATAATAATAATTGCTTACACTTATATAGCGCTTTTCTGGACACTCCACTCAAAGCGCTTTACAGGTAATGGGGATCCCCTCCACCACCACCAATGTGCAGCCCCACCTGGATGATGCGACGGCAGCCATAGTGCGCCAGAACGCTCACCACACATCAGCGATCAGTGGGGAGGAGAGCAGAGTAATGAAGCCAATTTATAGAGGGGGATTGTTAGGAGGCCATGATTGATAAGTGTACGTGAGAATTAATTCCCCCTCGGCCCACCTGTATGATTGTACGACCAGTGAACTGATGTATCGGAGGCTCCCTGCTACAGTGTATTCTATTACTCAGAATACTAATACCGTTAGTAATACTGTAACAATGTGACTCAAACCATTTCTAACCATATGTGCGCTAGGATGTTCTGAGGAAGTCCCGACTGCATGAAGATCTCTTTTACTTCGTGGCCGTTGACAAATCCATCCAGGTCGGCGTCCGTCTTCAGGAAGATCTCGTCGTACCTGCTTCTGTCAGCAACCGGCACGATCCAGTTTGCCGAGGGCTGGGAAAGAGGAATAACGAGAGGAGACAAAGGCAGTCATAGGCCAGTGTGTAAATGCAGGGAACCGGGGGCCCTAATGCAGAATTGTGCTCAGAGATCACAGGATCGAAAGCCACAACTTCCTGAGCAGAACCTTTTCTGACATTTACACTGTTTCCCCACCCCTTTCCTCAAGGTCGTCTCTTCTTCAGCTCTGAGTCATTGCCAATTTGCCTCTTTTGCTTAATTGTAGTCAGATCAGCCTATGAAAGGATTATGAGTAGGGGGGGATTTAAACCTATACTACCACATACGTGCATTGCTGCACTGAAAGCCTGGAACAGCAGATTAGGCATAACACCACATGATGTACAGAGCAGGGTTTTATTACTGCTTTTATGTAGTCTTTATTTGCCTAGGTATACAAATCTTTCTGACATTGTTGCACGTTTTGACATGTATACAAAACCACAAAGACAACCCTCAATCAGGTCATTCATACAAGAGACAGCAAACAGGAGAGTGCTCCCTTAATCACAAAAACGGAGACAGAACATTGAGCTAATTTTGCACCTAGTCCTGAAGATGCTGAAGTGCAAGTGATAGAAAAACAGCCATGAAGCCCGTAGCAATGGGCTGGTAGAGGTTTTACAGTGATTGATAGTGTGCTTCCATCAATCACAGACACACACAGCCCACATCCCTTATACATCTGATAACTAGAGCTCCTGCAAGAGCACATTTTCCTGGGGACAGTACCTGAACTACTTTCTTTAGCTAGAAACATCCACCTAATTCATCTTGTGTCTATTTGATTGCACTGATAACAAAGCTGTTGTATTTTCGCCCAGAAAATGTCAATCTTCTGTACTGAACAACTTCCTTCTCTGTCACTTTTTTACAAGGATTTTGAACTCTTCTTAATGAATTATGCTCTACTTAATTTGCTGGAGTTGACCCTGTTTAAAAGACATTTCATAAAGGTGTGAGTAATATCTGAAAGCCACGTCCAACTATATTTCACACATTAAAAATAACCTTTACTTAGATGTATCTGGATATAAATAGTGTGTCTTCCAAAAGCAGTGCTGAGCTGTATAAATCCTTTGTTATATCTTTTTTTCTATCATGCACCTATTCTGGAGGCAAAATCCAGTCAGAGGTCTACATCCAAATGCAATTTTCTGCATTGGAAGCAAGAGGCAGACAAAGCACATCTAGGTGAATCAGAGGACAGAAAAGAGAAGACATCAAATTCTGCAAACATGAATTCTTACAGGTGGTTTTCCCAACACCACACTACCCCTAATTCAGCACAATGAGTGACACAATTGAAGACATTTTGATTTGGGACTCAAGGTGTCAATCAGCATCCAACAGGGAGCATCTAGCTCCTAACCCAACTTAAAAATAAAACTTTAGACTTCTAGTCCAGATATGAGGCATAACTTCTACAATGGTCTGCAATGGAACCCTACTGCAGCTTCAAATCCCCCAGATAAACCTTGTAGAAACTGCACACTCTCTGGCTGCTCTCAGCTGCTGGGAAACAAACCAGACCAGGGGGCCATCAGCATGCACAACTGCACAATACTTCAAGAATTCAGCGCTTGGCCAAAAAACAAATGGAGATTTATATAGCCAAAGAGAAAATATAAAAAAAAATGAGGAATGTATTAGCCAGCAATACAAAATATAACAGAGAAAGACGAGGAATCGATCTGCAACATACAAAAGGCAAGAAAGTCATGCCAAGATGTCCTTTCAAGAAGTCGAACACCAAGCCATTGCTTACCCAATATTTAGAGCCCCAAAACTACAAGCACCAGCTGCCGATGCATCCCTGAAAACAGGTGAGCCCAGATCTTATTTTATCATTTCGCACTTGAAAACAGGGACATCCTTTGGAAAGCGTGGCTCGGCCACTGGACTGGGCACGCGGAGAATGGGATTAGAGTGCGGAACGACCGCCGCCCGTTCCCGACAGAACCCCCGCTGGGTACCTGGGCCGACTTGAGAGTGTGTTTGGGCGACAGGCTGCCGGCGCTGTTGAGCGAGTTCATGCTGCCGTGGGAGGGAGTGGAGCGCAGGCTGTCCTTGGGCGGCGGCGGGCTGGCGGGAAGCACTGGGACGGCCCCAGGAAGAACGGGGACAGAGCCCGGAAGGGCACTGGCAGGCTTCTTCCTCTTGGAGGGCGGTATAAGGGAAGTAGGCAGAACGGATGGGACAGGTTCCTTTTCCAGAGCTCGGTACACCAGGTGCATTGCCTGCACGTGACAAAAAAAAACAGTAATTAGGCTTGTTTATGTTTTCAAAATGTGGAGGAGACATTCCTGGGTGAATTAGACCACTATTTGTTTTCGAGCAGATGCACGGGTCTAAATCCAGAATAAAAAAAGGGGGAAATGTTACGTTTTGCATGGGTTTAGCACTGAGCACTACCGTGGATGGGTCCTCTTTCACAGGAATGTCAAGAACACTGCTGATCTATAAAGAAACCAGCTCATACCCAGAGAGCCCAGCCTCACAGGCCTCAACACGTCAGTTTGATCAGACAAGGTGCATCAACCCCAGCTGATGCTCCCTCTCGAACCCCTGGGGTCCCCCAACCAAGATAGGAGTATCATCAGAACAAGCACTGTGAACACAGTGTTGCTAACGCCCAGATAGCCCAAAACATCACATTACTACCTTATGAGTATCAACCAGCATATATTTTAACTTAGTCTATCACCTTCTTTTGCTCCTTTTAAAGACTTCAGGACCTACCACAGCAAACTCATCTCTGTCCAAGTGTCCATCTTTGTCAATGTCACTAAGATCCCAAACCTATGAGAAAAAACAAATATGAAACATGTGCATAGCCTTTTCTACTGCTCCGATTCAGATTTTGGAGATACTTTTTCATATAGCCCAAGTACTATCTCCCTCAGCACCACAAAGAGCCTGTCTGTATAAGAGAAGCTATAGTCAATAATTCAGATGGAGCTGTTCGAAACACGCAAAGAAGAAAAAATTAAATTTGAATCACGTCCACATATTGAAAACTGTTACTCCAAAATCTGTGAACTTATCCTGGCATAAACGTACGTTAATGGTACTTAATGGTAATGGCAGAAAATAAAAGATCATATGAAATAAGTGAAGGCTAAAGCTCATGCAGAACTAAAATGTGAGCCTACTTACCCTTCCTAAAACGTCAAGAGGTAGTTTTGAGTTTATTAGCACTGGTTTCACCTTCTCACCAGATAAAAGTCCATTCACTGGAGCAAGACTTTCAAAAATCCCATCAAACTTCCCTTTCTCCTCCGGCTGCAATAACAGGAAGAAGAGCAAAGAAGGAACAGCTTCAAAAACACATACTAGTGCTAAAAACACACTGGGCAGATTATGACTACTTCTTTTTAAATAGTGACTTATAATAAAGGTTACAGGCAAGAGGGAGCTGGTTTGGATAATTCAATCCTTTTCTTAGTAGCAAATTGATCCACAGCTCACATTCAGCTGTTGGAAGAAGCAGGGCATAAGCTTCAACTCCACAGGTGGGTAGCTTGTTCCACATTCCCTCTGTGTAAAGAAGTGCCTCCTGTTGTCTGTTTGAAATGTACTTCTATGTAGTTTCCACCTGTTCCCTGTGATTTGTGTTTCACTATTCATTCTGAAGACATTTGCAGTGTTGTCTTTCTCCACGTTTCTGAGGGTTTTGAATACTTGTCCCCTTATTGCCTCCTCTGTTCAAGATTAAAAAGGCTTTGTACTCCTTCAGCCTTTTGAGTGTAGGACATTGCTTTAAACATATCTGGCAGCGCTCCTCCAGACTGACTCTAGAGTAGCAATATCTTTTCTATTAATTTACTTCCATTTATCCTTCCCCATCTCTTTGCACACTCCAATCAATATCTGAACCAGGTCCGGAATGTACTGTTCTTGTCATATTGAAATCATCTTAAATCTGGGCTCCTTCTGTATATTTACCTCTTCTACATTTAGACATCATTTTTCCCCAACATTTGATAGATAGGCATTTTCCAAACTGAACCGTGAAGCAGCAGCTTATAGCTTGCCTATCTGAGATAATCAGTGTCTGTTATGCACACGTGAATATGCTCTTCTTCAACTGCTTTTAGGATACTTCTTTACGATTTTTACCTATGAAACCTGGCCTTCCATTCTGGTTAAGTATTTCATAAAGAAAGGCCGTATACTGGTTTACAGAAAGCAGCCAAAGCCCATAATAACCAGAAAATGATCTCCACTTACCCTCACAGCCCAATGAGAGTCCCCTGTGGGTGCTGACGTGGAGAGTAAGGGACTGCTAGTGTCCTTCTGCCATGAACCCAGTGATTGAAAAGCATAAGATGACATACATCAGTGATATTAATATAATAACATATCAAATCAGAACATACAAACTATATGGACTGAATGGAGAGCCCCACTCTGGCACCTTGTATAAACACACTTTAAATAGATCTTGAAAAAACCTGGAGCAAATTAACCATGATTAATTAAAGAGGTACTGTGTTCAATTAAATAATTTAGAGTAATTATGTTCATTCAGGACAAAAAATGTGAATATCTCTCACCCCTTAAGCATCAGTGTTCCCTTCATTGAAATGTTACTGTCTTAAGTGATCAGTTGCTTAAACTAGTGTTCCTGACCTTAAATAAGCGGTAGTTTAGGGTGACCTGTAACAATTACTGGTGTGGGGCTCTCCGGGACCAATGTAATTTTCTTGGTAGAAATTTCTGCTCTAAAACCCAAGGATTTTATTTCAAGTATCAGATCGGTCAAATCTTTTTTAGCACAAAACAACAGGAGCCATGAGAAGTTACACATGGACAAGAAAAGGTGATTTCAAATGTCACTTACAAATTTGGGGGGTGGGACAGTGAGGTTTAAACTGCTAAGGGTCACATCATGTCCATTTTGTGCACAGGCGACCAGTCTCAAAGCGAAATAAAAGCCCTGAAGAGAAACAGCAAGTCAGGTAACCGAACAACACTTGAGATATGAACCAGAAAAAAAGAAATAAAGAGTGGCAAACAGAAATAAAATACCTGTTTGTCTAAGAAACCCTTTCCATCTGGATCAGCCAAATCCCAGATCTTGGAACAGAAAAATGATAAAATATCAATAGAGTTTTCCCATGACTTTTTTTTTTTATTAACAGTCATGGCACAACAGACGGGTTTAAAAAAAGACAGATGCAGTAGTAAGGTGGATATCTTAATTAAAACCGTTAAAAGAGCTGCAGCCTGCAGATATAAGTGTGGAAAAACTCCCGTTTAGAATAATAAAACACTATCCTATATGGTCATGTTTGTTCAGACTAACAAATGCTAATTAAATTATACTTAGGCCAATTAAGAAACGTATAACTGGAAAAGGCATGAGTTCTGTACTATGTCATAAGCAATTTTTTTATTCACTGCCACTGTCTGCCCTCTATGAGGTTATCAAGTGCAAAAAGTGTACAAGATAGAGAAAGGTGGTCTGTATACGGTCACAGTTCAGACAAGTAGCCACAGACAAAGCCCCTGCCCTCAAAACACCCTCGAGTGCCCACTAACCTTCACAGACACACAGTTAAGAGATGCTCTGCAGTGAGTGAGTGAACACGGCCTGTGCCAGGCCTCAAACATAGCTGGTACTTTACCCACCTTCCCCAGAGTAATGTCAGGGAGGCCTGATTTCTTCAGGAACAGAGCAGCTTCAGTAGGACCCACTCTTCCTGTGTTTCCTGGGTCTACCTGCAAAGAGATACAAATAACAAGGTGCTAAGGTCTTCTAAAACCGGCATATTTGGCAGTCTTTTGTCACTGAAAACAAACCAGGAAACTATTGGAATGTGGGAATGGGATTGGGATTGAACCAAACCAAGAAACACCTCCTGGGCTGCAATCCATTCATTCAGACAGAAAGGTGGCTTGAATGCGGAGTGTCAAAGGATCAAGAGCAGGGAAACACCCTACCCAAAGGCCTTGACTCAGGCTCTTCAGAGTACATGTCTGTTGTTAAATAAAGAGAACCAATACCCTGTTACCATGCACCATGCAGTTCTGCATTTCATTTTCCTCCTTTGTGCACTTTATGATTTGCCTGGTACACGTGGAGGGCAAATGCATGTGGAAGTCCACATGGTTCTGATTTTGGTAAGAATTCATTTTATCCAGAAGTTCTCTGTAGGTTGACCTCCCCAGGTTTAGTCTCTCCTCTGATCTCAGTCACGCTCTTGTCTCAGGAAGTGTGAACAATAATTAATACCGCTGACAAGCTTAATGCTGCTCTATCTGATAGAGCTGCTGAGTCAGCCCACTGGCTTGTAATTAGAAGAGATACCATTGTCTGAAAGCTAGACTAAAGACAAGGGGGAAAAAAAATCAGAACCTTGTGCAGGCCAACAGAACTGTATTTGAACACTGCAGAGCCCCACTCTTCAACACTCAAGATGTGAGGTGTGCTGCATGGGCTGGGTTCAAAACTGACATGTGCTTTTTAAAGACCTTACCTGCCTGTAATAGTTTTCATACACAGGGTTCCCACTTGAAAGCTGAAAAAGGGAAAAACAGCATGCAAGGATCAATGTATAATCAGTGAAAAAACTGAAACAAGGTCCAAAATCCCCAGTTCTACTCTTCAACACTTCCACTATAATTAAAGAAAACACTCAAATGTTCTTAAAGCAATAACTGTGAAGGGGAATTACTACAAATGACAATGCTATATTCATTTCTGCACAAAGGACTCTTACAGTTTGTCAAAAGAGAAGGTAGCATCCATACAAACGAGCGACAGACTTTGCAAATCACATCATTACTAAATAAACTGTTACCTGCCTGTAGCCAGAGAACACAGCAATAATGAAACCCTTGCATCTCCCAACACAGCTGACTTGTCTTTAAGAAAGGAAAACCTGGAAACAACAAATCCTTGCCACTGGTTGCTCATCTTAACTAGTAGTCACCCCCACACTGTGAAGTGCAGTGCACGCTGACCCAGGCACTGACCATTTGTTATTCAAGTTCTGCTCCCCTTGTGGTTTCCCTAATTTGCAATAATTCTTCCGGGAGTTGAGCAAGCATTTCATCTTTGGAGCCATCTGCACTTCCAATTAGATATGCAAGGGGGAAAAACTCCAGATCTTGTGCAATCTTAACACTGAAGCTAGCTAGATAACAACCTCTTGAATATGAAGAGGCAGAGTGTGGGGCACCAGTCAGGGCTGTGCCATGCTAGAACACAAGGACACAGCTTACCACAAGACTGATGGTGAAATGACATTAGTTTGTGGTATTTTCATTAAAAAAATAATTCCCTGTTAATAACAGATCTGATTAATGTTCTCTTTTTAGACTAATTTAAAACAATTCTTCACACTCAAAAGACTCCCCAAACTTTTAAGTCAGAAACAGCTTTTTAATGTTCATGGACACATTCACGAGCCCAGATATGATAACGACGGCACTGCCCAATACTGCAGCCTTCAACAAAAGGCCCAAAGCTGTAGAAGAAGCCAAAGGTTTTGATTCAGCTGGCTAAGCCTGTGCTCTGGGAACTCAGTGGGGTCAAAACAAAGGATTTTTGCAGAGTGAACCCTGTTTAATACAATTCAACTTGACAAGCATGGCACAAGCAGAAAGGGGGCTGGCTAAGAAAAAGGTCTGGGGCTTTCCTCCAAGACCGCCTTCCAACGTCTGTTAGCCCAGATCGAGCCCAGCAGCTGCTTATCAAGCTATAAAGTCTAGCCAGCCACCCTGTAATTCTTGCTGCATTGCTGTTTGAATCAGACACAGATGCAATGTACACGCCTAGCCTCTCGCAAAAACATCTACTTGATTTAGCTAATGGAGCGAGGATGAGCAAGGAGAAAGTAAAAGGAAACAGGATGACCAAGGGCTCAGAAGGGGTTCCACTAACTCAGACCTACACTCAACAAGGCTTCTGCGTTCCCAATGCATGTAATAATCATAGCTGAGTAATAGAGGGCACCTGAAAGGCGTTCAATCTCTCTACAAAAAGTAAGGCTTTTCCCCCTGTTCAAAGGTTCCTGTGGCTGATCCATGCCACAAAATGAAATTTAAATCCAAATTGATAATGATCCAAATTAATGAGAACCTAAGACACTAGATAAGAGGAGAAGCAGCAAACAGTATCTGAGATTGCTCATTCCTGTGTTTATGTTCAAATGCAAAAATCAATTACACAATAGCAAAACTTTTACTTGGCAGGCAAGCGTGGCTCATTACAGCCTTTTCTGAATTTACAGATGTGGGATCAGAGAAGCAGCCGATATGTCCCGATTTCGTAATACCGTGATTTCAGCCACAGCCCACACAATCTCACAACCTGGTGCCATTAATGACAGAACATCTAGGCAAGAACCCATTCCTTCAGCCTGCAGGCAATTAAAACTAACACAGGAGCCCAGTCTTCGTTAACATCTCACCATCAACCACACAATGACAGCTGGAAAACAAAAAGCAATCACTCCACAAAATGATGGATCACTTCCAGTCACTACCAGCTGTATTTGAACAGTCAAAACATACAGGAGTGTCCATTAGTAAGAATTTTAAGGATACTGGTAAAGTGGCCTCCCTCTAAGGAAGAAGACAACTTGGCCTGTGAGACAAGTGGTTTTGGGAGGCAACCGTAAATCTAAAAGCTAGAGATAAAGATCTCCAACGTTGGAGCCTTCAAGGACATTAAGTGTCAAAAACTAGCATTCAAAATTGCCTGAATATGGGATTCATAACCAGGCTGCAAGGAAGAAACCTCTACTAAAGCAGAGTGATAAGAAGAGCCATCTGAAGTTTGCCACACATCACTGGAATGGAACCACGTATTTTCATCAGATGAAATTAAAACTGAGTTATTGGGACACGCTCATCAGCATTATGTTTGGTATATAAAAAGATGAAGCTCATGTTGAGAAAGCACTCATGCTCACTGCCCATTGTGAAATACTGTGGAGGGGATGTTTTGCATCTACTGGTCTTGGAGCCCTTGTCGAGATTGTACATTTCCCTAACTCTGACAATTACCAGGTCATTGTGACCAGACACCTGGTTCTTATTGACAAGAAGCTACAGCTTGGCTGAAAACAGACATTCCAACACGACGATGATCCAAATCACCTGTCCAAATCAACAAAGGCATGGTTGACTGTACAGAAAACAAATGTTCTTGACTTGGTGATCTCACTCTCCAAACCTTAATCCTACTGAACATTCGTGATTCTAACTCAAGGTGACAGTTCACTAACAGAAACCAGAAGGGGAGAATTTCCCCTAATCCCTGCCAGAGGAGGATCTGCAAAATACTAACAGTAGAAGTGTGAATAAACACAACCCTCTTGTTTTCTGGATTTACATTGATTGTAACCCACAGGATTTTGGTCTGTGCAATGGTATTCAGATTCACTACAAAAAGTTAAACTTGTTGTAATAAAAAAATTGCCAAATTGTAAAACTTTCCATTATGTGATGATTATTATTCCAATTTCATTAGGGGCACAATAAAATTCATAAGGCAGTGTATGTGATGAAACCAACTTTAAAATTATTTATCAAAAATATAATGCATAATTTATTGATGAAAAATGCTAAAATACTGTTTAGTAATTTAAATAGCCATGAATTCGTGAAGAAAACATGACGACTCTAATCATTATAGATAATAAAAATATGCAGACATAAAACATTTCTTACAAACCATCAAATGTGTCTATTCTGCATCTGTATGCTTATGCTGTTCAGGGAGTCAGTGTTTTATTAACATCATTCGTGAGTGAAGCACAGATGATGCACAGGCTGTAATCGTGGTGCTGAATGACTTCAATGAGGCATTCTCAGAGTACAGTAGCCCCTCTGGGAAATAACCACACTACCCAAAGGGTGAGGCACATCTGAAAGAGCAGTCTTATGCTGTTGCTAGCTCTCCTCGAACTGCTTAGTCAATTATCCAGATTGAACCATCTGACAGGAGTTAAAATGGTCAGAGGCCATTAAGCATTTTAATTGACAAAAAGCTGCTCTTGAGCATGTCTGCGCTACATTTCAGCTCACAAAAACCCCTTTCCTTGTTTTTCAGCACTGTACAACACCACTTCTTAACGATGCCCTGTAACGAACATGAGACACATTACACGTGCAGATCTAATCAGAGTGCAGACACCAACAAGCCTTTGTAAATCAGACTAAAGCCCCATCTGCAAGCAGTAGCCAGACAGTTCTCCTGCTTCACTGTGGCTTAAATCACGGGCCCACAGGAGGAAGTCCAAAAAGCTTCGAAGGAGATGGAGAAAGCATTCGTCCCCAGACCAGAGACACCTTTGCCCAGTTGTGACACAGGCTCACCTGGAAGATCCGGCTGAGTAGTCTCGGATGCTACAGTCCCTGAACAAGCAGAACCCCCGCGGACTGGAAAACTAAGCTATTGCACCGACACAACCGGAATCCGAAAGCAGCTGTGCTCGCTCAGAAAACGAAAAGGAACTTCACATAACATGCATTTCATTCAAAGCAATTCACCTGTTGAAAGGTCGGCAGTCGGGCGTATATGCCTGCATTCCTGTAGCCATCACCTAATGCCGGCTTCATGCTGCTGAAGTAAACCATTCAAACAGACCGAGTGCTCAACTGCACGAATTCGACACCGACTGCTTCCAACTCGGGTCACATACGACACTGTCAAGAATGACGGCGTTTTATGCCGTTTTTATCTCCTGGGGGGTTTTCTTATCTAGAGGCTATGCGCAAAAGAAAAAGCGACTTAAGCCTTAAAGATTAACACGAATAAGGGCATGGTATTAAAAAACTAATCAGAAACAGGTGCAGCCTGAAGTATTTGCCAACCTTACGCCTACATGAGAGCTGCTAACCGAACCGGTCTTTAAAATATGCCGATTACGTACGGCATGTCAGAATTATTCAAGCGTACACTACCCAAACCCTTCCACATCGGTAGTGCTTACAGGGCAGGCTGTACCGGGAAACCGAGCACGTTAAACCAAAGCAGAAGTCAAAAGATGCCGTCTCATGTTTTCATAGCATCGCAAGACAGCTGCTGTTACCCGTCGCACGGAAGCTCTTTCCGTGAGAAGTGGAGAAAACTCACAATTGTCCGCGTTACCGTGTTTTCTGGTCAGGCTTTTGAGCCGTAGACAAGTCAGCTTGTTCGTCAGGCAAAACGCCAGCACTGTTTTGGGCGCTTTGAGACACAGAAAAACCTCCGTGTTCTGTCGTTCCTTGTAAACGTAAGCAGTTCATCCTGCATACTCGCTGACTTCATTCCGCCTTTCAACATTTTACGGTTTAATATCCCAGTAGGCCTTATACCTTCCCACTACTGTAACCTTTAAAATGCATTGTTAATTGCCTGGCGTTTAATGTTCCACAGTTGACACGGTTACATTTTCAATCGAGAAAAGCATATCTGTAACTGCCCGCGTCTGTCCCGTCGATTATTATCCGTCTGTTTACAAATAATACATTGAGCCAGAATCAGTACCTGAGTGAGAGACGTGAGCGCCGCCATCTTCCCTGTTGCTGCGGGAGCGCGCACACCCTTTCGTCGGAAACGCGCCTCCGAGGGAACAAGAACTCGCAGGATGCGCGGGGCGTGAAATCGCACTTCACACGTGGAAAACGCGCCGGGCAGGTTTCTGGATGTTCACTCACAGCCGCTGAACTAAAACACAATACGGTACAGTCACTTATTGTCTGCCGTGCAAAGTAATACCGATATATCCGACTGTTGCACGAAGCGCCTGCCTCTTACACTGGGCATTAACATTGGGTTTCATTCTAATACGGTTCAGAATAAACATAAATAATTACGTGTAAATCTCTATATTAAATGAATAAAATGATGACAATAATCCATGCAAAACGGAGGGGTGTGCAGTAATTACTTTCTGAAGCAATTACACGTACAAGCACCCGAACCAACCTCTTAGCTTGAGCTTAAATCGGTCATTTCTGGTTCCAGAATTTTTTTCTCGGATAGTGGAAAAACCGCAAGGCTGTAAAGTGCCTTTAAAGCTCCTGCTCAGCGATCTGTGGCCAAATACCGGCATAACCGCGAGTGAATCAGCTAAGCGACTGCAGTGTTTCGAGAACCCGTTTTCGCCTAAAAGCCCTCGGCAGACAGAATATGTTTTATTTATGTTAATATTCTGGGAATTGCCTTCCGCCTTGGTTTTCCAGAAAGAACGTTAAAAACCCCATATTTGTCTGACCCAGAACACATTTACACATGCGCAATAAGAACAGTTACTTGTTCGTCAAAAAGAGCGCTGGACAATGGATTGCTGACCCTATTTTCTCTATAAATGTCATTTTTACTGTGAGATCACTGCAATACGCACTGCAAAAATACGGTTTTTGTAGAAACCTGGAACTGCACATATTCTGTAATGAAATCTCCGGACACAGAATGTCGAGTACAGTGGACACCGCTATATCGGTAGTTGTCCGGGACTTTTATCAATAATAATAAAAAAACAAAACTGTTAAAAAGCCCATTGGTCCTCGTCTACGTAGGACTCCCAGCATTCCTTATAAGGGCTTTCAGGAACAATGTGCAGTTTGAATTGGAATCTCAGTGTTTTCCAAAAACGGAAAATAAGTTCTGAACGCACATCGCAATAATGAATCAAAGTTAAATTAACAAGTCAGGGATTCATAACACCGTGCTGTCGGTACATCACTGATTGGTCAGATCAAAACTGCTGCAGGGTTTGTTTTTTTGCTGATTCATACCGGATTTTCAGAGGCGAGACGATGGTGACCCCCACAGTGTACGGCTGCGCTTTCACCTACAATGTAAAGCCTCTTTAATGCACCTCTGGGTGCGTTTCGGAGATGCACAGAAACAGTGCAGGCGACAAGTCACAGTCCCCTCGCCTGTGAATGTTGTCGTTCATGTACATCAGGTTTGGCTTGAGAAACAAGGACTTCAAGATGTTCGAGGTGCTGCCTTCCACACACTCCGGATTGCGAAGCGATGTGTTACAGGAAGAAAATAATAAGAATTAATTATAATTCCGTACACGTATATAGCGCTTTTTCTGGACGCTTCACTCAAAGCGCTTTACAGGCAATGCCATAGCAGCCCACTGAAGCTCAGCAGCTGTGAGCCTGGTCAGTACCTGGATGGGAGACCTCCTGGGAAAAACTAAGGTTGCTGCTGGAAGAGGTGTTAGTGGGGCCAGCAGGGGGCGCTCACCCTGCGCTCTGTGTGGGTCCTAATGCCCCAGTATAGTGACGGGGACACTATACTGTAAACAGGCGCTGTCCTTCAGAGGAGACGTTCTTCCTGACTCTCTGTGGTCATTAAACATTCCAGGGTGTTTCTCGAAAATAGGCCAAATTTCCCATCGATCCCTACACATCAGCTATCACCAGGGAGAAGAACAGAGCGATGAACCCAGATCAAAGATTTTGGAGAAACACCCTGGGGTGTTTAATGACCACAGAGAGTCAGGACATCGGTTTTACGTCTCATCCAAAGGACAGTGCCGTTTTACAGTAGAGTGATAACAAAAGAATAATAAAAGAACATTTCATTCTCAAACTTGTGTTTTGTCTTTCCAGCCTTCCCAGGAGCCAATCAATCTGCCAGCTTATCTGTGGACAGCAGAAAATAGCAGCATCCACTGGAAACCTTCACAAACATAGGATAGCATGCAAACTCCACCAAGATAGCACCCAGATCTGTGGTCAGCAACGCTAGCCACTGCGCCACCTGTAATATAATCATCTTCGTTTTGTGCATAACCAACGCTGTGTACATGTTTTGAGAAAGGATATAAACTGTTATTTTACAATACAGGTCTGGAATACTTCAGACAAGAGGATGAGGACTCTGTTGAGCCACAGAACAACTCCTCTGATGAAGAGGACTTTTTCTGTTCTATGAAGGTTTCTTGCGCACAAGAAAGTATCTTTTATCATGAACCGTTAATGGATAAAAGTTGTGACTATAATTTAAATTCCTGATTTTTTACTTAAAGTTAACTATAGGTATGTGTAAGAAAGTAATGCTGCTGTTGTTAAATTGCACTGCTGTGAAATTCAGGGCAACAGCACATTTCCATGGTAAGACGTTTGCACTAGAGTGGATCTCTAGAACAACTATAGTGTTCATCATACATATTTTTAAAGTAATAGTTATTTTACAACGCAACATCGAACACTTTTTACACCCGCGTGTATAAGGAAACAGTCCATCACCACATACCATGTGTCCTACACCTGTAATTCATTGAAGACTAACCCTTTTCGTGTTGCAATTCAGGATCAAGAGCGCCCTCTTGTGGAGTATTGAACTAAATGCTGTCGTCTTGTGCTCAGGGACTTCAGCTAATGTATGTACTGTATAAGTGCATTGCTCCAACGAATTGAAAATGAAGTCATTAAACACTGCACATTTAAATGATCACAGCTAAATTGTGCCACGATCTTTATCAATGTATTATTTAAAGGCTAACCATAAAACCTGCTGGACAAGCCCTCTTCATGACCAGAGTTGAAGTACCTGACTATACAGTAACAAGGAGAACATAAGGTTAGATATGCACCGTATAAGTATATTGATGGTGATGGACTGTATAAGATACAATCCATCAGCACATACCACGCCTGAAGAAGGCTCCACGGCCGAAACATTGTGTTTTCTCTCTTCTTTTTTTTAGCATGGAATAAATCTATTACTATTACACAGAACACCTGTCAGATGCACGCTTAACCTCCTGTCCATGAGGGAATGAGACCTGGTAATGTGAGGGGTTTTTGGGGCACATTTAGGGGTTAATGTACACCTTGAGGTTTCACCAGCAATCGTAGGGGAGATGTAGCCCCACCCAGTACTGTGCAATAAGGGGATGCATAAAGAACAGACAGAAAGACTCTGTTGTAAAGCTTTGTAAAAGCTATTTATTTTTTACATAATGCTGAAATCGATGAATCCCAGAACCATTCAGCAAACTGAGCCTTCAGGAAGTAATGCAGTTAAGGCTAAAACTTTTCTTCTTTTCCCCTCCCCAGAAAGGCAAAAAAAAACTGAAATAAAATCTGAAACTTCAAACAGAGAAATACCCAGGAAGTCAAAGAGAAAAATCACCACCACTGCGATACATAAATGAGTTCTACAGCATGCCGAAGGTCCAACAGGGCACTAGGTAACTTAAAAAAAAAACACATGCACCTCTCCCATCTCTCAGGGCAACATTCTCGCAGTTAAAGTGCCGTCTCTTTAAACAGGAAGGTTCAGCGTTGATCACACATTATCATGACAGCAACACAAGAAAAGAAAAACTGAGTCATTCGGTACAGTCAAGGAGAAAGCTGCTCTTATTTTATTTCAATGCACTTTGTGCTTCGGCCAACAAGTTTTGCATCTCTGCATTTCTTTCCACTCTAAATTCTTCTAATTCGCTTTAATGAACGCTGCAGAAATAGCGAACCATACGCATACCTCTCATGCACTTCCATAGTGAAGTGCTTTTTTTTTTTTTTAGAAATTGGGAAGGAATTCGATGCTACAATTTCAATGTTAAATAAGTAGGTCTAGGGAATACAGGAATAATTGATGTAGATGTACTGCTTTCTCACTGTACATCATATAATGTTCATCATTGATGCTGAAATTAGAAAAAAAAACATCTTAACTATTTCTTGAAACCAGTAGCTAATAAAAACAAGAGGGAGACTATTTAGTGTCACACAATTGAAGCCTCCATTGCACACTGCTTATCAGGTGTAACACTAAAATATGTCCCCCCCAGTTTTATAGATTTTATGTTTTGCTACCACCCTCCACCTCAAGCGGTGTTTTACACTAATTTGCTTCCCTCACGTAATCAACATTTTAGTGACACTCTGCTAGGAGCATTTTTTGATAGCTGTATTGGAGTCTTTCTATAAAAGCACAGCAAATTGGAAATGTATCAGCCCATGAAGAGAAACTAATCTGTGCATGATCACAGGACAGAAAACAAGCTTAGTGTGACTGTGTATACATCTCAAAAGTTGTTTTTTCATGGAATAGTTACTTCTCATAGCAAATGATCTAAAGAAGAAATAGTCAAGCAGAGCACACATGAAACAAAACAAACTCAAAATACACAATGCTGACCAAGTTGTTACTAATAGAAATTCAAGTTAATCATGTCTATAAGCTACAGGGAAGCAAGACATCTCACACTGATTAATAGGTAAATGTTTTTGCCACTGTGGAACATTTCATACTTTAAAGGTTTGTGAAATATTTTCTTAAACAGGACGGTGTTGAGAAAAATACAGGAAAAGGTCACTTTTAGATTATAAAACCGATTATTTGGAGGGAACAGACTCCCGTGTCCAAGTATTTTTAATACTTTTAAAAATGACAGAAACAAAACATTTTCCATTTTATTTGTTTGCCAACCAAAACCCCCCTTTCAAAGCACATTTTCAAACCTGGAGGTGATAATTTCATTATAACCGACATGTACAATTCAGAACTAAGCCACACAGCTGTAATACTGAAGTAGCCTTGTGGCAGAATAACTGACTCAATTTCACCAATTTTTGGAATCATCAGTCTTGTGATTAACATTAAAGTCTAAATCTCCTACACATAAAGAACTTCTATAGTTCCAGTATGATTTTTAAGGAAGTTTGACTGCAAACATAGTAGTGACAAAGGTATCAATGCTACATCATCATGCTGAAACATCCAATTTCCTCCAAAAAAAAAAAAAACAATCGGAAGAAACAACTGTGGCAGGATAACTGAGTCAATATTCTTACTGATTTTTCACACGCATCATTTCTGAAGCCTTGCGATTTGTACGGAATTGATGGAAGTCCAAATGGAATTTAGAAACATCAATGGATGAAAAAAATAAAAGCCCACTAGCTAACTAAAATAACACCGAATAAGAAAAATCAGAGCATCCCAGTGGTTTAAGACAGTGACGTTGATCTGTGCAATTTCACTGAAGATGCCAGTATATTTAGTTCCCAGTGCAGTGATCCTCACTCCTTGCCCTGGATCAAGCGTAGATGGTGCCATCTCCTGAATTGTGGTCCATCTGAGCTGTTATTATCAATGAAGCGATTATCAATTGTATCTAAATCAGCACATGTCTGTTTTTTAGTTTTTTAGAAACCAGCTTGTGGGGCTCAGAATTTCAATGACTAGGGGTGGGACAGTGCTGCCACTATTAATTTCTCCCTCATTACAGCTACCTGAAAAAAGTATATAATCTAAGCATTATCTTTTGGCTTTATTTATATGAATAAAAAAAATACACTTCATATAAACACTCTGTACAAATCCACAAACATGATATATTTTGGCAGCAGGATCTTCAAATACTGTACTGGGAGGCTGCTAAAACACCACCTACAGTTTTCATGTTTCACATAAATTGGAGGGATAGAGGTTATTTTCTTTTTGAAAATAAGCCTATACTTCAAAAACGTTTTATAAGGGCACAATTCCGTTAACAGATCCTCAAACTATTTTTTTTTAAAGCAATACACACCTCAATTTACTGGTAAAGAGCAAAACAGGTATCGGAACACGTTTGATATTCTCAAGCAAGCCGTGCTCCAATCGTAAGAAAAACACAACACTGCAACACGTGCCAGCTTCATAATGGTGTAGTGGATCCAATTACGATCCCAGTCTCCAGTGGATCTCATTTCATAAGCCAACGCTTTTCCTTAGAAGAGATCAAGCGTAATATAATCAAACGTTTTACTTTGTTATTTATTGGTAAACAGTACTGGCTGGAACACTTCAGAATGTGATGTTGCCATTTCTATCACATTTACTTACAGGAAAGAGGTATATGTACAGTTACTGAGCTGAGCTTAAAATTAAATTTGCTAGCGTGGTGTTGGATAGATATACTAATAAATAACTACATCCAGCTTTGATTTTTTTTTTAATAAGATATGTGACTTTTTTTTTTTTGCTCGATGATACAGTTCAGAGGTATTGCATTAAAATGTAATTCTTGGCAAGGTACAGGCAAACTAAATGTGACACACGAGGAGCTCCAAGCAGCTGCTGGTGGCCTCCATAATAAATAAATGGCCAAGAAGGGACCGTGCTTTTGGAGAGAATCTGATTGTCGTTTTCCCACGGTTTTCGTCAGATGGCTTCCTGCTTCCCCCAGGCGACCCGTTAGGGGTGGGTGGGTAGGTCGGTGGGTGGGGGGGGGGTAGATTGGGGAGCAAAATAAAATTTAAAAAAATAAATAAGGCGTAGTTGTATAAAGGAAAAGAAAACTGCAGCTCTGTACTCCTAAAGACTGAACTAGCAGAAGCAGCAGGAGCAGCAGCAGCAATGATGTGGGCAGAGTGCGCAGAGGAGCGCAGGTCGTCTGGCAGCGAACAAGCGCTGTACTAAAGAGTGCTTCACATCACGGCTCTCTCCAGGAAAAGCATCTCTAGGACGGGTGAGGTGCTCTGATCCCTCCGGCCCACACGCACACTCATGGCACCCGCTGATATCTCCCCCCCCAGCCCCCCCAGTAACCCCCCCACCCCGTTTCTCCCTGTCCACAGTGCTTCTTTACTCATCATCGAAATTCTGCTGCAGGAGGAAATTGGCCGCCAGATTTTCGTTTTTCTCACACGCGAAATAGGCTTGAATTACCAGTCCCTCTGGAAAGCCCAGGGCTTTTAACTGCAACGAAAAGAAAAGCGGGAATCAGTACACCGTCCGAGCGAGCTTCCCGGGTCTGCTGCTTTTTAAAATGGACACATTTACAGCCGCTGGCCGATCTGAATATCAGTACTCACATTTTCAGTGAACACAGGTAAACAAACAAGTACAAATGAAACTGCAGCCATGAAGAGGAGTCAGTACATCGCCAATGATGTCACCATATCAAATCAATATGAAGGTGTAAGAAAGAAGCAAATATGTGCTTTGTCAATACATTTGGGGTGAACTAATATACCAAGACTGAGGCACCCACCCTTTCGATGGCCTCTTTTTCTTGTGGCGTGACCTGGATGTAGTTCGTCTGTGGAGCCCCTTGACCTTCGGCCCCTTCTCCTCCCGCTTCTCCCAGCGGCTCATTCAGCATCTGGACAAACCGCTCCTGGTGCTGCGTGATTTGCTGTGAAGCAAAGGTTTTCGAACACAAAACCTTTTAAGTGCACGTCGGCAAAAACGAATAGCTCCTGTGAACCCGTGCTAAAGCTTGGACTAAAAAGCTTAGCAGGAAAAACAAATGAATCTTTTCCCATAAGGAGCTCTTCAAAGTGGTTCTAAACAGGAACCGTTTGGTTGCCAGTCAAGGATGTTTGAATCCCTTTGGGGAGTGGATCACCCTGGTAAACGTGCCGTTTCTATTCACACCTAAGAAGTTGGATGAAACGATCCACACTTGCATCCAGAATTCAGAAGAGCTCTGCACTCGTTTAGACAAACTGCTACAAGCCTGGCTGAAGGACTTGTTTTAATCGGATCTTGAAAGCATCAGCGTTTCAGCGTTTTGAAGAATTCTCTGTGGAGCAGAGATGAAGGCCTGTGCCTGCAGTGTAGGCGCCTCTGTTATTCGTTCCAGTGGCAGTGCTGCTGTAAGCGAGGAACCCTTCTGAGGTTCTCCCGATGGGAGGCCCAGGTCTAGAATCCAACTCCCTTTACCAGTCGCAAAATCAACAGCCAATCCTCTACAAAGCCCCTCCCATAGAAATCTCAACTGATGGGAACCAACTGAACATTCGGGACGCTGTTGGACATTACCTTACATGATTGTGCTTTTCCCACCTTGTAATAGAATATAGACGACTCGCGCATGTGTTCATCGTCATTTAACCCGGTGCTGGCCCGAGGAGGACAGCCTCCCCCTTTCGAGCCTTGGCTCCTCTCAAGGTTTCTTCCTGATTCAGTCTAAGAGTTTTTCTTCGCCACTGTTGCCTCAGGCTTGCTCACTGGGGGATCAGGCCCGGAAATCTGTAAAGCTGCTTTGTGACGATGTCCATTGCAAAAAGCGCTCTACAAATAAAACTGAACTGAACTGAACCGCTGTGAGATTGTGCTTTCGGGCGGGTTGGACCCTGTCCGTACAGACCTGGAGCAGCTGGGGGTTGTCCCTGCCCAGCTGCTGGAGAAGCGCAGGCAGCAGAGCCGGGTTCTGCTGGATGATCTGACGCATCTGCTGGAACTGGGGCTGAGTCCTCAGGAACTCCAGCGGGTTCCCGGACGACGGCACGGCGCCTGTGTTCAAGCACAAGTTCAAACTGGGAATGAGCTCCCTGCGCCAAGGCACCCCAGACACCTCTCTTTGCAAGCGAGCAGACAGCATTCGAGACTTGAGATCCTCCCACTGCACATTTCTCTCCAGGTTATTTTGTCTCTCGTTATGAATGCAAACTACCTAAGCCACAGAGTAAATCTGCAGGGCTCTCACCACTTGCAGCCGGGGCGGGCTGGGGTCTCTCAGTGGCCTGGGGGGCGGGGTTCGTCACAGGAGGGGGTCGGGCTACCTCTCTGGGTGGGAGGTCTGGTTCAGCAGGGATCCCCTGAGAAATTAAAAAGATCTCAATGCAAACCCTTCTCCTCTCTCGTCTGTAACTCGTAAACGCACCGTGTTTAATACTGCATGGAGGAAATAAGCAGGACACCAGTATGAAAAATAACAGCAGCGCATGACTGAATTCATTCCTCTTTCCAACCTGAATTGCAGCCTTTTCTCGGCAGGTGGTTTTCAGATCTCGGTTCCAAATCTGTTAATTGTGTGAGACTCCCCATGAGATTAAAAATGGCACAGGATGGCAGAGCACACGTGTTGAGTTCATGCTTTTAAAGAGTTAAATTCCTTTTACATCAGCCGATCCCAAACATGTAATGGTTCAGTTAATGCACTGACTTCCTATGGGCTTCCTTCCTGTTGTGACGGCATAACAATATGAATAAAATGAAAGTGGAATGAAAGTGTACTTTTTTTATTCATAGGTGATAAATCACACATTCACCCAGGACAGTACACCAATTCATTTTCTCTTGGCTCGCACAACCCAGCGAGTCACTCTGACTCTGGATGGAGAAGTAGGCGCGACGCTCCTTGTGTTAATAAGAATACTGTGTATGTTTTGTTACAAAGTTATACCTCTACTCTAGAATCAGCTCAAATAAGGGCAACAGGTTAATTCCTGGAATTCCCAGACAAATATATACAGGCTACAGGAACTAATGATCTTTAGTGTCCAAAATCCCCAAAGTAATGCAAGACCAACTGTTAAACTTAAACCTAGGGATACACATAGAAGGAGTGCATTTAGGAGTGAAATCAGTAGCACACTACACCAAGGGTTGCAGGTGACTGGTACAAACCTCCCAGCTCCCAAGTTATTGAAACAGATTCTCTAGGATCTTTTAGAAAACTGGGTGGAGGAGATCATTTAATTAATAAGCTACTGGCACCCCACAAAAGCAAGGCAGAACAAAAGGTTTCCTCTTATTTGTACCCTTTATTTTTTTATATTGGGAGACACTTACTGTGAGTAGATACTCCACCGCTCGGTCAGGGTTATTGTAACTTGCCCTTAGTGCTGCTATAACTTGCTCTCTCTCATAGCCCATAGACATGATCTCCGTCACCAGATTCTCATACGCTTGCCCTGTGACTGGACACAGGTAAAGAAATAAAGCACAAATGATAAAGCTCCCGACTCAAACCTCAGCACTGCATGACAGCAATCACACACATCGGTAAGAGAACTGGAATAAAATACAACACAAAGTAATGCAATACAGTCAAAATTAAAAAAACAACAACTGGATTTAAATCCACACACTGTTTATAAACTATGGCATCCCACACTAGGATCAGTGACGTTAATATCATACCTAATATAGAGGCTGCTTCTTCTAAAAGGCTCAGATCTTCTGCGATGCTGCAGGAAGAAAAAAAAACACTAAGCAAGGAAGCAAACAATAAAAGATCGCATGCTATTCAGAGAAGTTAAAAGAGCCACATCTTGTTACGCTAGATAAAAGGTTAATGTACAAAGACTTACAAGACACCATCAAAATAAGGGGAGCACCAACGATATATTTCTTTGAACAAATGATTAAACAAAAGTTCTGAAGGACAGTTCAAACGTACAGAAAAGACATCCTTCCAAATCTCCCCTTGGACACATAATAAAGATACCAAAACCAAATCCCAGGGTTCCCACTCATTTTTACCAACAAAATTCCAAAACTTGTCCATGACTTTTCCATAACTTCTTTTCCTGCATAATTGACATCTCAGGCTTCCTGGGTCTTTATCTTTTTGGAGCCATACCTTGTATTTTTCCATCTGCTAGCCAGAAGTCACACAAAACACGTTTACCCAGCATTTTGACAGGGGAGCTAGGCTAGCTTACAGCTCGCTATAAACCTCCCGCGAGAGGGTGCGACGCGACACTATAAGGAATCATGTCGGCAACGGCAACGCCTCCGCCTCTTTTTAAAAGCGCGCCAACTTATGAACACAACGACATGACACAGCCAAGATAATCTGGGGTCAATTAAAAAAAAAAACTCCATTACTTTTCCCCAAAACCAAACGGATATTTTTCAAAACTGATCTGGAAAACGAAATGTCATTTCCCCAGGATTTCCATGACTGTGGGAACCCTGAAAGCCCAAAGGGTTAAACATACTGAAGCACACAGATCAGGAAACACACTGATCTGAACCCTCAGAGTGCCTTCTCTCTCTTTTTCTACTGCTAGCTGTCTGAGAGCTAGCTAAATAGCATTTGGTTATACCATATACCTGTGTGTGAGTATAATGACAATGAACCTGAACTTGATACTGTATGCAGGCAGGATATCCTGGACTCGAGCCACAGTACTGCTGTACCTGGAGGAAGAGGGGGGAGGTGGCAGAGGGGCAGCAGCCGGTTGATCTTTGGGCTCCTCTTGGGGTTTCCCCTCGCTCGGGGCGCTGGGTACCCCTGGCGTCGCCTCTACGGTCTCCGCGGTGGCGGCCGGGGTAGAAGGGGGCGCGGAGGGGGGCTCGGCCTCCGGAGGGACGCACTCTTCTGAGGGGGCAGGGGTCACCGCAGGGGGGGCGGGAGCAGGGGGCGGCATGCTGACCACAGCCGGGGCAGGAGGGGCTTGGCTGGGGGGCGGCGGGGGGCAGGCGGGTTTGGGCTGGACAGGGTGAAGGAGAAAGGGAGGAGAGAACGACCAGGTTAGAAACAGCCCCACCACAGCTCAGGAGCCATGACAGCAAGCCGAGACGCACAGTGACACCTGTCCATTCCAGATTGGGTGGGTACAAGATGGTCCTATTTTTAAAAAAGCAAATGTGGCTCAGGATCTGTGCCCGTGGCTGGAAGGCTGCCGGTTTGTATCCCGCGGCCGTGCAGAAGAATCCTACTCCGTTGGGCCCCTGAGTAAGGCCCTTAACCCCAGCTGCTCCAGGGGCGCCATATAAATGGCTGACCCTGCGCTCTGACCCCCAGCTTCTCTCCCTGTCTGTAAGTCTCATGGAGAGCAAGTTGGGGTATGCGGAAAGACAAATTCCTCATACAAGAAATTGTATAGGGCCAATAAAGTGATCTTAATCTTCAAAAAAAATACGATGCCCTTACCTTCGTCACCATCACCACAACGAAGTTCTTCTCGTCTATTTTGTAGTCTTTTAAAGGTATGTCATCATTTAAGATTTTACCTGTAATAAAAAAAATGTAAATGTCATTCACAATTACTCATAAGACAGCAAGTAAAGAATGTTACTTTTTCACCTGCCCTTTCTTTTCTCATATAAAGCAACACATACATTATACATTTATAGATCTGAACACAATTAGATTCCCAATATCTATACTGGTAATGTGAAGCCCACCATAAAGTGTGTATGCTATATACTGTAGATCCCAAAAACATCTCATCTGCAAAATCCTAACTGGTGAAAATCCAATATTCTATATTCATAAATCAATCTGCTGCTTGAACAAATGGAAGCATTTTTCAAATGAACACCAACGTTCACTAATCGTGCTGAATAAAAATGTCAGCAAAACGTTTCGTGGAACAAAGATTCTGACAATGCAGTTTTTCAAAAAACGTTCCCTGTGAAAGCCGTCACACGCTTATTGATCAAACCAGTTTGCCAGAGTCAGGGGCACAGTCCTGGCACTGCAAGGAGAGCGAACAGGGCCCCAGGCAACAACAACTCTCCGTTTCTGTCGCGTTGCGCAATTCCAATTCTTCACTGTCGGTTTCCTGCGGTCCGAAGCACTGGAAGAACCAGACTGTCACGACCGGACTGGAGAGAATGGGATCCTGGTCCAGGAAAGGACTGTGGGTTACCGGCTGTGGTGATCAGACCGGCGCCTCAAGACAGGGCTTCACCTGCATAGATGAGCTTCTGCCCCGAGGCTGGATAAGATTCACTTCCTTTCTCTGCCTCGATCTTCTCCTTCAGAGTTTTGACCTGAAAAGGAAACGAGAGAAAAAAGGAAGAATGCAGCTCGACGAGGAAATGGCAAACTATTGTTCACTTGTTGAAGGACCTCACTCAGGTGTAGAAAAGCAGTTGCCCCACTCAAGATTTGACACCCACAACCCTCCTGTTAGACGTCCAGAGCCCACCCCACCAGAACAAGGCGCTTGTCCATGTTCACCCCACGACATCCAGCAGGTAATCAGAATCGACTGAGAATGAGGACTTTTAAAGTTTTTAAGTTTCACTGTTGTATATTTCTTTGAAGCAATAGCAGGACAGCACAGAGAGACTGTGGTAACTTTTAGGAACACATATCAAAGTTTTAAAAGTTTTAATTTTTTTCAGTGCTTTACATTCAAGATATGTCCCTTTCTTAAGCTTATTGTCACAGAGAGTGGGAAGCAGCTTTTCATTTAGGTTTTTATATGATGTCAGTAACACAGCACAAAGTGGTGAGGTTTATAAACCAGCTTGTTTTCTTTAAATAATGTAACACGTCAGCGGTTTGATCATTATGTTTTTATCTTATGGGAGTTTGGAGTACCAACATATTAACAGTTATGACCCAAATCAAACTGGAACAGTAGTTCTCTGGCTACATCTGGCTTGACAGTCTATATATTTATATGTCTTACCATTCAGAAGGCAGAATTAATCATAGAAACACTGTAAGGTGCAGAGTGGACAATCTGCATTCTAAACATAAGAAGTGACATATTTGACAGCAAGCAGATACGTTTGACTATCCAAAATAAAATGAATAATGGATTGCACCTGTATATGTTTTGGTATTAGAAAGATGGATTGAATTCAATGAGCAAGAAGGTTATTGGTCTGGAAACCCATGGAGGGGCTGCAGTATCAGGCAAGAAATGTTACAGGAGTTGGACAGATTTCCCAAAGGTCAACCTAAGGGTTCTGATTAGCCAAGGTTCAGATTAGTTCATACTGTACTGCATCAACTGCATGCCTGCCCACTGACCTCCCTATAGGAATACACTGAATATACAGGTGAATCTGGAAGATTTCAAATTTGATGCTGTTGTGCAAAAAGAAAAAAATAAAGTCCAAACTAAATCCTAGTGTGACAACAGCGGCAGCAGCCACATAAGAGACCTGCAGCCACTACCCATCAGTTATAACACCAGCATCTTAACCTTATCCTCTATTTACAGATATCAAGGGGGCCCATGAAATTGCAATCATCTCTTAGAGAACATCTGCAACACCAAGTCAGCCCTGGAAAAAACCTACAATACTTGATACTTTTCACACCAGAAATCAAGAAACAAGCGGTTGACACCACACAAAACAAAACAAAACACATAACTACAGGCAGAGTAACTCTTTTTCAGGAGCGTTGTGGTCTGTTGCCAATGAGATCTGGGTGGAAGCCAGATTCTCGGCGCAGAATTGCAGGCTGTAAATGTCATGCATAGTCACAAAAAAATATTTGGGCAACACGCTTGTGCCAGGAAAACCCAACTGAGCTACATTCCTACCACAATCTGCATCAATGCATTCGACCGTGCCTGAAGGAGGAATGTAAGAACAGTTGCTAACAAGGGAAGGCCATATGGCCCATCTAACCCATCTGGTAGTGAGGTCAGTAGTTTGGAAGTAGGTGATATATCTAATGATCTGATTGAGACATTTCTTGAAAGAAGCCAGGGTAAGCAGACAGGTTTGACTCTCCAAAATAAAATGAACGCATGGATTCATGGCTAAGTACATTGTTCCAGACATTTACAGCCCTCCGGATAAATTTCCAGTTTTAAATGGACTTCAAAACTAAAAGGGTTGGGTTCCTTTGGTCTGTCAGTGCAGGACATTCCCAGAATGTAGCTGGTTGCTCTTCTCTGGACTGATTTCAATGCAGCATTATCTTTTGTACGGTTTTTGTTGACCAAAACCGTACACATTATTCCAAAGGAGTACAAGCGCATTATCCAATTTTAACATAACCTCCCTTGATTTGAATTCTACTCTGTTAACTGCATATCCTAATATTATGCTTAGATTTTTTATTTAGTTCTCCAAATTGTCTGAAACCAAAGAGAAAACAACACTTGGGAGCTATCACAGTTTGAATCGCTATGACGCAATAATAGAACTAATATCATTACTGAAATTCAACGACATTACAGACCGACTTTTCAACCCTGTTTACATCTTCTTAACTGCACTACACACCCACATCACCGGCAAACTACAATCACCAAACGAAAGAGTGTAGAACACTATCCACTACTTTCCATGCGAGACCAAAAAAAACTATACAACATAGACCACATCTGCTCAACTATGACTACTCTACATTATATAAAAATCTCATTAGCCAATTACAGACTGGCAACATGACTGAGACATAACTACATGGGGGTAAAAACCTATGGCTAGAGGGAGTGTCCCCAAAAGAGGAAACAGTTCACTGAGCAATCCTGATGTCTGTTTAGTTTGTTTTTACTCTTTTACTTTTTTGGGGTGAGCATGTGTGTGTGTGTGTGTTTGTGTGCATGTTCAGGGGAGGGTTTTAGTAAAACACCCGGAACTGGCAGATTTGATTTTTTTTTGAACAGCTCTCTCAGGGAATGGGACATGGGGAAGGCAGTGGACACTCCACTAAGGGATGGATTGTGCAGCTGTCGCAAAAAAGGCAGCGAATTCACGCCTGCCTAGCAGCCTGACTGAAAGGAGCTACAGATAACCGACAGCTGTTTTGTTCCATTAACGCTCCTGCTTTAGAAAAAGCACCAGAATTGTTTAAGGTGCTTCATAAAAAGCCCCCAGATTTTTAAAGGGGTTTATTTTTGACGCGCAATTAAAATGTTTTTTGGGATTGCAGTAATTAAAGGCCATCGATTAAGAGTGAGGAAAACGGAAATGTATGCGTCTTTAGGAGTTTCATTGTTGGATATTTCTTTGAAGCGATACCAGAACAGCACATAACACTGTGGTAAATTGCAGAAAGGCATTAAAGAAGCCTAGAAATGCAAGTAAAGGGGATTTAAAAAAAAAAGAATGGTCAATTTTTTCTTCTACAAGTGTAATCCACACGCGCATGAGATAAACTCTTAACATTGCCCAAATCCGTGACTATTTACAAAGATCTTCGATAGCTTATCTATACCACGTTTTCGAACGTTTTTATTTTTTTTAGCCCATTACATTGAAGACACGTCCCTTTCTTAAGCTTATTGTAACACAGTGAGAAGCAGCTTTTCATTTAGGTTTTTATGTGATTTTAGTAACACAGCACAAAGGGGTGAGGTTTATAAACCAGCTTGTTGGTTTAAATAATGTAACACGTCAGCGGTTTGATCATTATATTTACATTTTATGGGCGTTTGGAGTAAGAGTAGCAACATATTAACAGTTATGACCCAAATCAAACAGGAACGACAGTTATTTGGCTACATCTGTTATCTATAAATATATTTATACATGTCTACCATTCAGTAAACGCAAATAATCACTAGTACGATATTTTCACTACTATGATATTTTGCGTGACCGCAAATGTGATCAGGGTTTTATGTAAGAAAAATAAAAACATATTGAAAACACACGAGAAGCTTGTTTTCCTCGGTCTGTTGCACAGGCATGTATTTTTAGTTTGATGGTGGAGAGGGGAAAAAAAGGCACTTCTCCAAATTGCCAGGATAAGGCTCCATAGATATTGCACCGTCATTCGTTCACAAATCGCAAGCAAGTATCAATTAAAACCAAACCGACAGGAAACGTCTGATCGTCGCCAGTACCTCTGGCCATTTAAAAGAAAAACGTATTCATTAAAGAACATTACACCAACATGTTGTTCACGTTTAGGCCCCAACAAGCCCCCCGCTTTGCCCAGCGCGTTCTCCCGGCCTCCAGCATATTTTCCTGGGCCTGGGTTCCTGGAACCTACCGTCAGCTCCGGGTCTATCTCTATCTTAAAGGTTTGCTGCTGGAGAGTTTTCAGTGTAATCGTCAACATCTTCCAAGCAGTTGTTAATATCGATAAATTAACGCGAATTGTCCAGCTCCTTCACGGTTGCCGTTACCAGGGTTGCCAGTTCTGTGACTCAGCTTTCTGAGTGTCAAGGATGGAAACTGCAGTCAGACGCCATCTACTTGCTGGCTAAGACAACACACGAACTCCCACAGAAAGCTCACTTAAATCAACGACGGACTCCCTGCTACAAACCCAAGTTACACTTTACGGCTTGTAGCGGCGGTGGTAATGACTACTGATGAACTACTGTCTGTCCTTTTTTTTTTTTCGATCATACCACGGCTCACAATGGTTATTTGCACCTTATATTTTAGGACTTTCAAGATTTAAATCTGTCTTTTTTTTCCGCTGTGGGGCGGGGGTTTAGTTCAGCGTCATAATCCGATGCAATACGAAAAGCTTTGTTCTCACTCATAGATGATTAAATAGTTATTTATAATAATCTACTTTTTAAGTGCAGTTCTCCTCGGCAGTGGGGAGGAGATTTTGTTTATTCAAGTAGCAAGGATACTTCTAGGGCCTGACGGGGGCTCTGTTCCGACTTCGGCACCTAAACCTTTCGGGCTAAACTCGGTAAATGTGGCTACACCGCGGGGAACCCCTGAAAGATGAGGGGTAATTAAAAATGATCGATCAACGTAAGGCATTGCAGAAGCAAGTACAGTAATACCAGGCGATTAAATGAAGACCACTGTCCTAGCTATGGAGTCCTTGTAATGCCAATAGTCTGTCGTTCACTGCAAGACTTACAGTGCACAACAGCTTATTCAGTATTCATGTCTCCAGACACAGCAGACGTTGGAGGACTACAATTTTCCCCGGTTGATATAATAGGAAAGCCCCTTTCAGACTGAGATTTCGAAACCGATTCGTGATATATATGTATATATCTTCGTATTGCATTCTTCCCGTTCTGGTAGAAGGCTGGACCTGGTTGGTTGAATTGTAGTGCTAAACCACGGTTATGTCCAAGGGCTAATGTCAAAACAAAGCCCTATCATTGTTTGTGTTGGCAAGACCAGTAGGTGGTGCTATTCCCTCCTGATCTAAATTTCCAAACCCCAATATTGTCATGAAGACTTGCTGTACACAATTGAGGGCCTTACTACACAGTTATTATAAATCCTATTGTATTGTTTATAAGAGTAATCATAAGGATCTAGTAACCTAGTGTTACCTATTAACACTTCCCCTCCTATGTGTAAAGAGATACATATCCTGAGAGTTTGGATGAAAAGTCCCATAAAATACAAGGAAATTAAGATGAATATTAAAACAGCATCTGTGATGAACTGGTGTCTGGGTGAATCCTTGGACCCATTGCATGCTGGGATAGGCTCCAGCTCCCCCACATCCCTGGATCGGATGAAGTGGTTAGAAAATGGATGGATTCGTTCAGCAAAATTCCTTCTTGGCCTGTGTCCCGGCCCCTTCCAAGCCAGAATCTACACGCACAGGTAATACAATCTGTAATCCTGAGAGGAAACACTGCATTAGCGGTTACTAAAATACTACTTTTTTATGATGAAGAGCATCCCGATTCACAGAACAATACACACTTGTATATACTAAAACACAAATATCTCAAATTCATCATCCTGGGAGCAGATCCAGGCCGTTATGCGAGATGTGAAAGGTCTACACTGGCTTGACCACTAAGAATTTAGCAGTCTAGTACAGCAGGCATTTAAAAAAAAAATACCACCTCTTCAGGAGTGAAAAAGACAAACAAACCAAAAATCAATTTAAGCTTTTTTTATTTAATAAAACTTTGGTATTAATAATTACATTCTGGTTGCAAAAAAAACAAACCCATTTGAATTCACTGTATGTTCCCCCAAAAACAAAGTACCACATTTTCACATGAACCTCAACTGCGGATGAGGACTAGTATTTACATCAATGTCCCAGATGGAATGCAGATCAAGTATCCAATTGCCTTCCTTCCTACCCAAAAAAAAACTATGCCTCAAAACAAATTACGTTTTACAACAGGATCGAAGATTCCCCCACCCCCCTCAGTCAAACGCTAGTTTGGACATCTCATCCCCCTGATCTCCCCACCCCCCCAAAAAAAAGCCTAACCTGTAAACACGGACATTACATCTCTTAAGATCTAGGGGTGGAACTGAAGGGAACAACAGTGTCACATCTGACAGCAGAATGCCCTGATAGATCATGAAGATAATTCATAAAAACTAAGGATGCAGTGCTTTATGAGCATTTCTCCACACTTCTGTGCTACTCGTTTGATTTACACATGTTCAGAACACATCTGGGTGAATTCGTGGTTTTAAGGATGCAGTAAGAAAAAGGCTCAGTGCTTTGAAACACACAGAATGCATGTCAGACTAAAAAGTAAAAAAATATTTCTATAAAAAGACGATTTTCTGTGACTGATTGACAGAAGATACCCCTGTTTAAATGAGAGGACCCAACAGTCTTAACTGTTCATTATCAACAGTTAATAGTAAATATTTCACAACAAAACATTTCTGGCAATTGTTCATTTTTAATGCTGCACAGTTGGGTACAACATTTCGCATTTCCAAAACAGGCTGTTGAAGGTATGGCTTGGGATTCACAGCCATAAAAGAAAAAAAAAATACATGATAGATTTTGGGAAGAGCTCTAAGAAAACAAAACCCGCATACAAATAATAATAATAAAAAAAACATCTGATTGTGGAGGTGCACAAAAATGCTTCATAGATCTGAAGTTTATTTTTACAATTTTCCTAAAACTGTTATTTGAATCCTTTTTTCTCAGTAAACACCAGAAGGTGTTTCAGAAGCAAAGTGGATGTTAGCACTGAGCACAGCTTCCAGGCACGAAGCACGACTCGGCAAATTCCCCCCTCTGGACTTCATCGAGGCACCACCTTCTCTTAACTGCTTAGAGGGACTACGGCATAGGGATTAAAAAAAAACAAAACAACCATGTGAACACGAGCCATAAGTTTAAATAAATTAAAATACAATTCTGCACTCCTCCATTGCTTTCATGGTGCTGTAGTAAAGCACCGGGGTGTGTGAGCAGCCCTGGGCTGGGAGAAAAGCGAGCAGAGGCCATGTGCATGCGAGAGTCGCGCTCAGAGAGCGCAGACACCTCTATCTTTCAGGCAGAGCCACATGAGCTCTTTATGATATGGCAGGGAAAAAACAAATCAAAACAACAATGTTTGTGACTGGGAGAATCTCACCCCTTTACTGTTATGTCACTGATGTGTCATTTATTTAGGAAAATAAAAGCTAGGAGGGGGCAATCGGTGCCAATTATAAAAAAATAAAATGGCGGGAGAGGAAGGGAGAAGTTGCAGCAGAGGCTGGCGCCTGTATCTTCTGCGAGGATGTGCGGCCACAGTCCCTGGGCTGCCAACTGACCCCAGTCTAGAGTTCGTCTTTCGTTGGAGCTTCGGTTTCCGTTGAATCCTCTTCCTCCCCCTCCTCCTTCTTGTCCTCCTCGTCATCCTCCTCCTCGCCTTCCTCTTCGTCCTCCTCGTCATCCTCCTCCGTCTCCTGCTCCTTCTTGTTCTTCTCCTCCTCCTCACGCTGCTTTCTCTCCTCCTCTTCCTGCTTCTCCTTCATTTTCTTCTCGGGCTCCTGCAAGTTAGGAAGGAAGGACCATTTAGATCAGGTGCCCCAAGACCAGACATCGTTCAGACATCACGCCACACCATAAAGGACACCTTTCTCCTCATGCTGCGGTCTTGCACAAGCTGGTGGATGTGCTCCCCTTTAGGCTACAGTCATGCAACCCTAGGTCTACACTTTGAAAGAGTGCAGCTTTTCCCTGCTTCTGCCAGTATTCAATCGTAGTCAGTCACAGGCTCAGTGCGCACACTGTAGCATTCCCCAGACAGTGGCACACTCCAGTACACAAAAAAAAAAACACCTTCTGCTGCAGACAATATTAAAATTTCTGCAGTGTAGGTTCCTAGGGTGTGATGTCACTTCTGAAACACGCTCAGTGGCACTGAACCCTCTTGCATGAGCCTCCCTCTTGTGCATCCAACTCACTTGTTTCCTCTGCCTGTAGTTTCCCAGATTTCCAAAAGCCATGACCCCCAGTGTATGCTGGTTTCATTCCAGAAGGACTTCCACCTGGCTAATGAGTTACATTTCTTCCTTAGAGAAATACACCGTCAAAGCTAAACCAATTCAAAAGCCATAACTCAGCTAAAAATTGTCCTTCACTAATAATGTTGGAACAAAAACCAGCAGACACTGTAATCCCAAACACTTGGGCTGGGAAACTGAGCTATCAGAAGAGCTCCTTCACCTTTTCCTTGGAAGGATCTGAAGGAATCCACTCGGACAGCACAGATGGGCTTCTAGGTCAGTTGACAATGCTTTAACATTGGAATCTAAGCCTCTAAGATTTCAGACAGGACATGAATGACAATTTGGAGATCAGATCCTACAACTTCCAGGCTACAATTTCATTTGAAGGTTCTCCGAATTTCTTGTGCGATGTACCTTGGTCACTCCCCAGGTCTCTTTGCCAAACTCTTCTGCAGCTTTTTCATCGTCCGTGATCAGGAAGTTATCGAAGATGGTGCCAGATTTCACCTGTGTGCATTAGAACACTCGTCAGCATCAACAGCAGGAACAAAGGCCCTCTCGTAAACCATTTCAACGGCGTGCTCTCACAGATGTCTGAACACACCTGCCACAGGTCCAGACCCAGCACCCCGATGTTGTCAAACTTGTAGATGGTGGAATCAGGGGTGTACTCGGGGTTGTCAATTTCGGGGTGGACCCAGACGCCTTTGTAGTTGGGGTTGTCAATCTGCTTCGGTTTCCACTCTCCCTGCAGCAAAACAAGGGGGAACAAAAAAAGCTGTTTCTAACGCTACACGCAGGAGTCAGTCCCGGCATCCCTACAAAGATAAGGTAAGAGAAAAAGAAAAAAACTTTCCCGGGGAAAACAATAACCATGAAGAAGTTTAGCTAGAATGCAATAACCCTTTCTTTCACTTTATCTTGAGTTCAGATTGCTCCTTTTAAATTACACTGCTTATAGTAGTCCACAGCTGTATCACCTCCTGTCATGCACTGACCCAGCCTGTTAACAGGATGGGATTCCACCCCATAGGGCCTCACTAATAGGTTTGTGTAAAGGCATGACTCCACACTGCAGCACAACTTCAGTATTTACTCAAACGCTGGCAAGAAAGTAATGCCCCTTAAAGATGCCAGGCTTCTTCCTCAAGACCCACCCCGCCCACTGAACCGCCAATGGTCCAGGAGAGGTGACATCGCCCCAGCCCTTACTCCCTGCTCTCCATACCTTGTACTCGGGGTTGGGGATCATGGGCGGCTCCCACTCTCCATCCATCTCCTCATCCCAGTCGTCGGGTTTCTTAGCATCGGGGTCAGGGATGTTCTCAGGCTTGTCCCAGTCCTGAAAATCAGAAGCATGCATCAGAGAACCCGCACGGTCCCACGACCGGTACAGGGGTCACAATCAGACATCCCCTTCCATAACAAGAAGGATTACAAAGTGCAAGAGGGAAAGAAGAGCAAATGTTTTTGCAACTCGGGCAACACTCTACAGGATGTGTACTGGTGCAGTCGACAGTTAGGAAGAGACAGAAGCGATTCGATTCTGATCACTGGCGGAGGGAATGCCCCAGGTGGAGGGACGAGCCCATCAGAACCATCAAGTCCACTAGGAGAAACAAGCAGAGGAGCTCCTGCAGGGGGGGCGACCGGGAGCAGGGAGGGGTGAGAAGTGGGCACTGGGTAAAGGGGTGAGGATTATACCCGTCCATGGTCGTGCAGAAGTGGCCAAAGAGCGGCGTGGCTCTTACCTCAGGCTTGACATCTTCGGGGTCGTCGATCTTGGCCCGGTCATCCCAGTCCTCGGGCTTCTTGGCGTTGGGGTCCTTGATCTTCTTGGGGGGAAGGAAGTCCCAGTCCTCCTCCAGGGTGCCCGACTCCACCTTCTCGTTGTCGATCTTCACCTCGTAGGTCTGGTCAGGCCGCAGAATCAGGGTGTACAAGTGCGTCAGCTCGTCATCCTGCAGGGATGGGGAGACACAGGAAAACCCACATGAGGAAACAGGAAGTCTGAGCCTCTGACCGTGACTGGAGCCCAGTTGGGTTCATATCAGTGATCCATCCATACAGATTTTACACCTTGATTAGGGATTGGAGACCCTATATACCCCAATTCTGCAGGGACAAAGCTGTCAGTCAGATGGCCTCAGCTGATGTTGGTGTGAAATGTCTGTCTGCAATTAATCATTAGTTTTGTCCAAATGTACAAGCAAAATTTAAAAAATAAATCTAGGCTAACACACAAATTTAAGATGAGGCCAATTCCCCCCCCCACCCCAGAACAAAAAACAGGACCTAAGAGTGTCTTTAATGTTTAATGTTTTTGGCTTGGCAGAGGTTATTTATAGCTTACAAGTATCTGTTTATCCTTGACAGACAAGCACAAAGAAAAACATTTAATGTTCATCGGTGGCATCGCTAGGGCACCGTTTCCATGGACACAGCTCCAAGAAGAGTAAAGAGAGGGATTAAAACTCCGCCAGAAGCTTCCACAGCAGCAGACAGTCATACAGCAGGTATGAAGAGGGACGCGGATCACTAACCTTGCACTTGATTTCCTTCTTGATGAGGTGGTTTTTGCCCTTGTAGTTGAAGATGACGTGAACCTTCTTGGTACTGTAACCACAGATATCGGGGCCTGTGGAAATGTTGAAAACTTAACATTGACCTTCTCTGAAATACAAACGATATTCAATTTTCTTTAGATACCACATGCACTCATCACATGTCCCACTTCCTGGATTTGAACCGAGAATCAATGTCTCCCAACGCCCCCCCCCCCCAACAGAAATATTGAATTTCGGTTCTCTTCTCAGATAGAAAACAATCCGATTCTGTTCCGGTTTGCTTGCAGTGGCTACATTTAAACACATGGGTGTACACTTTCTCACGCTTCCTTCGACTAAAACGGACAAGACGGGCAATGGCATGCTGGGAAGGAAAACGTGGCCGGCCGACTGACCAAACATGATGTAGTACTGCGAGTCTCCGTGCATGTCGGCCTGGTCCAGGTCGGCGGGGAACACCTTGACGTATCCGCCGCCGCAGTCGATCTTCTGCTCGTGCTTGACCGTGAACTGGACCACCAGGGTCTTGCCCTCGTTGCTGAAGGCCTTGAACTGGGAAGAGAGTGCGTAGAAGCGGGCATCCTGACTCGTCTGCAGACCTGCAAACACAACCCGGGCATCAGAGGGGGGCCCCACCTCGTCCCAGTCTGCACAAGACCCTCTTGGCAAGAGCAGGAGCTTTTGATCCCCCCCCAGCTTCGCAATTATTCTCTCACAATCGGCTTTGCTGAGAACGTTGCCACTTTCATTGTAAACCAAGATACGTCCTTCATTCATTTTCAAGAGCAGAAGAAGACACATGTCCCGAGGAGAGTCCGACAGTTATAACTCAATGTGGTTTGGATGGATCCACTGTTTAAGACCAAGTGGATTATTATTTAAGGCGAGTCAAGCATTGCTGCTTAGAACAGCCCATCACGAGAAAACATTAAGTAATGCTTTGTTTAGAGCTCAGACAATCATCTGTACTTCATTTACTAACGAATTCAGTTTTGTTTGCCTTTATTTGCAGTGTCGCAAAGCAAGTTCTATCCTCCAATGGTTCCCCCCCCCCCATCAAAAACTCATGATATTTCAGAAGTGAGAAATCAAATGGGCCACATTCTTAATCAGACTAGAAACCACCTGCCCCCCCCACACACAGGTGTAGAACAAAGTTGGAGGGACTTCACCCTATAAGCTAAATGATTGTGTGAGTGGGTGTCTGGATCACGCTGTCCAAACATGTCCTTGACACTCTGGCTTCCAATAAGAAAAGGCCGAATGAGACCCTGGGATCAATCAGGGACTAGCAACGAAATAGCCTCCACTCATTTGTGCCGAACACTAACTCACCTTTGTCCTTCTCTGCGTCGCCATAGAACTTTCCTGCAGTCAGTTTCCACTCTCCATAGTCGGACTTGTGCTTGGACTCCACCCAGTGGGTCTTCCAGGCATCTGGGAAGCGAAGGGACATTTTAGAACGTTGCCGGACACAGGCAACCCTGGGATCTCAGGAGGAGAGAGGATTCCATGACAACTACTGTACATGGTCTTTCTTGGGGAAGGTGAGGAATTAAGCAACAATAAGTGAAATGATGAGTTTCTCCACTCTGCTTGAAGAGAAACTCACTCAAACCAAACAGGCTTGTCGTGCTCGTTTCCTTCCTTGTTTACGGCAGACAGATACAATGGTGATGCCAATTATTACCAGCCTCAACTGTGCACCAGAGCAGCCCGTTTCACTATGATTATAATAATCATTCTTACACTTATAGCGCTTTTCTGGACACTCCTCTCAAAGCACTTTACAGGTAATGGGGTCTCCCCTCCACCACCACCAGTGCATAAGGCCCACTTGGGTGATGCGACAGTAGCCAAAGTCCACTCCACATACATCAGCTACGAGTGGGGAAGAGAGCGGAGTATTTAACTGCTATTATTCAAGATTTTTTTCAAACTATTCTATTTAACAAGTAATAGGTTTATTCCATGCTGAAAAAAGAAGAAAGAACACACAACGTTTCAGCCGTGGAGTCTTCTTCATGGGGGGACACCTGAAGAAGGCTCCACGGCCGAAGGAAAAAACAACGTTTCAGCCGTGGAGCCTTCTTCAGGTGTCCCCCCATGAAGAAGACTCCACGGCCGAAACGTTGTTTTTTCCTTCTTCTTTTTTCAGCACAGGAATAAACCTATTACTTGTTCCTTTGCAGCCTACGCATGCTGACGCAGCTCCCCACCTGAACTACTATTCTATCTAACTGCTACTATCCTACAATTTCGGACATTTGTTACACAACAATGCAATGGGCCTTATTGTGGATCAATTTAAAAACACAGCAAGAGCAGGAAAACCGTCTCCCTGACCGAAGGATACGCAAAATAAGACTACGCAGCGAGCCTGGCTTCTGCAGGTCGGGCAGTTTTTGCGATAATGAGAACGAGGTGACTTCAGCATTGGTCAGACTTCCGGGTGCATCTCGTCCCGGGTTTGCTGCCTACAACCGCCCTGTGCTGGAACTTTCTATCAGCGCCGCACGAGGTCCCTTTTCCACGCCGCTTTCCTTCGTTTGAACTGTCGGCACAGCTCTTATCCCCACACACACACCTCACGCGTCTGGCTCTGCGTGTAAGCATGCAAAACGCCATGCCGGTCCGTTCGACACCTACTCCAATGACTGCGACGGCGCTTTCGCTTTTAAATCCTTGAAGTTTCAGTTTCACCCTCCAAAACTGGGGGAAGCCAAAGTGGAGCCGTTTCATTTCAACTTCGGTCCAAATCTTTTTTTAAAAAAAAACTTAGTAATGAATGCGTGACCCGATATCTGCTAATACCGCCGAATATTGTCGTTTACGAGCGTGTGGTTATTTTTTTGCATCCTTAGAAATGAATTCCGTTTCGATTTCCTGATTTGGGCAAATGCTGGTCACATGTCTTAAGGGGAAAGAGAACTCACTTAAATTGCACGAAATCTGCAACGCGAAAGACTTTTTTTTTAACCAAGAGGATGTTCTTACAGGCGGCTGTCCCAAGTATTTGCATTCGGGCATCTACATAATAATCGGACAATACCTTAATCCAAACGACTGTCATTGACTTGCACTGTGCGAATCGAGTATTTTCATCGCATACCACAACACCTAAATGCTGATTAAATATAAAGCATTTTAGCTGGCTAGTCATCAAAAGCAACAGTACATAAATGTGTTGTATTTACATCGAGATTTTGAATTCAGGTTAAAAAAAAATCAAGAAATAGTTCTACCCAGAATAATCAATCAAACAGTTAATTGAATCCCCCCCAAACTACGGAAGTCTTAGAAATATTACATTTTTTATATCATTATATTTTTGCTCCCGATAACGAATAGTCGCATTTTGTGAAAGGTCATGCATTTACTTTGGCAATGTATACACGCACTCGAGAAAACAGCTCACAGGACGTGAAACGGTTTCATTTTTAAAAAACTTGACACAGATGATTTAAAAAAAAACCAACAACATTTTTTTTACCTCCATCGAGAAATTGCTCTTTGAAATAAATTTCAGCATCGACGGTGATCGCCGCCAGCAACAGCGAAGACAGTAGCCCAGAAAACAGCATGCTTGCACCCCTACGACCCGATGCCCAAGAAACCTCTGCCTGCCTGCTCAGTCTGCCCAGGGTTTTTATTGAGAGTAACCTGGGAATTTCTGACTGCTATTCCTGAACAGATGGCTGCCGCTGATTGGCCCAAGCCTGGCCAATGAGGTGAGACCACGAGTTATTCCTAGGAAGTCGTCGGATTACGCCACCCCGCGCTTTGGCGCAGGCGCAGGACGGCCACGCTGAAAACAATCAACGGTCACAGGAGAAATAGAGACACCCAGGACCACAGAGCGGAAAATATGTATCTTTGCGTTTTATTTTGGGGGATTGTGTCGGGCAGTGTTTCATCGAGAGAAAACAAATTGGACTATTCTCTTTTTGGGACTTAGTTTGAAAAAAAAACCCCGCTAGCAACTGGTGTATTTATTATTAGTTTGCTTTAATAAATTAAAATAAAAAACGTATTCACTGAAACAATGTTTTTTAAGTACTTTGCCTCACATTTTAAAAATATTTTATCATAGAATAGTAGAAATTAAGTAGAATTAAGCAGTAGATGTAAAGTATGCATTACTTAGCTGGAAATCTTTTACATTATGTTTTTTTAACATTTACTCTGCTCTCCTCCCCACTGAGAGCTGGTGTGTGGGGAGCGTACTGGTGCACTATGGCTGCCTTTATATGAACCAGGTGGGGGTACACACTGGTGGGGGTGGAGAGGAGTCCCATGACCTGTAAAGCACTTTGAGTGGAGTGTCCAGAAAAGCGCTATATAAGTGTAAGCAACTATTAGTATCTAGTACTCTGACACATTTTGGTTAATACTATAGTAAAGTCAATAAAAGGAAACGGTGCTATATTGTTTGGTATGCAGATTACATTTTGAATAGAAATGGCTTTATTGAGTTTATTTGGAATAGAGTACAGCCGTTTACTGCCATTACATGCCCTTAGTTAATAAATCAACGAGATCCGCAGGCAGGATACATTTTAACCACGTCTGTCAACAGTCCACGCGAATCGGCCACTCAGGCTCGGACAGCACAAGACTGGGACGGGTTTGATTTACAACTCAGTCCACTTCTGAGTCTTCTTTCCCTCTGCCTGCAGCCTTTGAACGAAACAAGATCAAAGGAGTGCCATGCAATTAAATATAACTTGTGTACACAGCTTGAACGCCATGCATGGAGTGTTAACAGTAGATGGTTTTATATGGTTTAATTGCGCAGCGCCCGAAATGTCTCACCAGAAGAGCATTTAAACTGCCTTGTACTTGAGGCTTGAGCTGCGACTCCTGAAGACCTCATTTAACCACATTCAAACTCGCTGGCGTTTTCTGTGCGGGTCGAGTAAAACCTTGGTGCAGACAGCCATATGAGTAAGATCTGGGGGGGACGTTCTAGAGTTAGACGTTTCTTAAAACGGGGCATAACACCAGCGAGCGCTGGTTATTATCGCAAAAAATGAAAGCGTCAAACCCCCAGCACGTCTCTGTGGTTTTTCAGACTGAAGAATACACTTCCTCTCAGGCCAACGGAGAGCATGATGGTGATGAAAAAACAATACGAATAGTGCTGACATACCTTCTATTCCCATCCTACAGGGGTGCTTGCTTATTCCCGATAAAGATCATTGCAGCCTGGGGTTTATCCCTGAATCATGGGGTGAAAAACACGTCTGCACGCCAGTGCATAGCAGCGAACTTTATTTATTCAGGATGAATTAAAAGCATTCGCAGCAGAAGTGCAAAAACACGACCCCAAAGATTGCAAAGGCTTTTCACATTTGATAGCCTCAGACCCGACAGCGCAGTGCAGTAGGAGGTCGTGCTCACTGCATCCATTGTAACACTGTAGCATCAGGGCTAAATTATTTCTAAAGGTATAACAGCTAAACTCTTCTTGTCTCTTCTCTGGCTGCGCCTGGCAAGATGATTGGAGGCATCGTTCAGCAGCGAACGACTTGAACTGGATCAGAAACCAGTTGCCCATCCCAATATCACAGAACGTCATATTTAAGTATGTTTAAAAATAAAACGGCACATATTAGTTATCAGTTTATTTATTAGTTCTTAAGTTTCACAACACAGGACATTGCGTTCGGTGGCTGTTCGGAAGCCGTTTTTACACGGTTTCTTCTGCTTTAGCTTTAACATGAAATTGGAAGGAAAATTACAGATGTTTCTGCGCGTTGGCGCCTCCACACACGCGCCCCTGTGCCTATTTCAAGCAAATCTGCAGCGGGCTGCGCACCCTCGTGTCTTGGACGATGAGCGTCACCAGCCGAGTGAGACAGGGACAGCAAAAAGACACAGAAACTCGAAAAGACGAGAAAGAGAAAAAGGAATTTCCGCAACGTCCAGTTTTGTACTTGTCTGTTCGGCTCTCAGGCGTCACTTGACAGACAGCTCTTGCAATACTGTGATTACTGTGAAATCAAGGGATGAAAATGTCTCAATGGAGGGAAGACCGAGTAGTAATTCATTAACCTTTCATGGTATAACCATAACAGGTTGCAGAACGTCTGAAATGACAGATTCACTTTTATTTCTGCAGCGGTGCAAGTGCGCTCTCTCGCTTCACGCTGGCAATGAACTGCAGCCCAGTCAGTGGGGTCTCCGTGACGCTGGGCTGCTCTGGACTGAGAATCTACAATCCTGCCACTGGCGGCTCACTGGAGACCGTCCTGTCCGCTTCTTTCAAACTGCGGACTCTCTCCACACCCTCCCCCGCTTCCTGTTCCCTGAGTCCCCCTGTTTCCGCTAACGTTGAGTTCCCCCCCCTCTGCCTCTCATTCCTCTGGCGTTCAGCATCCTGGAGGCCAAACTCCGTTTTGGCAAGAGCATTTATTTATAGTCAATTTATTAATCATTCTTGGTAAATTTCACATCCATAAATCCAAATGGTCTAATAATACTCCCCTTTTTAGTTCTTTTGAAGTGGAGCTGAAAAACTATTTAAATTCTATGAAAAATTTGAGAAATAATAAAGCACGGCAAACATATGATATACTGTATGTAAAAAATACAATTTAATCATATAACTTACTTATTACCTCTGGCGGTTAACTGTTTATTTTTCTGTTTGTGTTTGTTCTCTTGTACCTAATTTGATCCTCTGATTGTATTTGTATTTGTAAATTCTTTACACATTTAATTAAAAATTCTTTAAAAAAAAACTCAGTTTTGGCTGCCGGTCACCAGGAGCCAATGACTGAACTCATAGAAAGACAAATTCATATCAGAAAAAAGAAAAACCATCATATCAACCGATTGAAAAAAAAATACAAAAACACAACTATGGGACACATACATGTATAGAGACCACAAGTAAATTTATTATCCCCCAAATTAGCATTGTTCACAGGATGTTCCCTCTGCAATATTAGAGTGGTGTGCACCAAACCCACTTGTAAAGATCCTGTAGGCCGACTGGGACGGAATTCTTGAGGCTAGTATTGATTCCAGACAGGACACTGTAATGTCTTTTATTTCCTTGGGTTTCAATTCCACCTGGCAGTCCTGGCCAAAATCGAAATCGACAGGCGCATTTCCATCACTGAATCCCAGAACTGCTGCAGGGGGGATGTTTGGGCATTTGTAAGCCATCCACACAAACTGTGGGACCGCCACCCTGTGCTCACCTTCTGGGATCCATTTCTCTGTCTCGTAAGGAAGAACACCACTGACAACATGGCAGCTGGCCTCCAGTTTCTTTGCAATCTCTTCCTCCTTCTCACTCCACTGCTTCTGGTTGAAGCCGCGAGGCTAGGGTGGAGCATTGGACACAGTGAAGGTAGCACTTTTACCTGAGGGACTGGCCATGAAGCTGTTCGGGACTAAATGCCCTCTGGTGTAATACATGTTGTAGTACATCATCTTATAATCAATTTCCACCGGCTGGCTGTCCCGAACCTTCGGGTCATTTTTGACATCTTCAGTGATTTTTCCCATGTTCTCTCCTTTCGTGGGGTTTACAAGCTGAAACGAACACAAGACACGCGACACAAGAGCTGATTGAGAGGGAGAAGAATAAAAAAAGCACAAAACATCGCTCGGCCTGGTTTATTAAAAAACCCAGCGCCTTTTTCGAAAAGAGAAGAGTAGGGGTGTTACCATGGTGTCTTGGACAAATGTTCCCCTGCCCTTTACCAATTTTGCCCTCCTAATAACCCCCATCTCTGAACTGTCTTCATCACTCTGTTCTCCTCCCACTGAGAGCTGGTGTGTGGTGGGCATACTGGCCCAATATGGCTGCCATCCAGGGGGTAACATTGGTACTGGTGGAAGGGAGTCCCCATTACCTGTAAAGCACTTTGAAAAGAGTGTCCAGAAAAGTGCTAAATAAGTGTAAGGATATTATTATTATTACATCAAGCCCAGAACTGCCCCTTCCAAGTTAGAAAGGAGGAAGGTGTGAACATGTGTTGCTGAGTCATGCTGCTGTTGTCGGTATCTCCATGCATCTTCACAGAAGAAGATGGTTTTTCATCCCTCACTCTGGGGCCAGAAAGAAATGCTCTCTGGAATCACTTAACTAGTGTTTCCTTACCACTTCTGCTGCTGCCAATTCTCTTTCCAGCTGAGGTCTCGATGTTACATTTGCACCCCAGCTTGAACTAATAATTGACTCGTTAAACATAACAGCGGCTTTTAAATTTGTGCCAATAATGTGAAAACTGCAAACTTTGAGGGATTTAAAAAAATTCAAATCAATCACATTATTAGCTTCATAAATTGTTCAATTACACCGCCAAATGTCCAGTTAGATTTCACTGGGATCATGCGGGCCAGAAACAAGAGGTTTTGGATTCACTGGTAAATTGAAATGGTGTATTATTTATATCAAGTGGGTTATTTGTTAAATAAAATTGAAAATATTACCCTCTGATTTTGTTTAGGGTAAAAGGTCACTATGCAAAAACATACAAAGTGCTGCAGAATTTTCATACTACTGCTGTTGCTGCATTTCTCTCCATGCAAATCACAGCTGTGATAATAAAGCACATGCAAAAAAACAATTGCTAAGATAATTTTCTCCCACCCCACCTCCAACCCAGTCATCCCCAGTGGCACCTCCCAGTGCTCCCCTTGTGGCTGCATGTGTGGTTTCACCTAGCAATCTTCAAAAACTGCTCAGGCTGCACCGTGCAGACAGCAGAGCACAGCTACAGGGAAGTTACAGAGCACACAAACTCACAAAAGGCACAGTTTTCTGATGCCAATTAACCTTGATGGTGTCTCTCTGTTCCTTGAGACTAAGCCAGAGCACCTGGTGGCCGGCTACACAGTAACAGGACAGACCAGCTCCATACAGAAGGTGCCACAGACTGTAATTGGACCCAGGAGCTGTGATACAGTAATGCTGAAATGAAGCAATACACAGCGTACAACACCAGAAAAAAACTGGATATATTCAACAGAAAAGGAAAAAGCAAATATCAATTCATATACAGAACATAAATTAAACAGAAATAAAATAGGTAATTCCAAATAAAATCAGTCACACTAATAAACGATATACTACTCCACTATTGGAATTCAAAACATGCTCACATGCAATTATTTTCACACTGACAAGCGAATAGGCGTAGAGACCTCACCCAACCGTCAGATTAAAATTGGAAGACTGACCTGTGGCTCGTACTTCCAATTTTTTTCGGTGGTCTCGGAAGGGGTATCATTGGGGTCCTTATAGTTGTACAAGGAGGCGGAGTAGAGCGGTATTCGCCTTGTTTTGTCGTAGAGAGAGGCGAAATAAATTCTGTTCCTAAAGGTCTGGCACACTCTCGCATAGTTTTGACTATTAAACCCAGCCGGTTCCTCATTTTCATAAAAGAATTTCCTGCAGTCAGAATTTTTGAATGAATCTACAACCGTACCCCTTACTGTCTGCTGGGCGAGGAAAGCACTCAACAGAAATAGCAGATACGCAAGGAAATGCATGGCTCTTGCTGCAGTCGACTGCATAAAACCCTGATCGCTTCTTATCGCTTCTGACAGCTCCTGGCTTCTGCGTCTTCTCTAGTGATCCCACGACTTCCTAGACATGCATTTTCAAATAAGATAGCTTCCGTAAAGTAAACCATGTGACTTACAGGAATATTGTTTTTGAACTATCAGATATCAATTAAGTTAAATATTTGTACTTCCTGGACATGCATTTTCAAATAAGATAGCTTCCGTTAAGTAAACCATGTGACTTTCAGGAATAGATTTTTTTGAACTATCAGATATTAATTACGTTATATATTTCTAGACTTTGACCTTTTTTGAGAATTTTGACAATTAACGATTTAACTTTTCTGCCAACTGCTGAAATTAACGATTGAGACAGGCCTCCCTAATGAAAACCATTGGCTGTGATTATTTGTGTGAATTAGTTGTGTGCTGTCAATTAACGTGGATATTAATTAAGGTATTACATATTACGATACACAGGACGTGTGGGCTGGGTGTCTCTTGAGTCATTATAATATCCCAGTTTATTCCAAAGGGGAACGGATTTGGTTGTACCTTCATGTGATGTAATCGGGTAAAGGGTACAAAATTACTTCAAGTAGGCATTCCCTGCTCATGACACATCGGATTAAGTTTGTCCTTCACGCACTCCGTAGGACTCCGACGCGCTGTAAAAACGTCACTAAAATGGGCGAGATAGACGCATTACCCATGGATACAGACGCTGCCTTGTCTGAACTTGCATGTCTCGGTTTTGGCGTGTTTGAAAAGTGAGCGAAATATGCTAAAGTGTTCTGTAGTTCCCTGCAAACAAAAAAAATACGTCGCTAATTTGAAGTTTCGTCTCTGAAAACGGAGTGGGTTGGAATTAGGATTATCAAGTAACTCTGTAGATTCTACTACCGCTCTGAAAGCTCAACATAGCTGGATACCAGAAGTATGATAATAGAACTAATGTTACAGTTTTTGTGACGTGAACTGTTAATTCTTTTAAAAATCGTGGTTTATTCTATGGGGATGCTTGCTTTGTTGTAGGTGACGAGTCTAAAACAGATGAAAGTACAGTATAAACGCCACACATACAGCTGTTAGAAGTCCTGAAACGTGTTGACGGTAGTTTGGAACCAGGCTGTCTCTACAGCAGCAAAAATGTGTCCCTGTGTGAACGACTGTCGGCGTATTTCAAATGCCAGCATATGTTCTGTGCGTCTGTAAGTGTCTTTTCTCTTCACGACTGCCTGATTGCTGGTGGCACTGTCCCTGCAGAAGGCCGTGCTTATGTGGAAGCGCAGTGACACTCGGAGCTCGGCGCTGGCCAGAGCTCAGGCACAGTTGTCGGGCCAGCGGGTGTACAGCGCGCCCAGGGATACCAAGGATGAGCTCCAGGTATTTACATTTTTTTCCCACGTAAAAAAAAAAAAAGCAGGAGCAAACCTGCTAAAAGTAGTGTGTCGTTTAGGTTCTTAAAATAATGTTGGGGGGGGGAACCTTCAGCTAATAATAGAACCAGACTTATAGACTGTAACACCTCTGTTTCACTCTGCAGGAATACATGGATACACTCATGAAAAAAACGAGCTCTTTGAAAGAGCAACACACGCTCTTCCAGGACCTGAGCGATGTCTCCATCGATGACGCCGAGAGTGAAACAAAAGAAAACGCAGTTGGAGCGCAGCGGCAAGCGGCGGAGCTCGAAAGGCCGTCGGGGGCCAGCAGGTTTTTGAAGAAAGCCCCGCAGTCCGTCAGGAGCAGTCAGTCCCCCACGCCGAGCAAGGCCTCCACGCAGGCGAAATGGCACGAGCGCGGCGGGGCTGGGTCATCGCAGAGCGCAGCGCTCAACCGACTGGCGCTGATCGAGAGCCGGATCAGGAACCGCAAGCTGGCCAGGGATCGCCCGGACTCCGATAAAGACGTGCTGACTTCGGAGGAGAAGCCCCTTTCTGGCCAGTCCAGCAGTGAGCTCAGTGCCCGGGGCAGCAGGTTTCTGAAGAAGAAAGCGCCCCTGTCTGACAGCGCAAACCAGCGGAGCATCCCGGGCCCTCCTGCGCTCAGGAGGGTTGGTAGATCTGTCAGCCTGGACAGCGACGAGGAGGACATGAAGAAGCTTCTCGGGGGTTCTCCCGAAGCACCCAAGGCAAAGATCACAAAGGATTCCTGGCTGTCTTCCCAGGAGAGTCCTCCTTCAGTCAGAAAGGTACATGTTCCACTGGAATTTGACCTGCCTCCATGCAAATATTGATTTGTTTATTGACTTTGTGCTTAAGTGGCAATTGAATATTCAGGAGCAGTGTGTGCTTCTTGAACAAGTCTCACATAGTACAGAAAAAAGGAGGTTTCCAGTGTGTCACATAATGAATTCTAAGTTTAATAGAGCATCCCAGGCTTTATTATTATAAAATCAGTGTATTGCTGTTTGAAGGTATGGAGAAATGAATAAGGACAAATCTTAGAAAATCTTAAATATTCCATGTCTTCCTCGCATGCCCTGACTCTTTGTATTCCTGCCTTTTCCTTCAGTCTTTCCTGAAGAGCAATCGACCAGTCCTACCGTTGTCGCCCTCCTCCCCTGGCAGAAAGACCCTGTTCGCAGGCCTGTCCCGTTCCCCCTCCCCGCCAAGCCGGGGATCCCCAAGACCGGCCGGCTTTAGGGCCCAGCTGCGGAGCCCCTCCCGCTCCCTGTCTCGCTCCTCTATGGGGGTGGTGTCCGGAGCCCCCTCCCCTTCACCCCCAAGTGGGCCCTCCCCTCGCCGAGCCGGCTCGCCCCGATCCGGGTTCCCGAGGCGCTCCTTGTCGTCTCTGTCTGCGAGGAGTGATGTCAGGTCCTTGGACGAGCTCTTCCCAGATGCATCAGAATCCGATGACGCGATCAGTGAGAAGAGCAAAGAATCGGATGGTGAGACTGACCACTAAGACTATTCTGGTGGAGAGCAAAAAATCAGCTGTTAAAGAAAGGACTGCATATTCTGAGCAGCTCCCAAGCAGGAGTGTTATTCAAATGCCGGTTAGAACCATGGATAATGAATTTCTGTTCATAGAAGCTGTTTTTGCAGGAAAAAAACGTTCTTTTTACTAGGTTTGTACTTGTCGGTATTTTGTAAAAGCATCTTGGATGTGAAAATAAGACAATAATCCCGTGGGGCTTTCTTCTAGATTTCAGGATAAATATCCTGACCTTGGATGACCTTGTACCAGCAACTTTAGGAGAACCTGAGAAACCAGAAGAAAAAAAAGAGAATAAGGTAGTTCTGTATTTATTTAGAGCAGATTGTGTCCATGTGCTTACAGCCAAAGAACTCTTTTATAATCCTTTTCTTTATATTTTTAGACTGGGAGGAGAAAAACCAAAGACAAGAAGACTGAATTCTCTCAAGCTGTGAATATAAGGCTTGTTGATGAACCTTCGAATACAGTTGAAACTCCACCTACAGAGGTGAATGCTGAGTATGAGAGCGATTTTGAGAGTGAGATCAGGACAGAGACTGAAAAGAGCATTAGTGAAATTTCTGAGCGTCTTGGGGATGTGTCTGTGGCCAGTGAAGTTCAGGAAGACAGTTCTGAAAGATCACAACAGGAAGACTGGACTCGGGGTTCTGGAAGTCCGTCTGAGACGGATACGAGAATGGAACAATCCTTTTCTTCCTCCTTCTCCTCCCCCGCTCCTCAGTCTGAAGTGGACAGAAAGAAAGCTGATCTCTCCTGCAGGCAGGGTGTATATTCAAGATCATCTGCCTCTTCCCCCTCTGCATCTGGCTCTGGGACGCTCACCCCACCCCATGAAACACAGTCACCCCACCAACGCAAGGCAGTGAAGGATACTGCTGTCCAGACACAGTTTGATGGGCTGTCCTACAGCTGGTCTAACGGTTTGTAAAATTTACTATTTATAGCACTTTTTAAACCTTAAGAAGCAGTTAATGGAAATGAGCATACAGGTGACAGTGAACTGTATTCCTTTATAATCCACAATTATCAACTAAACCTTATACTTTGTTTTTAAGGAATGGCAGTTTTGGGCCCTTCTATAGGAACGTCTCATCTAGATCCCACTCCTGTTGCAAGCCATGTTGTTAGTGCCGATGCTATTGAAGGTAACATTCCCGCTTGAAGAAATGAAATTCCTAACGGATAAAGTGTCATTCCAGCAATCGGTAGTTCCCTGTTAAACATGTTAGCTTCCATTAGGCAAAGTACTATACATTCTGCAAAGAAAGTTTCCTTTAACTAGAGTTGATAATTTTACATTTTAATTTTCTCAATAGGCATTTAATTATTTCTGTCATCTCTTTAGTTTCTTTCAAGTGACAGAAGGGTTTTGAAGTACAACGGTTTGGGATTTCTGTTCCTAGAAAGGTAGATTAACACATTAGGAAGAATATGACTGGATGAGAAATACATCTAATGTCTTAAAACATACACAGGACTAGTATTCTAGTTGTGTTTTTTTGCAAGAAGAAAGAGTGCCTCTTTTTTTCCCCCCAAGCTCTCACAGCGTACAGTCCAGCTGTGTTTGCCCTGAATGATATGCTGAAACAGCAGCTAGCCCTCACCAGGCAATTCATAGATAACACCAGGCATCTTCACACATCTCTGCTTCAGTCCCTGGGACCTGCACGCTACCGCTATACAACTCTAGAAGATACCAAAGAGGTAATCATTGTTAAATCTGCCACTTGCTATTCATGATATCGGGAATACAGGTAGAGATCTAATACTTTAACTGAGTATAGTAAAATCCTTTATTTTGCCAGATTTTCAGCTGTAAATTGGAAGATTTCACCAGCTGAAATGTAGACCATTTTAGAAATCAATACTGTACTTTTACAAAAGCTTATTAATTATTACTAATACAATTAATATAGAAGGAATTGTTTTTTTAATAATAAAATTGAGTTAAATTGTTCTGTTAAGAGCTGGAAATGTAATACTTATTAAAAAAAAATAAATTTCCTTAGCTTAAAGTTATGAAGCACTGAGGGCCTGATCGTAGGTAATGTAATCAAATTCTGATTGTCTGCATTTGTTTTGTAGTTCATACAGAGTCACAAGTCCCCTCCATTGACTGTTGAACAGGCTCTGGAAGAGGTGCTCCAGGAAATGAGAGAGTATCATTACCTCTGATCTGCAGAACTGTAGAAAATGACATCCTGCAATTTTACAGTACAAAACATGATGCGAGATGAACTCAAATTGCCTCAATAAAAAATGCCCCCATTATAAATGTTGGCAGGTTCAACTCTTGCAATGGAATGTAAGTTGTCTGGAAGCTTAATGTAAACAAATGAGTAATTAACCAGGATCAAATCAACCTGCTTTGTAATTTAAAATTGTGAAATGTACTGTACACTTAAAGAAGCATTTGCTTTACTCTAATAGAAATATTTTTGTATAAATAAGCTTTTGTATCAAGTTTACTGGCTTTAAAAAAGGCAAAATTACCATCAGATCATTGTTTTCATTGTCTAAAGGATTTCTCAGTAAATTGAGATGCCGGGGGTTAAAACAGATTTCTAGGACACCGTAAATATTATGCTACGTTTAACATATTCAAAATCATCCAGATAGTACAATTCAATAATGACTCTCTCTTCTCTGATGAATTAATGGCTGTAATGGAATGTTAACATTAGAGCTCAGTCATGACTCTTAACTACCTATATACATCCTCAGGGAGATGGGGGCAGTAAATAGTATGAAGTTAAAAGAAACGCAGATTGTCTCATATAAGTTTCCTTTTATTATTGGCTACTACAACCTCATGCCATTTAGTAAGCCATGTCAAGCTGTGACTTTACAATATCAGTTCTGAATGAAAAAAGTGATCTACGCACAAAACTGTAACTGTTTAAATCATAACCATCTTTTTTGTTCCCCTTGAACAAAATCCAAAAGGATTACTCTCTAAAATGTAATATTAAGCAATGGTGAATCGTGAAAGACCGACTGTAGTAACTGAGAACAATTAGCAAAAAAAAACAATACATTGTTCAAAATCTACCGATTTACTTATCATTGCTAAAAAAAGGTACTGTACATTGTTATATCCAGATCACAACCAGACTTATATGAGTTGAAATACAGAATTAAAATACAATCCCCTTGTGTTTGTACAGACAAAAAACGGTGGGGTGGGGACTTTTCACATTTTCACCTGGGAAACATTTTAAAGATGGGAGAAAAAATATTGCTGGAACCTCAGTGATCACTACATGGAAAAAGTAAAACGACGACATTCTGGTGAAGGAGGCCATTCCTGGAGGGATCAGCACAAATCCAGGGTGTCAGTTATTCTGGGGCAGGGGGGTCCTGTGGCTCCCGGTTTACTGTAACATCACAAGGGAACAGGACAGCCATTACCATTATTGTGAGAAGGATATTAGATCTACTCATGCAGCTTTAAGCAGAGGAAACTAAATGCAAAAAAAAAATGCATTAAGGGTGTGGCACAGGCCTACTTCAGCAGGTGTACTAAGCCTGTTTTTTTGTTGCTGGTCTATAAAAAAAACATAAGAAAGGTTACATTGAGTCTGTCTGATGGGATGAATGGCCATGTGGTCAAGGATCAAGCATCCAGCCCTTTCTTAAAATAAGCCAGGGTATCTGCTTCCATAACCCACCCCGAAAGTACACAGCGGGATGGTACATAAGAACTTAAGTGCTCAAGAAAGATCTGGGTGGTTACAGGTGGTGTCAAACCAGTCAGCGTAGGTGCTGTTGACATATCCAGTGTTGTAAATACATCTTTGAAGGGGAACACATGAGCACATTTCAGAAAATTTACAAGTTGGGGCAACATACTCCATGGTGACTATAGGAGGAGGAGAAGAAGGTTTTATCACGGAAAAGGTCCGCAGAAACCAAACGAGCTAAATCTCTCATCAACATCCTAATGCACTCCTACAAGTCCTGAAGCAAAAAAACACACTAGTGAATATTTTTGCATTGTGCATTCAAAGCAGGTGATAGGCCTAAACTCATTAATTTAAAGAGAAAACTTTTTTCTCTTAAGCACATGCCAGACAATGCTGCAGATCAGCATCTTACCCTCCTCCCTTGCCTTCATGCGTGCAATGAAGGAGTAGCTCTTGTTTCTCCGGTAGTTCTCATAGGGATCATCCAGCGACACTCCCACTCCCTTGTACTGGTCCCACTTGTCCCGCACATCTCCTCCTTTGATGGGGTCTTGGATACCCTGCTCCTTTGCTCCAAGCCCACCAGAACCACTCCAGCCTGCCGTCAGACAGAGCAAAACCACACGGTGAGTTTTGGGACAAAATGGGATGCAATGGGACAGAAGGTTTCCTGCATTTTATTGCTCAACTTCACAAAGTAGCTCATAAAGATTACACAAAATCCTTAAATATTTGTATTCATGTTTTTTTTAGACATTCCTTGTATTTAAGAAAAACTCTGAACTCAAAACCTCATGGAGCTTTAGAACGCCACAGGATATGTCTTGCTGAAAGTGGAATTAAAAGGCTCTCTCCTTGTTTCATACTGATGCAATTGTAAGGTTTAAATGGAAGTACATATTAGCAATGTGGAAGACATGGGCTATCCTTTGAAAGCACTCCACTTCCAAGCTCAGTCTGCAAAGGCCTTCAATATACAACTGAAGGGAGTGAAACGCAGATACTGTAATAATCACATGCTTTGCAGTGCTCTTACCCATCTTCATCAGCATCTGGTGCCCTTTGTTCTCCTCTCCCAGCCTCGGCTCTGCAGTCAGGGTGGAAGAGGAAGCACCAAGCCCAGAGGTGGAGCTGTGACAATGAAGTAATGTCAGTCCAATAGCCATTCAGCAAAAATAGAACAGCTGTCCAAGTTCCTCTCCTGTTTTATAGATTATATAGGGCTCACTTTTCCCCATTTGAACACGCGGTCATGGCAGCCAACAATTATACTGGCCTTCCGCACTACTTGCTTGACACAGGTGTTTAGAAAAAGCTTTAGTTTTTGTGCACCAATAATTTTGCTGGCTACCTTCACAATCCTGCTCAGTCTGTTTCCTGTCGTGTTTCAGCACGCATTACTCTCCCAAAATGAGAAAAGGGGGCGCCATCCTTCAGATTAGTTGTTCAAACACGTTTCTGGCTGCATGGCCTGTAAAGACCTCAAGCCACTTTTCGGAAGGGTAGAGATGTCACCCACAGCGTATGGGCTAAATCCACAATCTGGGGAAAGCTCCCCATGAGCTACAAAAGTGAAGCGATTTCTCCCTTCTGCTGGCGATGTGCCGCGCAGTGGGGCTGCCACGTGTTACCCAGGTGAGTGATTGCTGTGGTGGACAGAGCTGCACGTGGCCAGAAGAGCTGAATACTCTGACATGTGTGACCTCCATACCGCACATTCCTTAGAGCTTCAGGAACGTCGTGGTCACAGAGCGCACCTTGGCTCCGCTAGGGGAAGGACACCATGGCTAAAAAGACTTACGGTGGGGTTGGGCTCCTGGATTTGGTGTGGCGCCGCTTGTCCGGAGAGTACGACCGCGAGCGGGAGCGGGATCGGGATCGGGATCGGCTGCGGGAGGACCGAGAGCCACTCCTGCTCCTGAAACAAACACAGAGGCATCGTGACGAGCAGACCACCAGGAGGATCCCTTCTCCCAAGTGGCAGAGGCTAAACCTGGAATTCTTCCCCCTCGTACAACGCTGCACTATTTGTTTTACCTGAATTAATCAATTTCTACACCTGAGTCACTTGCCAACTGGTTTGGTCCACCTGTGGACCTGCAATAAAGCAGGTCCACTCGCCAGATCTGCACCAGGGCAAGGCCTTGTCCGAGTATTAGTTCTCATAATTATCAGTATGTATGCCACGTCGGAACAAAGACATTCCCATCTTCTGCTGGTACACTAGAATATCCAATGTGATGGCGAAGTGTTTTATTCACTGATCAATGCCTGTCTTCTGTTGACGGAAGACCACATGTGTGAAGACGTCAGGGTAAACTTCATGCTGCCTGTTGTTTTGCTCAAGGCAGCCGGTGGAGCCAACTGGTCCCCGGGCCAAACACAAAGCTCCCCCATTGCTGCAAGCCAACCTGCAGGTTTAGGATTTTCCAGCAGGACAATGCAAGACTACTGTGCCAAGACTGCAATGGCAAGACTTTAAGGCCCCCAAAAAAACACAGATGAAGGCCTGTGCATGCATTTTATTATAAAAAATCAATACAGCAAAAAAAATAAACTTTAGACTGCAGTTTATTATTCTGTGTGCTTCTACTCTCCCTTAAGTTTGATTTTTTGGACGTGTCTGCATTAGGCTAAGAATGTTCTTCTGTCAAATGATTCCAGCCTATGATCAGCCTTTTCTCTTGACCACAGCCTATGTCAATGCTGGTAGGACTGCACTAAAATTCAAGGTGGTTGTACTCAAAATGAATATTGTAACATCTGAATCTTGATGGTGTGTCACTTTGCATACTGAAACATTATCATGAATCTTGGATCTGTATTTGTATTCAGTTTTTCCACGAGTATGTTACACACAGTAAGCATTTGTAGTATCTATGTTTAAGGTATCTGATCAGATACACCAAACCCGCTGGTCACATTTTTTCGGCGGGCATCAGGATGTTAACGAGGCGCAGCAGAACAGAGTCCGTTTTCACGTACCTGGACCGGGATCGGGAGTAGGAGCGGGACCGGGACCGGGACTGGGAGCGAGATCTGGAGCCGGAGGAGGAGCGCGAGGATTTGGAGGACCTGGAGCTGGAGCGCGAGGAGGACCCGTCTCGGCTCCGCGAGCGGCTGCAGGACCGGCTGCCTCGCGCGCTGTGGGGACGGAACAAGGTCGGCGCTCGTACCCGTGCCTCTCGCGCACACTCAACCGCTGGCGCAGAAGGAGTCTGTTTGCGAGCGCTGCCTGACTCGACCGCTCTCGCAGTCACAGGCTGCCATGGCATCTTTGAGAACCAGGACTCACACCTGAAATACTCTGGCATCACCGTCACTGCTAAACTCTTAGCAAGCCCGAGAGGGCAAAGCAACAGTACAGTCAAAAACCAATGTACAACATACAGCATACGCACATGCGTTGTATTGTCTGGATCCTGGGCCTTGGTTATCCAGATTATTTGTCACTTTTGTAACCTTTTTTAAAACCGAACTATGTCCAAGATTCCGGATTGGTTCTCTCACCTGTTGCGTTTTTCTTGTCCTTTTTTCCGCCTCGCTCGCATTTTAGCTCTGAAAAACTCGTACAGCCCATTCTGTTCCCAGCCCTCGCTGCAAAACGGCAGGAGAAAAACCCACTCAGGACCTCAGAATACTAATTACTGCAGTGGAGAATCAGGAGCAGGAGTGGGAAAGCCCTACACAGTAAATCATATTCAACAGAGACCTACTATAGAAGGAGATATATATATATAACTACTAAAGACGAATAGGTCCCTCATGTCACATGAGTCAAAATGCAGGAAACAACTGCCTTGACATATTGTGTGCTGTACCCAAATCTCAGGTCCAATTAGTGACCCTACAAATAGGCTCCAGTATGAGATCTGGCGGTGTTTCTCAAGGACATTGCCATTCTATGGATGAGCTGTTCCTAGCCCCGTGGGGCTACAGAAGGACAGAAGCAACTGAGCACAATGATATCCTCTCACCGTCAGCCTTTCTAAAGCCTGAGGTGAAGGTTACCTGTTCCTCGGTCTGTCATGAGAGGGGGGGCTGTAGAAGGCCTCGACCGCGGCCAGCAGCCGGTCACTGGGGGGCATTGGGGGCGGGAGGCGGATGTCTTTGGGGTCCAAGGGCTTGTAGTCGTGGTCTTCAAGCTGGGTCATTAAACAAACGAAGAGTTAGCACCGTGCATTAAACTTTCAAACAAGCTGAATCCAGAAGATACATCTGCATCCATGGTTCCCCACGCAACCACAGACAATTATTCACTGGAGTGCTTGTTTGAGCCCCCTTTCCGATTCAAGGCTATAGTCACTCTCTATGAAGGGGTCACTTACTTTGACCAGAGGAGCCATGAGTCCAGCTGGCAGGTCAAAGTAAGGGACGTTGGGGACCAGACTGGGGTCATCGTGGTTGACGTGAGTGGGGCCCTGCCGCCTTATGTGGGGGGGCTGGCCGTTGAAGCCATGGGGTGGGGGGCCGAAGTCTGGGTGCTGGGGACCCGCCCATGGAGGGTGCTCTCCCATCCCAGGGGGAGGCATCCTGTGGCCCGGGTGGTGGTGAGGAGGACCCAAATCTAAAAGGCAAACAAGGAGAGAGGAAAAAAACAACAACTTGTATTTGTCTGTACCAGCACATAAAAAGTGAAACGTCATTTCAAGTGGGTAAGGAAAAGCAAAGCTCAATTGCATGAATAGTGAAGGAAAAAAGTGTAGAGACTGATCGGATGGTTTGATTAGTCCAGATACTCTACAATGAACATGGCAGTTCTGTGTTATGCCAATGCTGTTTTGCAATGAAATCAGCCGGTGTGGCGAAACAATTGTTCCCATGCCGTTAGTACCACTGAACAGAATTCCCCGACCGACCAAGTCGGATCCTTTTCAGGGTTATCTGAACTGTTAGAGAACATAATAGAATGAAAGCTGATGCTGCAAAATCAAAGGTGGTGTACAGATACAAAATACAAGTCTAGAACACAAAAACTTGAATTTCATAGAGGAAATTCTGGACTCCATCCCTTAAGAACAGAAAACTGTCAGTGGCCAGCACTTCTTACTGCACGCAATAGCAGATAGTTCAAAAACTGTTTTGCCATGGACAAAACATACTGGCCAGTGTGCGTAAGTAGTATAAAAAAGACACTTGAAATAAAAAACAGGTTATATCAGAGTTGTTTTTATGATTAGCAACCCACAAAACAGAGCAAAACTGTTTTGCTTGCTCACTCTTATCCACCACAATAGACGTACATTACTCCCACCACAGCCAAGCACCCCTGCTACCCCTGTCTTTTATTAACCACTTCTTGGCTAGATCATCCGTCCACCCATCTATTTTTAACCACTTCATCCATTTTCAGGGTCACGGGGGAGCCAGAGCCTCTTGGCAAGCAAGAGGTGCAAAGGCAGGGTACACCCTGGACACCAGGGCACCAGTCCCTCACAGGGCACATACAGACACACTCACACCAGGGCCAGTTCTCCCAGAAGTCAATCACCCGACCAGCATGGCTTTGGACTGTGTGAAACTGGAGCACCCAGAGGAAACCCATACGAACAGGGGGAGAACATACAATCATCCAGGTGGGGTCTACACATTGGTGGTGGTGGAGGGGATCCCCATTACCTGTAAAGCACTTTGAGTGGAGTGTCCAGAAAAGCACTATATAAGTGTAAGGAATTATTATTATTATTATTATTACAAACTGCACACAGACAGAATGAACCCAGGGCCCCTGCGCTGTGGAGCAGCAATACTTACCCCCTGCGCCACTGTGCCACCCTTTGTTAGATCAAGTTGTCATTAACAGAAATCAAAATCACCAGACAACGTTAAAAAAAAACAAGGACCCTTTCCCTGCCCACTCCCAAAGCAGGAACAGCACGGGGAAAGTGCCCCCACGCAGGCTGGCTCTCCTTACCTCCGGGGAAGTCTCCCTGCGGGTAGTCAAAGCGATGAGGCGGATAGGGGGGCCGCTCGAAGTGATGGCGCGGGGGGAAGTCGTCTTGCATGAAGCGTGGCGGGAAGCGGTTGAAGTTATGCGGATGGGGGGGCTGGTTGAACTGGGGGGGCTGCTGGTGCGGGGGGAACGGGCCTCTGAAGTGCGGGGGGCGCTGCATTCGAAAGGGAGGCTCCCTCTGACCCCAGGGCGGCTGCTCGGGGGGCTGGCTGCTCCAGGGGGCCTCGTACTGGCCGCTCCAGGAGGGGGGCGGCTCCGGCTGGCTGTTCCAGGGGCCGCTCTCCCGCTGGCCGCTCCAGCTGGGGTCCCGCTGCTCGTTCCACATCCCCTCGTGGCTGTTCCAGGGGGGGCACGGGGGGGGGCCCTGGGTGGGGTCGAAGGGGGGCTGTTGAAAGGGAGAGAAGGAATAATGAAGAGAAGCTGCAGCCGTCTGACTCTCACAGACCAGTTAGTCACACTTCGCTAGAAAAAGAATAAGACATTTTATTACATTTTAATACAGTGCACTTCCCCTAAAACAATCTCAGGGTGCACAACAATGGAATATATGCAACCCCATTAATAAACAGGATGAAATACGGGATAAAACCAGACAAAACAATATACCAGAGCAACACAAGTAAATAAACCCAGATCAGTACAACGGGAAACAACCAGGCAGCACCCGCAGCTTTTTTACTCTTGATTTTAATGCCGCCAAGGACAGAGCCGACTTGGGGGGCAATGGAACAAAAAGTACGGTCTCCTGTAGAAGACAGGTTACAGCATTTTCTTTTCTTCACGTTCACTCAAATACAGTAGTTACCGAGCCAACACGTGTTACAAACCGAAAATGTCGATTTGCAGAGGAACATGAGCGCAGCCTGTTCGGTCTGGTGCTGATGGCTGAAGCCTTATGCTGGATTCAGGCATCAGTACCCGCTTTCAATGCAAGATACAGCCTCCTGTGCACATCAGCACAACCTGCAACCTGGAAACACTCGCCTTTTCCAGGTACAGCTGTAACTAATGGAATTCGGTGCCCAGGGGACCATCTACAACGAACTGGGACCTTTACAGTATCTTGCAGTTATTGGCTAACCAAAGTTTAATTCAGAACCCAACCGCAATGGTCCCTACTCCGTATCCAAGTAGCGAATCTTTCACACCAGGGAGACGCATACCGGCTGCTGCTGGGGCCAGGCAGACATGCTGTGCTGAGGGTCAAACCAGTTTGGCTTGGTGGCAGGAATGGGGTCGCTGGGCCCCCTAGGGGCCACAGCTGCTGCAGCCAGTGGGTCCTGGGCTCCAGGTTGGGCGGGATCATAATCCCCTGGAGGGGGGACAGACATCGTCGCCTTGACATCACCTACAACATTCAAACGGCGTGAAGGACACTGCTTAATACATCTGCTTGTGAAAGTATACCAGAAAGTACAACTGAATGAAAAGCATACGCACTATGCACATTTCGTCAGGACTGGTATTCCAGTTACACTGTATTACATGCACAAATGTTGCAAAGCAAAATAAAAATAAAAGAGTCAATGATTTTCAATGTTTCAACCCAAGGACAGCGTAAGACTTCAGTTCAGTGTTAAGAGTTCCGATTATACGACTCATGTGATGTCATCTAACATTATAACATCATATTTCATCAGCAACGGATGCTAGAATGTGGCAAAATAAGTCAATTCTAGCTGACAGGTTTACACCGAGCAGCAGAAACTGAAATCCAGTCTATGGGTGCCCATTGCTCAAGAGACGGGCAGCTCGGGCTGGTCTGCGTACTGCCACACACGCTAAGGAGGTATCAGAAAGGTGTTTCGCCAGGGAGCCTGCCTGCAGGAGTTTCTCTCTCTCTCTCTCTCACCTGGCTGCGCCGTCACGGTTGCCCCAGGCGCGGCAGGCTTCACCTCGCTCTCCACTGGGGCCAGCTGCGCCGCTACAGCCGCCGCCTGCTGCTGCTGCTTCAGGCTGGCCACAAACTCCTCATGGTGGCTCTTCAGCGTCTGGATCTGCTGCTGAAAGGCCAGCTGGACAGGCTGGACAACGGCGGCGTACTCGGTGATCAGCGACGCCTGGGTCGAGAACGGGGGGGTTGCATGTTGAATAATAATAACGCCCGCTGAACATTGTCACACAGCACCGAGAGAAAGAGGAGCGGTCTGGTTAGGACTTGTGAAGAAAACAAAGCCACCTGGAAGACAGGGAACTTGAGCAGAAGTAAAAAAGTACAAAGTCTGTACAAAGAATAATACTGCATTGGCAATTATTTGTTTAAGCAAATGCATATAGGCAACGGTACCAGCAATTCTAAAGGACGCTTTCTCTCAGTACTTCTTACATACCCGTCTGACCGAGGGCTTTGTGCACGTGACATCATAGGAGAACCAGGCTGCCTGATCTCCTCAATTATTACTATTGCTATGCAGATCAACAAGTCAAGTTCATCTTCTGTGCTTTGTACCAAGTACATATCTTTACACTGTTAAAATGTCTAACTATACCTCAACGGTTACAATCCTAAGCTTTCCTCTGATCCCCTTGGGGACCAAGCAGACCAACGTGAGGCACAGCTCATTCACATAGTTGTTTCATTAACAACAATACTAATGAGCCTTTGAGCTCCATAGCTGTACACTCAGCAGACGGAGAAAAGCACAGAGTTAATAAGTAGGTCTTAACCCTTTCATTTTGAATATACCCCTACAGATTCAGTAGATTAAACATTTAGATTAATACAATTGAATCTCCTTGTAGACCCTAAGCAACTGAAGTCACCATCTGAAGGACCTGGACACCTGAATCTCAATGGTGCATCAGGCAGGAATGAAACACAGCCGTGCCACCACTCACCTGATACTGCCCCAGCCCCAGCGCAGGACTCTGCAGCTGCTGGATTGTCGACTCGTCAAAGTAGCCATTCTTTTCCCAGAGCTGCAGTAGCTGGGCCAGGAAAAAGGGAATGAAATTCGGGTAAAAAGAAAAAAGAACATCGTAATACATCTGGTTGGCCGCCAGCCGTTAACATCCACATGATTGCTTACAAACAAATTACGGTGAAGCAACTGCGATGCAGCCTTCTAGAAACCAGGGGAATTTTGGTCGTGGAGAGTCTCAGTCCAATCCAGGTAGTCTCACAGGTGACCCTAAATCAACCTATCCCTAAAGGATGCAGACACTTAAATGTTAAAGACTAATTAAACAAGTAGTTTGGTTAATATAACTCTGGTCAAATGTTTAAGTGGAGATTTCTGATCTAAATATTCTCTACATTACTTCAATTAACAAAACACCTGCTTACCTCCCACACACTGTTTAAATCCTAACTAAGATACTAACAATCTGCTGCACTGGGGTGCTTCAGGACTATGGCTGGAGACCACCACCTGTCACATTAATAAATTAATTGACAAGCAATGACGAACGACAGACTCACTCTGGCGATTTTCTGCTGTTTGTCCTCTTCTACAGCTAGAAAACTAGTGCAGTAAATTGGGACGACAACTTTCTGCAGGGCTGCAAGAAGGTCCCTTTGCTGTTTCCTTTGACTGAAAAAAATATCTCAATTATAAAATAACAAATATCTCACACAACAGCTTTTTAGATCAAACAGTGCCTAATGACTTAGTGAGAATGGGAGCAACATAATTTTCATAACAGTTCTTGCTTTACTCATTGTTTTACTTCACTCAAGACTACTCATCCACAAACCTCACCTAGGTGACTTCATAAAGATCCATGTTAACTAAACAATCTGGTTCTTTATTTATTGTACAGACACCACAGGTGTTTTTTTTTTTACTTATTTAACTGGACAGCCTGGAAACACTGTGCCCTCTAGAAGGTTTCTCAGCTAGTCTGATTTAATGACAACTGATGCTCACGTCAATCTTTCATTCTGAAAGAAAAAACATGAGCCTTTTTATAAATACAAGGCAATCCAAATCTTTCAAATACCTTCATTCAAATCAGTCACTGCCTTTCTAAACAGTAGTACAGGTATATTATATTCATTCTTCAAAACATGTATCCTAAATGCGACGGACTATCCGGTCCATGTCTGAACCCAGCTCTCGTTCCATCCCAGGCAGACTCCAAGTTCTCACCAGTGATGGAGGACATCGTTGATGAGATAAATGAGGTGCAGTCGGAGCTCAAAGTGGGCACCTTCAGCTGTGATGCGATTACGGAGGTGACCGCCCATCAGCTCACAGTGCTGAGGGGTTTTTGCATTGTTAAACATCCAGTTCTTCCCAGCCTAGACAGTCAAAAATAAACAAAGAGAGACTCAACATGCAGGCCAGTGTGTACCAAACTCACAGAGGGAGCAATGCATCCTCCTGCCTTCAATAATTAACAGCATGTAACCCTTTAAATTATCTAGATCAAGTTCGACCCAAGTATCTTGTTAATGTCCATATCAAACTTATGAGCGAGAGAGCTGTGTAATTATGAAACAGCACAGGTACACCAGTGCACTAAAACACAAATGGTAAATGAAAGTACAGACAGAAACACCACCAAAGGCTATAACAAGTTTTCAAGATAAACTTGCAAAAGTTAATTGCAACTTTGCTTTGAGAATATTTTAATCCCTTCCAAGACCCACTTTACTGAATAAAGATCGGAATTAGATTTAAAATACTGTGTGAGACTAGACAGCTGAAGAAAACAATACAAGAAAACGTCTCTCAGAACCAACTGAAGTTAGCTCCTCTAACTCACTGAGATGGCGTCTTTAGTGCAGGTATCAATGATGGGCTGCAGCAGACTATCAAACTCCCCCATGTCCAGCTGTGTCTCCACAAGCAGTTTCTGGGTTTGCTGCTCCATGGCCAAGGCAATCGCAGCAGACACCTGCTCCTGGAAAAGGACACGAACAAACAGTCAAATAAAAAGCTTCCAACACGTCTTGATGGATTCCTGAAGCGGGAACCCTGAGGATTTGTGACAATTAATGGTGTCTCTGTGGCTGGAATATTTGTTTAACCCTATTCAGGCTTTGCAAACCAAGTGCATGCCTCTCTTGTTAACAGCAGGATGCTTCTGCTGTATGGTTAAGCAAAGTGGCACAACAGCTGTAAAAGGGCAAGGTAGCAAGTAGTTCAGGTGGGTAGCTGCGTCAGCATGCGTAGGCTGCAAAGGAACAAGTAATAGGTTTATTCCTGTGCTGAAAAAAAGAAGAAGAAAGAGAACACAACGTTTCGGCCGTGGAGCCTTCTTCAGGTGGGAAGAACAAACCCAGCCTTAGAGGGCCTGAAGAAGGCTCCACGGCCGAAACGTTGTGTTCTCTTTCTTCTTCTTTTTTTCAGCATGGAATAAACCTATTACTTGTTCCAAGGTAGCAAGTAAATGTTAATTTCTCACTAAAACGTGCAAAAAAACAAACTCTGTTTTGGCTGGGGAGCCTTCTTCATCAGTGAAGCTTTTTTTCTTTAAAAAGCACAGATCAGTCAACAGAGTCTTTTTTTTAACGTTACTGAACACTTTTCGATTGTGAGCGAAGCACACACTTCACAAAGAGCCAGTGGTTATGACTACGGCCGCCACAGACCTGTCTGAGGCTGTGCAGGTGCTGCTCTTGTTGCTGCAGATTCCACTGGCTCTGCTGGACAAGCTCATCCACCGAGGGGGTGGCGGGAGGGATGGGAGGAGGGGGCAGTGTGGCCATGGGGGGTGGAGCATCTGGAGCCTCTTGTCCTGGCTGTTTACAGAGCACTGGAAACAACAGGAAGGGACAACATCACTGTACACTGATGCAAAACAGCCGAAGATACAGACAACATTGCTGAATACCATAACCCACAAGGCATGTTATCCCTTTATGTACTGGTGATGGGGATGCACAACGAAACACATATGGACAACGAAAACAGGGGTGCACAACTCCAGTGTCAAGGGTTGAAGGATCTTGATGTTTTCATTCATACTGAGATTTTACTTACCTAACTGAACAACACACGTGTCTTTTCCCTATACAAAGCCTTCAGGGGGTGATGGTTTAATTAAAACGATCTATTCTGCTGGCCTGTGGCCCTCTAAGGCTGGGTTTGTACACCACTGATTTAAAGGCACATGCACTATTGCAATACGGGATTTATAACAAAGCTACGGTTTATTGCTGTGAAAAGCTGCACTGTGTTCCACAGGGATTGGCAAGCACAACAAACTCACAAATGGGAAATTAAAATAAATGCGAGAGAAAAATGAACACGAAAAGACTGCAGAGCAAATGATGAAGCTGTAGTATCTTTCCACAGGCAATGTTAAGCAGAGGTTTTGGAAAATTGTAAAAATGTGTCTGTTTTGGACCTACTTCGGCTGAGGGTTAAGTGAGTTCAGATGTCACAGAGGCAGGGACACTTAAGAAAAACTACATCACCCCAAGGAAAATGCAGCAGAGAAAAATTATTCTGTCACAAAAATCTTCTAAACCTGTTCATGACTATTTAACCTTTCATCAGTGCCGAAATATCATGATGTTTTTTTAGCCTAAGCTCAAAACACGGATCAACATGGGACACATGGATGAACAGATAGTACCAAAACTCTGTATGCAGTGCATACAGTTTATATCATTCCATTAAATTCTTAAAATGGCAATCCTCAAACTTCAAATTTCATCATCAGCTTTGAACTGGAGTTTACATTACGTTGTTAAACAGTAATCCACCTTAACCCCAGCAAAAGCTACAGTATCTTAAGGGTGTATGTGGAAAACGGGTCAAGAAAAATAAAACTAACAACCACAAAAATGCAATGGATTTAATTCATAAAATCATAAAAGGAACCTATCTTGTAATTCCTTCACCTACTTTATCCAGCACCATATGACTCTAAAAAAGTAAGGAATAACTTTTTCTGAACTGTTTCTAAAAACAGAATTCCTGGGGAGATCAGTTTTTACAATTCAAGCAGCAATGATGATATTTAAAAAATCATTTAAACGAAAGACAGGCTGTGTAAATAGGAAACAGCTGATTTTCTAAACAAAGTATCAACCCAAACCCTGCCTATATCATGCAGCAAAAGAAGGCACACTGTCTTTAATATTCACAGTGCCAAGCGATACAGGTTAAACACTTCAGCAAGTGTCTGAAATACTGAACATCAGACTCTGGTACTTGCTATAATCTCTGTGATCAAAAACAGTATCTATCTAGGCTGAACATCCAGTAACCCCAGAATCCCCGATAACAGCCATGAGCCACAAATAATCAAAAGTCCATGTTTGAACTATACAAAAAAAAAAACAAAATGAAAAATAAAGCTCAAATAAACATAAAAATAGAAATGCAACTCAGCCTCAGATCTTTGATCATGCCAGAATGAAAATTAAAAAAAGAGCATGTCTGGGTATCCTTCTGTCAAAATGGAACTGCTGAGTAACATTCTAATAAATACCTTCCAACTTATACTCCTCACATTCGTGTGTAGTAGAATCTATAAGGAAAGAAGGACACCTTTAATACAGAACACTGCTGGGTTGATCGCTTCTTTAGAAAAACAATTGTTATGGAAATGATTTAATCTTAAGCCTCTATGACTTACTGCAGTTTCAGTGTTAACAATTAAAAGGTGCATCTCTATCATGCTTAGCAAAGTAAACTGAGAAAGAGCATCCTCTTTTTTGTACTGATGCCTGCCTATAATGAAGAAAACTACAAAATACTTTTGCAAATGTTGCCATTATGAGTCCATTACAATTAAAAACTAATCACACTTGTTAAAAAAATCTCATTAGTGTTTCATTTAATTTAACATAAAATAGCTTTAAAAATGCAGCACATTTTAAAGGTTAAAACATATCCTTATGAAACACTTCTCATCCACACCAATTTTCTGTTACTTAACTACTTATTATCTTTAACAAAGCAAGTTACTTGATTACATGAGATGAAAGGGAATTTGGAATAGAAATCTGAAATCCCTGCTGTGCTGCTCTTCAAAATAAAAGACAATATTTGACTCCTGAGTATAAGAAAACAGAGTAGTTAAAAAAAAAAACATCTGCATATTTCCTTAACCAGACTCGACCACATAAAGCAGCGTTCTTTCAATGTAACGAGAAGCACAGGCAGTGGATTCGGGGTAGACAGCAGAGAACGTACGCTGTTGCTGCTCAACGGCCAGTTTGTACTTGTAGTAGTTGAAGAACTCTCCGCCAAACAGGAAGGAGAATTTGGGGTTTTCCTTCTGCTTCTCCATCGTCATCTTCTCAAACTCTGGGCCATTCCGGGCCACAAACTGGGCCAATTTATCGATGACATTCCTCAGCTCCTGGTCTGCAGAAATACAAAATGAACCCAGTGTTAAACACGGCCCACTGTTGCTTACGGACCAAATACGTTACCTTTCAGGATTTGATGAAGGGCTAATGTATTTGAGGCTTGGTAAAACATACATTATTTATTTTACAGTTTCTGCAGAATGCAACACATTTGCAAATCTCGTATATAGTGGAGCCTTTATTGACAGTACCTGTCTTTCTATATCTACCTATCACCCAAAACGTGAGATAAACCCAAAATAAGAATTTGCAAAGCGATGGAACAATCCACCACATACATTTATACATTTATGAGATTGTCTCTGTTGATTTAAGAGAGTCCGTTTTGCTTTGTGTTCGCTGAATCTGATTCTTCAGGGCACTTAAAGGTGTCACGCCACACTTACTTTAACGCACTCACGTAACACTGTTTATGCCCCTATCAAATCCACTTTGTGGGCTTTTCTCAAAATTACCTGGCCGTTATAATAGATGCGTGATTTCAACATCTGTTGAGCTTAGGGTCTGTTATTTTCTCTTACAAAGAAAGAAATACATTAAGATTTATATTGACGTCGATCTCTTGCGAGACGACTGGCTGCACCAGATTAGAATATACAACGTTAACAAAACGACTGCTAAAATAAACCAATGGAGACTGGTAAAGTATGAGGTATGTATCGATACAGGCAAAGTGAAGGGTTCACACTTTAACGGCGGGCTGCTTGAACGATGCAAATACAACATCATTCATTTCAATACAATGTCCGCTTGGAGGAAGGCGTGAGGCCCATGGCACACATCGCCAACAGCACGCAAGGTAAACCAAAAACCTAAAAATAAATCCAAATCTGGACTTCTGCGGTCGTTTCTTACCCTCGGGTGGCGCTGGGATATCCATGGCTACAAGAGGCACACTCGGACAGCACGGATCGCTAGTAAAACAGCTCCCAGTTTAACTCAGTAAAACGCTGCCCATTCCTCTCAGGGCTCAACCGGAAGCGCATCTTCAAGTGTAACAGATTCATATTTTTTTTTTACACTGCGGGTCGTCTCTCCCTCCAAGAGGCCGAGGAAAGAGGCCTCTAAGCGCCTGTAGCGCCGCCTGGCGGAGAGGAGGCCCGCTGACACTGAAAGGCGCTGGTGAGCCAGAAGAATTCGCGGTCGGCGTCTAGAAACTTCGGAGAACTCCTTCCCCGTCTTTCGGGTGAAAAAAAAACACTCGGTAATTTCATGAAATGTGTTGGGTCGGTACCATTAAGGGGGGGCATTTCATGGCTTTTCATTTATTCCAGAAGATATTATTTGTGGGAATCCTTAATTGCCGGTAACAAATACGTTCTGAAGTTTTGAATCTTGATCTGCTTTTGTATATCATAACGAGTACATTTTCCGCATAAAATCTGTGTATGAACACGGTTTTAAAAAACGGAACCTTACGTTGAAACCCCAAATTAAATGGATTTTTTTTAATCGCAAATTTTTGTGCACCGAGCATCACCGAGTATTGTGAGGACAATACCTTTCTATCCCACTTTTCGTGGGGAGTGTGAAGACCACTATCCCATGGTCGTGAGACGCACGAAAAGTGTATTTTTGACACAGTATTACCACAGTATCAGAGTATCCAGAACCTCTTACTCGTGAAATCACTGTTTTACTCTAAAGCAGAATTAGACGTGTAGCCGTTTTTTTCCTAATGACAACGCGGGAACCTCGAGCCAGTGCGCAGACTCCGGCGGCGCGCTCTCGCCGGAAGGCGCATGCGCAGCTCTCCCTCCTCCACGGCCCGCCTCCTCCGCGGGGAGACGCCATTTTGTTTGTGCGCTACCGAGCCAGCGAGCATTACCTCTCGGGCGTCTCGCTTATTTCACCCGCTCTTTCTTTCTGCTTTGTGTTCACGGGCACGCGATGGCTGAAGGTTTGTCGGGCGCAGACCCGGTGTCGACCGAGATCCCGGAAGGCATGGGGGTCCGCAAGCTGTCGGATTTGCGAGTGATCGACCTGAAAGCTGAACTGAAGAAACGGAATCTGGACACCAGCGGCAACAAGAGCATGTTGTCGGAAAGGCTCAAAAAGGTGCTGTAGGCCTCGGATTTGTTCGTGCATTTAAACAGATAAGAGAAGTGTTTCTGTGGCGTACCCTTCATGGAAATGTAGTTCCGTATTGTATAGGTAGAGGGTATTTTCGAGTAAAGTCCGCATTGCCTTATTAATCAGTTGCCTGAGTTTGCGTAGGAGTGTGCACCGTTTTTGAACACGAGATGCTTATGTAATTTATTTTTGTCTCGGCAGTTGCTAAAAATGCTCTAGTTACATGGTATAATACACATTACAGATTGCTGTTGTCGATGTGAGAGGCTGCGTGTTACCCTGAAATGATATTATTTCGGTTTATCTTACGGTTTTTTTTTTGCCATAAAAGAAACCGAGAGCTGTCATTGAGAAATTAAAAATCGCTTAAGGACCTGGTGCGCAATGTTGGCGCAACTCCTGGTACTTTGATTTTGATTGCTGTTACTTAATAGGCTATATTAACGCAATTCGTGGATCTAAATCGTATTGACATACGCGTTACATCAGTGGTGAATAGACCAGGAAAACACCGCTGATTTGTTTTCTAAAGAACGATTATAACCGTGTGGTTTTAAATGAAGTACATATTTCTGGGATCGAGAAGGAGTTGGGTTTGATCGTGACCGACGCAGTTTCATTTACAGTGTCTTCAGGGAGCCATGCGGGTTACTGCAGTACATTTTAGTGCAGATGGGATAACTTATAGCATGTTATATTAACACTTTCCAACGTAAATGTACGGTCATAGGAGTTATTTAAGGTGAAATTTTAGAACATAAGCCAGATTTTGCCTGATCAAAAGCAGAATGCGAGACCGGTGTCGCACCCAGACTTACAGCTAGGTGTCCTTCTTCCTGGAAATAGAAATGCTGATCCAGTTCCCTGATGTAGGCCTTCAGATGAGATGTTCAACTGTCATCTTGACTGTGCTGTTTGCCTGATCATTCAAAGTCCCGTGGCACTGTTTTTAAGAGATAGGATGCTACTCCAGTGTGCTGGCTCAGTACTGCTTTGGGCATGGACAGCTTGACCTTCCTAAAGTACCCTGATTCAGTTCGTAAAGGAGTTTCTCACTTCTCAAGTCAGTAGTGTAGTGGGGTTGCTGCACGCCGCCTGGGTGGGGCTGTACACCAGTGATAGATGAGGTGCGTCCCCTCCTATATGTAAAATAATCTGGAATTAATAGAACTGTCAGGTTCAAGGAATTATTTATTAGTTACACAATTTGATGTTAGGTCCTTAAGGTGTGTTGGGTCACATTGGATGTGCAAGGTGTTGCTTCAGAATGTTTTTGGTAAACATTAACATGTTTTCAATTTCCCCACAGGCAATTGAAGAGGAAGGAGGGAACCCAGACGAAATTCTTGTCACACTTGAGGCAGCTCCCAAGAAGACCCCGAAGAGGACCCCCAAAGGTACACTGGGTGGAATTCTTTTAATCCATTCCTTAAATTCTTGCCTTAAGATCCTCTTGAGAGTTTTGAACCTTGGCTACGAATCCAAGAAATATATATTTTTTATCCCCCACCTTTTGGGTGATTGTAGGTCAGATCTTGAGGGATAAGATATGCCTAGTTTCTTGCTACACTTTCTTGAGGAGGTCAAGTGTTATCGCTGTCCATTAGGCTAGATGGTACTTGGCTAACTTGGTGGTTTGCTTTTTGGCCTAAAACTGCACCTTTGGTCATAGATGTGAAAGTTGATTTGTTTTAACACAGCTAAAATGTACAGAATATTTTTTTTTTCCACCTGGAAATTCAGCTATCTGTGTTCTTTGTGGGTGGTTGGTTTACTTCTGCTTTCATCCTCCTTTAGGAAAACGACAGGAGAGTGATGGTCTTGAAGATAGCACTATTGAAGAAGATTCGGGAGATGGGCAGGTGAGTGTTGTGATGCATCCTTGATTGTACAAAAATGGAGTGACCATACATTTAAATTCAAAATAAAAAAAAAACATTCATCTTGTGTAGGATGACCCGGAAGTAAACTTGGAAAATCTCCAGGAGATGGACATCATGGACATGAGTGTCTTGGATGAGGCCGAGATCGATAATGGCATCCCAGCAGACTGTGACGAGTACGATGCCGATGAAATTCTTGATTCACTTTCCAATGAAGGAGATGCTGAAGGCATTCCGGAGAGCTTTGCCCACGACAGCTCAGATTCTCCTGTCCCAGAATCCGATCAGAAGCCTGAAGAGGTGAAGAGCCTTGTTTTCTCTTTCAAAGGCCATCAGCCACATTTATTCTATAAATATGTCTCTGGGGGAAAAAAGGGGCTTATACTTTACTAAGAATTCAGAAAACATGTTTTTGTGAGCTTTTACAGACTGCATATAAGCTTTGAAAAGTTTTTTTCCCTAATGATGTCACTATTTTTATTTCTGAAATCCCTTTTTTAGAATTTTCTAATCCTTTGATATGGCTAAATGTCCTCAATTTCTCGTTTGACATGTCACTAGTAAAACTCAGGCAGTTCCCATCTGCTGTGTAGATGGCTGTCATTTATTTGGCAAATATTAACTTGTTTTATCTGCTGCAATTTTAGGATGAGAATATGGAGGCTGAAGGTGACTGTGCTCCAAACGTGGAGGATCTTGAGTCTGCTGAATCGAAAGAGGTATGTTAAAGCTTCCTTTTAAGTTTTTGTTTTTAAATTTGCTTTTATTGAAATTTTGTACAGTTGTGTCATTTGTCATAGTGTTATACTGATTGCTCATGAATCTTGAGGTATGTAGGTTAGGTAACACATAAAAGATGCTTTCATAGACCTCAGCTTAATCAAGGTATCTCAAGGGTCCTGAGCACATTAAAACTCACATTGGCACAACAAATTACAGTAGGATTACCTACTGTAGAAATACCTGGCTTGTTTAACAACCCTAAACCAGCTTCTATTGAGATCTTTTTTTACACTAAACTAATTTACACCCATGTGCAAATGTGGCATTCCTTTCACATTCAGTTAATGACTTAATCCCACTTTTAGTGAACAGAAGTATAATATGAGGTCATTTACCGGCCTCTAGTGGCAATGGAGTCTCAATCGCTTACCCAACATGCCGCGGATATATTTACATATTTCAGCATTTATCAAATCTGTCATGTATCTTGAAATATGCTAAAATATATTAATTGGTTCATTCGTTTATAATGATCTTCACAGTCACAATTGTTTCCTCTTTTTTTCCATAGGAATCTGAAGACATTAAGGACGAAACAGGTACTGTTCAGAACGAAAGTATAACATGTAGTAACTCAGTCTTTTCCCACAGTGTGTGAATCTTGATTAAGCAAATGCTTGACGTCGGTGTTCGTGCGCTAAAACGTTGTTCCCAAATAGAGACTGGAAACCCAAAGAGAGTTACTGGCTCTGTGTTCCAAAACCCATAGACTGATTATTTCGCTAACCTTAATTCATTGGCTTTTGATATTACAAGTGGGTTGTCCACATTTTCCGCTGCTGACACAGATCGATGTTGTCAGGGTGGTTAGTGAAAGCACAGGGCCAGTGATTTAAGCAGCACGCTTAGTGTTTTGAATAAGGTCTTCGCTTAGCCGTTGCAGATGATGTGCAGTGTTTTTAGGTTGCCACTTGCCACAAATGAAGACAGAAGTCAAGAAGAGAAGATTGGAGTCCGGCATTGGAAACGGTTAAAGAAAAAATCGCCCCGCGATCCATTTTAGGACTCATTTTCTAGTGTACAACTTGGAGCTATCCTTAATGAACTCTTAACTACTTGGTAATCAACTGCAAAGGAATTCTGAATTTCCTAATTAAAATAAAATCCTTACTGCGTCATGGACACTTAAAGATCACAACATCGGACATGCATGAAGACTTTCGGCTCAACTGGACCTCTTTGGCAGTCTTGTGGCTTTCTTCACCTCAGAATTCAGTCTTTGTCTCTGCTTTGGATCAGGTGAATGAATGGTCGATATCTGAGTAGAGTTTAAAAAAAATTAGTTGCTTAGGGATTTTTTTTTGTCTGCCTCTTTGGCTTTTTTTTCCAGTCTCTGGTTAAATAATAAAGAAAGGTTCACGTCCTGTTGCAGCCTTGCCAGTTCCACGTTTATGATTGCTGTGTTTCAGAAGTAATTAAACTCTGTGCCATTCTATTCCTGTTAAATCCGTAGAAAATGAGAAAGTAGCCGGGTCTTGTAAATCTGAACCGCTTAAGGAAGAGGCGCTGGAACAGCCATCCGCACAAGAGTCCTCTGCCAGCGAGGGCTCTCAAAAAGGCCTGGAGGAGGACATTGTGTCTGTCACCGTTAAACCAGAGGATGCCCTCAATTTGGAGAACGATCCCACGAGTGACGTGGAAAAGCCAGAAACGAAGCAAACGGACAGCGAAGCGAAGGGCAGAAATGGGCAAAATGTCAAAGAAGAACAGATGGACACAGAAAACGCGTGTAAAGATGATGCTAGTTTAAGCGAGCAGGGCACAGAAGCGACTGAAAGTGCTATTGAGTCAGAAAAGGAGTTAAAAGCAGAAGGTGGGGAGGGTGAGGAGGAAGCCAGGAAGACTGAAGAGAACGCTGCAGAATCGACGGCAGCGAAAGAGTCCTCTTCTGTTGAGGGCGATGATCAGAAAAAGAGGTTTGTTGTTTTCTGTCTACTAGAACAATCGCTATCTTTGTTACATTGGCTCCTTTTGTTAACAGTTTGGTGCAGTTAGGAGGTAAAAGTGGTTCATGCATCTTTTCCTCTAAATACACCCCCCCACACACTTTTGTCCCCCCCCACCTTAAAGTAGCGTAATGGAAATTTGTTTGGCCGTTTAAAAGGCTGCTAAATCTTGAAGTATGTTGGAAACTTGTCTATGATGTAAACTGGCCAGTGTGCTTTCAGACTCCGTTTTGAAATCTTGCACGCAAGGTAGGTATGTTGTATAAGAGAACGGCATGTTTGCAAATGGCAGGATATTGATATGTGATTTTTTCTCTCTAGTTCTGATGAGGAAAAGGGTGGTAAGCCTGAGACACAGGAAGAAAAGGGTAAGTGTTTGTGTACAGCTTAATGTAATATTTTATTCCATTCACTTGTTTTGCATTTGATCAGTGAGTTTTCTTTAATTCCTTATGGTTTATCTGTTTAAACAGCCCCTAATAGGTGATCGTGTAATCTTACTTTTGTGTCAATGAGCACTTTTTTGCAGTGCAGTTCTGTTCAGAATAAGCTTTACCTGTAAGTTGACAATTGGACCTGAATTGTCCCTGGAACTGCCTGAAGAAGGTGGTATGGTGGCAAAGGGGTTAACATTGCTGCCTTGCAGCACTGGGGTCCTGGGTTCAACTCTGGACTGGACTAAAGTACTGTCTCTTTGGAGTTTGTCTGTTTTCTCCGTGTTCACATGGGTTTTTGTTGGGTGCTCTGGTTTCCAAAGATAATGGTAGGTTAACTGGCTTCTAGGAAAATTGACCCTGGTGTGAGTGTCTCGTTCTTGTGTTGGACTGGCATCCCATCCAGGGTGTTCCCTGCCCTGTGTCCATTAATTGCTGGGGTAGGCTCAAGCTCCCCATGAATGGTTAGAAGTAGGGTTGGGCGGTTTAACCAGTATACCGGTAGAAATATGTGCCACGATATGGATTTGGCTATACCGTTTATAGCAGTATTTTGATGTTTACATAGATTGCGCTGCCAGCATCGTCGCAAAAAGGGGTTTGGAAATTTGTACTGTTGACTCGTCATAGTTTAAAATTCCACTGTATTTTAGCTTCAATTGTATAATTCTGAAAATGTTAATCTTGCAGATATTTGGAAATCTGATAGGTTCAGAATTACTGATCTTCGGCGGTTAAGAAGTCCGGTTTATGACGCATCTGAGGTCATTGCGGCCAATAAAAACAAACGGGCGTCCTCTTCTCCTTTTTCGTGAAAACAAATGCACGTGTTCGGTGTGCCCATCTGCAAACAAATACATGGAGAAAGGCAGCGTTAGCGAGACGGGAACAAGCAACATAATTGTTGAAAAGAAGGGTTCTTCGTCTGTTGTTTGGAAATAGTTCGGATTTAAAAAGTAGGACCACGAGCAGAAAGCGATTATCTGCAAACCGCTGGCGACGATTTTAGCCAGAGGCAGTAATACAAAGAACCTCTTCTATTATCTAAAGATGAAACATGTATGAGAATGCGCTCCGTATCGAGCAGTTCTAGTCTCTAGTGTGAAAAGAAAAGCCATAACGCATACACTGCTGCCTGAGTCATTATGACCAGAAAAGCCAGCAGTCGAAGGACATTACACACTACTTCAGTTAAAATACTTAAAAGGCACAACACCATAGCTAACCAACTGTGTTTATATTAATCTAATAGTTAACTCCAGGCAGTAAAAACTTACTATCCAAGTTTTGTACTCCTTTTAAAGCGTGTTCTATTGAAACATATTGCCCAGCCCTAGTAAGAACATGGATGGCTAAACTACCTGAAGGTCAACTATTCTTAAATCAGTTCAAGCTCTGATTGTCAGTATGTTCTTTTTCACAGTGTTTGTCATGTCTAAAGATCCTCTGTGGTGCTTTGGTAACTGCAGTGTTTTGCAAGGGGACTTCTTTTTAAAGATACCATTGTTTTCATGTTCCACTTCCTTCAATTTTTTGTGAAGCCCCTGCGAGTGGCACCGTCGCAGCCGCCAGCGGCAGAAACCTGTGGGTTAGTGGGCTGTCATCCACCACTAGAGCGACAGACCTAAAGAATCTGTTCAGCAAGTACGGCAAGGTCAGTGTTTCTTGTGACTTTATCGGTTATTTTATTATAAACAGCATTCTGGGCACCGCGAAGGTGCTCACTTGCTGCATGGCCTTGAATTTGTGGAAGGATGTGATATGTTGTCCTTTCATAGTGTACTCCATGCGACAGCAAAACATACTCCGAACCATTGAGTGACCTTGCTCACGTAGGTCATGTCACTGAAGAGGGTAGCACATTGTTTCAGAAAGCCAGTGATTTTTCTCCAGGAGTTTTGCCCTTTATAGTTCTGAATTTGCTGATATGGAGCATATGGATAAGTAGTATGCCTTTATGGTTGTTTTCAGCATTCAGGTTTGAATTTTGTGACCGTTTTAGGGACCATGTAAATGTAACTGAGTGTCAGGTATAAACCATAATAACCAGGAAATAAAATTTTAATTTATTTTCTGTGTAGGTGGTGGGAGCTAAAGTTGTAACAAACGCCCGGAGCCCAGGTGCCCGCTGCTATGGATTTGTCACAATGTCCTCAACGGATGAAGCTACGAAGTGCATCAGTCATTTGCACAGAACGGAGCTGCACGGAAGAATGATCTCTGTGGAGAGGGTGAGCAGTTAGAGCCATGTGCCAGTGGCCTAGTGGAACTGCAGTTAACCTATAGTGGCTGCTGCTGTCTGAAGACGCAGTGTGGTTGGGAACTGACTTGAGTTTATGCTTGTATTTACCAATTAGATCCTCCACAGTTTCTTAACAGAGCTGTGATTTCAGGCTAAAAATGAACCTGCTGGAAAAAAACCCGCCGAAAAAGCTGATGCAAAGAAGTCCGGAAGTAACGACAGGCGACACTCGACAGATTCCAAATCTGAAAAGTAAGTACCTAAACCAGGCTTGCAAAGAGGAGGTTTTTGTAGCATATCGGCTATGTTTTTTTCTCGCAATGGAGTGAATCTCTTGAGAGCTGAAGAACCCGCATATGTGGGAGTGCAGTAGCCCTCATTTTGTCCCATATGCGAGTAGAGTATTGGGTAACCATGTAAATCTCAGATTCTGCATATTTGCAGATGAAAATTTCATTAACCGTTCAACTGAACAGCCAGCTGAGAACAAATTTTCATTTAGAAGTGTGACATGTATACAAAAGAGTGGTTTCAATCAGAGAGAAGTACTGTAGATTAATTAAGACTACAGCAGCAGGTCCATACAGTTGGAGCTGTTCCAGTGCTACATTAGGCGCATACAAAGTCTTAAATTCTTCATTGACATCTTGTTTTCACAGATCTGATGCTATCAAAGAAGATAAGTCTGAGTCAGGTGAAGCAGGAAAAGATGGGAAAGGTGAGTTCTGAGTGAAAAGAGTATCCTGCAAGAGTCTTGCTCTGCACTTAGGTGCCATGCTTGGCACAGGGTTTCAGAATACTCAGATTTTCTTTCTAATTCTGATTTAACAGTTTGCGTTTAAAATTGTACTTTAAAAAAATGCATGGCTTTGGTTTGAAGGGGGAGTGTCCCATTATTTCGTCTTTGTATACTCCATGCTATATTGAAAATGTATTCAAAACTATTGTCTGGCCTAACTACCATTGCATTTGACCACTGATGTGGATACTACAAGGCATTTTTACAGAAAAGTTGAATGATGTATATGTACATACATGGTGAGTCCTTAACCTCTTTAAATGCTTTCTTCCTTGCAGGGCGTGGCACAGAAAGGACAGTAGTGATGGACAAGTCCAAGGGCGAGCCTGTTATCAGTGTCAAGACCAAAAGCAAAGAACGAGTAAGCAGCCTTCAAAATCACTGCATGGCATGTCAGACTAAGGGGAGACCTCCTCCAAGGGGTGACATTTCTGGCTTTTAGTAACATGCATGTAGGCGTAGCACAGGCTGTCAGGTAAATCAACATGTGGTTTCATATTCCTGTGTATCGGACACTGAGAATGGCGCTGAGCATGTTGTCCCTGTTCTACATTTGCGTATGCTACTTCACTTTTTTTAGCTGCTTCACCAGGAGGCCTGGTAGTCTTGTGATCTTGATAAATCAATAGAAAGAAATCTATCATCCAGACCTGCTCTTTGCCGAGTTGAGAGATAATCAAGTGCTTCCAAGGCCCGTGGGCCTCTTCTTCCCTTCCTTTGGGCAAAACTCAAGTTTTTTTTACCGTCTCAACTCCCTAGTGAGCATAAAACCACAGCTTCCCCTGTCTCCGATTCAGAGCACCAAGAGCCGGGATAGAAAGTCCGAGAGCCGGGAGGAGAAGGACATCCTGTCCTTCGACCAGATCAAGGAGCAGCGGGAGAGGGAGCGTCAGAGGCAGCGGGAGCGCGAGATCCGCGAGGTGGAGAGGCGCCGGCACTCCGGGTAGGGCTCTGTCGGACCCTGGTCCCGGGCGCGCCCCCTCGTGTGACTTCTCAACCGCACGGCCATACCCATAAAGCGCTCCTTCCGTTGTTGTGAACGGAGCTGTCTGCTCTTAAGTTAAATCATTTTCTGTGGAGGAGCACGGCGTGTTAAAACTGCAGCCCTGGGTTTTTTCCCCATGCAGCTCATACCGCCCGTCGCAGCTGGGGATCTTGGCAGGTCTGTGCCTGTGTTGCACAGCGGGTGTCATGTGCAATGGGTGCTCGTTTCTGGAATTTTGCATGGCAATGGATTTATGGTGGGGTCTGCCACATGACCCTTCCATAGTGTACCCCATGCTATATTATACGTGCTACTCCGAACCATTGTCTGGCCTTCCTCTGTAGGCTTTGTTCACTGAAGTGAGTAGGACATCCCACTCCTCCTTTCAAGGCTGCAGGCTCTTCAGTGAGGCCTTGTTTTGGGAGTGGCTAATATGCAGGATTAAGTTCCTTGCCACCATGCGGTAACTTCCAGGCTCAATTTTAAAGTTTGTTTTAAAGCCACAACTCTGAAACTCCGTGGATTTGAAGAAGTAGTAACGAAATGAAACCTGATCTCAGGTTTCTGTTCCTGAATAAGCCCGACTGAAAATGCTTCACGTGAGGTTGTGAAGCTCTGGGAGTTGTCACCTTCCTCCAGGGGGGGGGTGTGCCGCAGTGTGTTCAGAAAGCTGGAAAGAACGGGGGGGGATTCTCCCGGGGGGCTGCAGAGCTAAGCCGTGTGTTTCTTCCGGGTGGGGGGGGTTACAGCGAGCGGGAGCGGGACAGCCGCCGGGAGAGGGAGCGGATCCGGCTCTTCCGGGAGAAGGAGGAGCGGGACCGGCTCATGCGGCAGCGGGGCTGGCTGGAGCTGGAGAAGCGGCGGCTGGACAGGGACCGCATGGAGCGGGAGAGCCTGGAGATCGAGCGCATGAGGGTGGAGTACGAGCGGCGCCGGGAGCAGGAGCGCATCCAGCGGGAGAGGGAGGAGCTGCGGCGGCAGCAGGAGCAGCTGCGCTACGAGCAGGAGCGCCGGCCGATCAAGAGGCCCTACGACATCGACGGGAGGTGCGTGCTCCTCCCCGCTGGAGCGGCGTCTGCCCGTGCCACAGTAACTCCAGCCTGTATACGCTTGCTCAAGAATGTAACATGGAACTTTTCCATCTAGTGCTCAATGTAAGACCTGGTATCATTTTGTCTCCACCCCTTGTCGTCTGGAGGGATGGGGGGGGTCGAGTTGTTGGGCTCAAGCGCATTAATTCCCTGCAGGAGAGACGACTGGATGGAGAAGAGGATAGCCCTCGATGACCGCTACGGGCGCTCCGACTTGGGGCGCCAGGACCGCTACCAGGATTTCGACCACCGGGATCGTGGGAGGTACCACGACGACCTCCTGCTGGACAGGTGAGCTGGGCGAAAGTTGCAGGACCAACGCGGTGGACCTTTGTTTGAGAAACAGCATTTTGCTCTTGGGATCTTGGAGAGTTAATATTTTAGCAGTGCGAAATCAGATTTGAGGTTATCTTCTGCTTGACCTGGATATCAAAAAAAGACTTCATAAGTCTTTATTGAGATTTCATAAGAATCGGAATCTAGAGACTGCTTTCCCAAACTTCATAATCCTGCATTTTCCATTAAGATAAGATTTTTTTGTCCCCCGAGGGAAATTTTTGATAGACACCCAGCACTCCTGTACATTTAAATAGAGTAGAATGCAAAAAAAGAGAAGAAAAACATTGCACATTTTGCTATTACAAAAAATAATAAAAACATTGCACATCATTCTATTGCACATGTATAGTATAACACAAAACAACATGTAACATCTATAACACATCACAAAAACATATTGCACTCAAGTGCGTTGTAAGTGTCAAAATTGTGTTTATCCTTGACATTTGTGTTGAGAGCTTTAATGGATAGTGGAACAAAGGAATGTTTGTATCTGTTTGACTTACATTTGGGAACCCTAAAATATTTGTCAGAAGGAAGAAGCCGATATTCAGATTAGCTCCTAAACTTGCATTCCTGCGTTCAGATTCAGACATCACATTTTGAGTCTCTTTCTGAGATTTTCTGAGGCACTGCAATGTGATCAAACTGTTTGCGGACCTCTTCAATGCATACACTACTAATTTTAGAACTAAACATATCTGTAAAGTTCACATTTGGAGCAAGGTGATGGTATCTTATGCAAAATATTTCTCACCCAATGCTAAATTAGACCAAATTAACATTTTTTGTATTTTTTTTTAATGGCCTATAAAATTTGCTGGGTTCCAGGCCCCTGAGGACTGGGGTATTATAAAATTAGATTTGAGTTTTTAAACTTTTCACAGCTAGTCATAACTAGGAAGATCTGCAGAATGTATTCTTTTGATATTTAAAAATTCAACGGAACAATTTACACCTTTCATTTGCAGGCGAGATGGATCCCGAGGAATAATGGGAGACCGAGATGGGCAGGTAAATATGCTAAGCGGTTAAAATACTTTGTAAATCTGGGTGAGGTAGAAGTGATTGTTGGTGTTAAATCTAAATCTCCCTCTGCACAGCACTTCTCCGATCGCAGCGACCGGCATGGGCGAGATGCTCGGGACAGCTGGGCTGGCGGTTATGACAAGCGTGGATTGAATCCGTCAAGGTGAGATTCCTGGAAATATCCATTTTATCTCTAAAAGCCCTTAACTGATCCTTGATTATAGAGGTCAAACTTTGTTAATGAACTTTCAGCACTAGAGCAGTTGTGAACGAGGAGGATTTTTGTAGTTCTTCTGTTTGGTAGTTAGCAGCTTATTGATCCCAGAATCTTATCCAGCCCTTTATTGAAAGAGGTCTAGGTATTGGCTTCAACATCATGGCTGAGTAGCTTGTTCTCTGCTCCCACAACACTTTGGGTAAAGTGCCTGCAGGTCTCAGTTTTAAATGTACTGTTGTACCCGTTGCACTGTTGATACTGAAGGCATTTAGTGGGTTAACTTTCCACTGTTTTCACTTTTAACTTGTTAAATACTTGCTTCAGTTACTCGAATCTTTTTCAGTACCAAATGTGAATATATTAGGTGAATAGAAACAACTTCTTTACTTTAAAAAAAGCAGGTTGAAACAGAATGGCATTTTAAAAGTCTTGGGTTTTTTTTTTTGGCAGGGATGGACGAGATTGGGACCACGGGCGCAAAATGGACGGAGATCGAGGCTGGCAGGGTAAGATAATCAGAGCTGACATCCATTTGAAGCTCTTTGGAACCATTTTGGGTTCCTGTACATTGATGCATGTGACGAGATCACGAGTGTCACGTCAGTGAGCTCTTAAAGAGCTGCAGTGAGTTCAAAGTCTTTGTACCAGTGTGGGGCATGATTTGATTTATGGCTGGAGCTCTCCCATGGTCCTGTCATAGTGTACGACATGCCAGATCAAAGTGACTCCGAACCATTGACGGGCTTTTCAACGTAGGCCCGGTTCACTGAAGCGAGTTGGACATCAAAAACAATCCTGAGGGGAGCATCTTTTGGATAAGGTCTGATTTTTTTTTAACATGCTGCCCTAACTTTCTTGCAGGTGGAGATAGAGGGATGCAAGGCCAGGGTCACATGAGCAGGGGAGGAATGCCAAGGTAAACCCTTTTTATTCAGGACCCGATGAAACGAGTCCTATTTCTGCTACTTTGACTGGTGTGGTGTTGTTTTTTTCCGGGCTTTGCTGATTTTGTCTTTGCATTCTCCATTGGTAGCCGTGGAGGATACATGCAGGGCGGGACCTCCCAGGGCCTTTCGGGAGCACTGAATCGACAGAACCCCATGATGCAGAGTGGTGGAATGCAAGGGGGTGCTTTCGGAAGACGTTATTAGCCTTTGTA